TGTCTGTCCCCTAAGAGGTGTGAAAAACGGATAAATGATGGGACAACCATCAACCAACCCCGAAATTTCACGCCGCCAGTGCATCGAAGTCCACACCCCGGTCGCGGGGGGTGGGCAAAACGCGCCGAAAAAAATTGCTTCAATCGCAGGGGGTGTCGCCAAGGTCGATCGGGTTGTTTGGTTCATTTTCAAGCGGTTTATTTGGATTAACCAGGTGGATTAATACTTGCAATAGAGCTTGGAAACGCCGGAAAAATTTGTAAAGGCTATGCTATATGGAAAATACTATTTTTTTACTAGGTTAACAGGGTCCTTTGACATTATCGGGAGGGGGGGGGCTATCAAGGGGAAACGACTGGTTTTCTTTAGTAACCAATTTTTCCAATAAAAATATAGTAAATTTCTAAGGCTGTTTTTCACCGTTGCTAAAAGAAAAAAAAAATTCACAATTTGCCTAAAATACAAGAAGATTGGTTTTTGATTCGATTTCCACAAAATTTCGCACTTTCAAAATTTTAAAAAGTTTTTGGATAGGTCTTCCCGATCAAAAACTCTTAAATTTTATTAAACACTCTATCAAGATACTTATTTTTACGTAATCAGGGTGGGCCTTTTTTGGCCCGGGGGGCCCCGCCCCCCCCCTGGGGTTTTTTGGGCCCCCCCCCCCGAAAGGGGGGGGGGGGGGGTTCTGTTCCTGCTGGGGCCTCTTTGATTAAGACCCCGCCCGGGGGGTTTTTCGGAAGTAAATTAATTTAATTTTATTTAAATATTTTTTTTATTTTTTTGTTTTTTTTTTTTTTTTTTTTTGATTTTTTATTTTTTTTTTTTTTTTTTTTGTTTTTTTTTTTTTTTTTTTATTTTTTTTTTTTTAGTTTATTTGTTTGGCCCCCCTTCGCTCCTCCCTCCTTTGTTATTTTTTTTTTTTTTTTTTTTTAGTTTTTTTGTTTTTTAATTTTTATTTTTTTTTTTTTTTTGGTTTTTTTTTTTTTGGGGGGGTTGTTTCGGGGGGGCCGGGGGCCCCTCCCGGGGCCCGCCGGGGGCCCCCCCCCCCCCGGGCCCCCGGCCCGGGGGGGGCCCGGGCCGGGGGGGGGGCCGGGGGGGGGGGGGGGGGCGGCCCCGGGGGCGGGGGTAACTGGGCATTTCTGGGCTTTTAGGAAACAATTACCTCCCCCCTGATAACGCCAAAGCTCCGTTTAATGCGGGGTATAAACCAAAGAAAGGATATTATGAGAGAAATTAAGTCAGAAATGTGGGAAAAGGGGGAAAGGGAAAGCCCCAACCCATAGCTCGTGCTCGTGCTCTTTGAAGAGCAAATGCCAGCTGGTGGAAAAAGTGAGGGCGTTAGGCGACATGTGGCCCCCTCCACCCCGGGTGGGAACGGCGATCAGTTGCAAAGCCTACACTGGCTCGAATTACGTCAAAGGGATCTCCCTGATCTTTTCGCGTTTAAAAGAGGCGTTAAACAGCGAAAAACTCGACAGGGCAAAATCCCGACCACCAAGATATCGACAGGATTGAATCCCGACAAGCAAAATGCCGACAGCCATAACCCCGACAGCGAGATGATCGATATAATTCGAGACCGCCAGAATCCCGAAACCAAAAATCCCGACACAAGCACGACATCCTCAATCCCAACAGCTGAAATGCCGACAGGACAAAAAACCGACAGCCTGAATGCCGACAGCCGGAATCGCGACAGACCAAAAACCTGACACGGAAGGACAGCAAAAAATCCCGACAGGTCAGAATCCCGACATTCGTTGTCGGTATTTTGGAGCTCTCACTCTAGTCAGGTTTGGTTGCCGATATTCTGGCTGTCGGTAAGTGTAATACGAAATTCCGTTTTTAACCCAAAAATGGCACTCAATTTTTGCAAAACCAAACGGTTTAGGAGTTTTAAAAAAGCTCGTTTTTGCATGAGTTTAGGCGGCAAAAATAGGCCACAGCCTAGAAGCCACCAACAACAAAAAGCCAAGAAGCCGTACAAAAAAGAACGGGGGAGTGGTCCCCATCAGCTGGGCGCGTAATTAAACCGAGTGTTTGCCCTTTTTTTGGGCTCTAGGTCTAAACAAGCCCCCGGCTGGGGGTTGATGGCGGAAATGAGGCGGTGTAGTGGAAAGCGTACGTAGAGGCGTAGTGGAAAACAGGAATGTAAAATAAGGCAAAAAACACCTGTAAAAACACTCGTTTTCGAGGCTTTCCGGAAGGAACACAAAAAACTTCAACTTGTGGAAAAGCTACGAAAGTACAGTTTAAGCCGAACCCTAAGCCTAAGCTTAAGCCTAAGCGTAGCCAAAGCCTAAGCCTAAGCCTTAAGCCAAGCCTAAGCCTCACAAAACAAACAGAGATCAAGCAAAGAACGTCTAGCTAATTTTTAAAAGCATCTCGATGCCCTCGGTAGAGCTCTATCCATTTTATAGAGCGAGAAAAATGTTTTCTCTTTCCACATTTCTTCGACAAGAATAAAAAATGGGAGGCAATCTTCAAAAGTCGTGGGGCATCAGCTGACGCATAGGGCTTCCCCCGGCCGGCGGGAAAATAACACATCAGAGATGACATCTTTAAAGATCGGCCCCGCGGCTTTTAAATGTGCAGACAAAGATGGGAGACGCCGATAGAGGGGTGGGAAACACTTTTGAAATCGAATGGGCCATCCATCAACGGCTGCAAAGAGCTGTTTGTCAAAGACATGGCCGGTGATTTTTAAAAAGCGCGGTTGGACCCTGGAAAAAATCAGATTTCGTAACTGAGGGTACTTTCGCATTAACGGGGGCAACCTTTTTCGTGAGAATTAGATCCTTCTACGCTACACCATACGTTATATCTTTCATGAGAAACCGCAAAAATAATAGATTTTTCGACCAATTTAGGCTGATTTTCGTCAAAATCTCGAAGCTTTTTATTTTTTGGCGTTTAAGGGCGCCGGCGGGGGGGTCGCCCCCCCCCCCAAAAAAAGGGGAAGGAGCCAACAGGGGGGGGGGGCGGGGGGGGGGGGGCAGAGGGATTTTTCCCCCCGGGGGGCCCCCGGCCTTTAAATAAATAAGTGGATCTCCTCAATTTATAGAAATTTAGTAAAAGTTAGATTTCGTAAACGCTTATGGAATTTTCGTAAAAATAACCGGGCTGCGCGGAAAAAAATCCCGATTTTCGCGATTCCCCTCGGTCGACCGCCCAAAAGGGGCGTATTTTAGCGGGCGAGGTAAACAATGGTATAGTAAAGCTCTATAAAGCGAACAACACTGAAATTTACTAGTTTTATAAAAATAAACTTGTGTGGAGGGTTTGCCGAAAAAAGCGAGTTTTTGGAACGTTTTTTTTTTGGGATAACCTGGATGCAAGCCTGGTCCTGGCCCCCCGCCGAGACCCATAAATTTTGCGGGGTGTCGAAAAAGGGGGCGTGAAGAGGTGGAACAGGGAAAGAACGGGGACAAAAATAGGACAGGAATTGAGGGAAATAGGATTGCAGCTAAACCTAAGCCTAAGTTTAAGCCCATGCATAAATAAAAATTACTTCTACAACAACAAATCGTACAAAAAAACATCAGCGCGGCCCGACGAGCACTTTCCGGGCAGTCCGCTACGCAATTAGGTGCAAAGTGGAAGGCGAGGGCTGAAACCAGTTCTTCGGCGCCGCCTAGTGCATGCTAAAAAGTGTTAGAGTTACCGTATACCTTGGTTCTAGGCTAGTTCTAAATTGTTAGGCTCACCTAAAGCTCACCTTTAGCCTAAGCTTAAGCGTAACCTAAGCGTAAGCCTAAACGTACGCCTAACGTAAGCCTAAGCCCAAAAACCTAAGCCTAAGCCTAAACCTAAGCCTAAGCTTAAGCTTAAGCCTAAGCCCAAAAACCTAAGTTGAAGCCTACGCCTCCGCCTAAGCCTAAGAATTTCAACACCTCTCCTTTTCCATTACTGAAAAGATTTTTGTCCCCCACTACTCTGTGAGTTTTCCAGGCCATTAGTGGACAGCGCATGGGGGCCTGTCTGCCTGTGTCCATCGTAGCGTTCTGTAGCGGTGAATCCATTAGTCTGCCCGCCAGACCGTGTCTTCAATCCACTCACAACACAGCCCCCATCCTATCCGTTATTTTCAGGGTCCCCCGAAAGGAGAGAACCTCCGAGTTGTGAAGCGGACAAAAATCAAACAGCCAGGGCTACTACGGTGGTCGGGGTGGAATTTGGAGGGGAACGTAGTAGAAAAATTCGCAAAACTTGTAATTTGAATTTTTGTGGAAAAATGAATGGGTTTAATGGGCCCGCGACGCGCAACGCCGTAATGGATTCCGGGAGTCCGCAGGGCCGTGACGCGGCGCGCGTCGCGTCTCGCGGGTGCAGCACCCAAAGCCAAAAATCCATATCCATACCTTGCCGGGCCCTTTAAAAGTAAATAAAATACGGAAACAGATTCCCTGGCGAGTTTGTCGCGCCGCGAGACGCAACGCGGATCCGTCTAATGGAATGGCGTGCGTTGCGGATCGCGATTCCGGCTAACCCGGAATCCATAGTCAAAAATCAATAGTCATGCCGTGTCCGCCCCTTAAATCGGCCCAATTTTCATGTTTTCGGTTTGCCTCTCACTCTCAAGGCCCAGGTTCGATCCCCGCGGGTGCAGCACTTTTTGATTTTTGACCAGGAGCTAGCTCTAACCTTGGAAGTTTTATGATTTTTCAGCGCTTCAAGCCCGATAAGCCGAGAATTTTACGAGTTCCAAGCCCGCCAAACACGCCCAGAATGCATCACCTTTTTGCTACACCCTTTTTTGGGGTTTCAGCCTAGCCTGGCCCGGGCTTTATCACTTCAATATCGGCCCATAAATCAATATTGAGAGCGGGCAGGAAGAAGCGGAAGAACTAATCCCCCCCTCCTCTCCACTTATCAATCGCCGAAGAGCATGCCTGCCGGAATAGGCCGAAAATCGCGGGGGCATTCCGATTGACATTTGGGATTCGGCTGTGGGTGCTACTTGATTTTGCCGAATCGTCGCCTCCGCTTATGGGGGCATGAAGCTGGAGGTCGGGCTCAACGAGTGCTTGCGGAGGATTAGGGTACGTTTCAAAGGTACGGGCAAGGGAAGGCTAGGCATTTTCTGGACTCTTAGAAACGATTTTGAAACGAGAATTTTTTCAATTCCCAGATATCTACCTTTTGCTAAATCATAAAATATTTTTAGTGAATTTTGTATTTTTCGACGACTAATAATTAATCATATCTATTTTTATTTATTACTTCTTTTTTTAACTTGGATTTTCCTTCTCCTTAAAATTTTAGACTTTTGCACTAGATTTAGTTTTATTTTTATTGGAAGAAGACGTTGGCGTGGCGCGGCGCGAGGCGCAGAAATAAAAACGAAAATGTGGAAATAAAATGGGTAATTTTTTTTTAATATGGGATGCTTTGTGCGTGTAATTTGGTAAAATTAAAAAAAAATAGGGGTAAATAAGTAAGTCAATAAAGCGCCTATTCCAAGCAATAATAATTTCTTTAGACAAGCGGTCGTGGCCTTCAACTGGTGATTGTCGTGCTGTCAATATTCTCCCTACTCTGCCTGCTCCGTCTCCAGGTCATCCAGAATTACTACTTACGCACCGATTTCGCGAACTTACGACTATACAGGGGACGCTCCTCCATTAGAGGCGATTCCGGTTTTAAAGGTAAAAACAAATTCTAAATAAATTTTAATTCTAGAAAAATTCAATTTAGGCAGGCCGTGTATCACGCCAGATACTATCAAGGATGACCCGAGCAAGGATTTTTACGAATTTAGCTTTGAAGGATCGAAAAGGATATTGCCAAAGTAAGCGAAGCCTGAGCTGAAGCCTAAGCCTATGCCTAAGCTTAGTCCTAAGCCCAGGCCTAGGTCTAAGCCTAAAGATAAGCCAAGTTTTGCGCACCTTTACTCTTTCAATCCCTGTTTTTAGATTCATATCGTTCACTGTCTCCCCCACCTCACCCTGCCTAATCCCCGAGGACAACGCCGTTTTCCAGAAATTCTGGACGCTGTCAAGAAAGATCGATTGCCGGAATATTGGTATCATTTCTATTGACGTCTGGCTTGTTAATTGGTGACAGAATTTCCAGAAGAAAAGGGCAAAAAGATATTGGGGGAATTACATTAATTTCCCAAAGACGGTGTGGGGGAAAACAATCCACTGGCTGGTATAACTAGAGCAAAATATGAATAAGATTATAATAAAAAGGAGATCAGATTTTAGAACTAAAAACAAGATAAAGATCTGATTTTTAGATATGAAGCGACCAACCCCACCGCCGAGGACCACGACAGATCCGGAATTGGGGACCGAAGAACGGACGACGGCGTGAGTTTTTAAAGCGCAAGATATAGCTTAAGTCTAAAGCTAATCCGAAGCCTGATCCTAAGCCTCACCTTAGCCTCCGCAATTCTAAGATGAAGCCGAAGCACAAGCGTAAGCCTAAGCCCGGGTCAAGCCTAAGTTAACGCCGCACGAAGCTCAGCTGACGCCTAAACTTAAGCCTACGTAAACACTACATAGACGTCAAGCTTGATCTCACTAAGAAAGTAAGCCTATACATTATCGCAATCTTAAGCCAAATCGTAAGTCAGCTAAAAAGCTACGCCTGAAAAATCTCGAAAATCAAGCTTCCTGTTTTGGAACTGCTTCTAGCGTGGTGAAAAATGATAAATACAGAATTCGAAAAATATCCCAGCTTTGCCAGAGTCCCGCAACAATTTTGTAGCAATTGCCAGATCAAAAACCTGTCCCCCCCCAATCGCAACAGGTTGTCAATTATTTTTCTAGCACCCGCCCGCCACTCGACCGCATCCATGATCATCCGCTTGTCGTTGCCGCCCGGAAAACCGCCAAAAGTATGTAGGTGGTGGCTAAATCGGCAGAGTGGGGGGGCGAGTTTGCGCGGATTAGCGCGCCCGAAATTCGCATCGGCAAATTTAAACGGCCGCTCGCGCTAGTCGAAATCATCGAATTTTGACTAGGGTGTGGTTGCGAGGAAAATTCCATTTTCAGGGCTAAATTTAGAAATTGAAAAAGTTTCTGGTTCATTAGCGGGGGGGGGGGGAAAGAGGGGGAAATTTTTCCTGGCGATACCCATATCAAATGTAAAGCCTTTTAATTGCATTATTCAGATCTAAAAAGCTCGTGGAAATTCTAAGAATTGCCGAGATTAGCGATTTTTTTTTGCAGGAGTATGAAATTGGTCAAAAACGTCGAAATTTTCAATTTTTTTGTAGGTTTCGCGTAATAAAAAAACTTCTAAAGACCTTTAAAAATGCAAAAAAAAAAAACCAAAAATTCCACATTTCAAGCCATTCGCGTCCCTTTAAAGATATCTGATTGGGGTCAAATTTTAGAAGACAACGACAATGTTCGCAGAGTGCCCCTGGAAGCGATCGCAGAAATCGTCTTCCTCCGCGACTTCATCCTCAACCACGCCATTACACCTTTGCTATTTTTTGGCGCTTTATTGGGTGAATTTTAGGCTGAGCCTCAGTTTGGCTTGGGCTGAGCATAAGCTTAGGCTTAGCTTACAAGCTTGGCTTAATACGCTGAAACAGAAGTGATTTTTAGGATGGTACCGCGAGTGCAGCATCATTCCGCACACTAACGACTTTGATTTTGCTATTAGGTGGGTAGGCTTAGGTTCTTGGCTTTGGCCTAAACTTCGGCCTGTGCTTAGGCTTGGTCTTAGGCTTAGGCTTAGGCTTAGGCTTAGTCTTACTGAGCCTTAGGAGATCAACATTTCTAACTTCAGAAGCGACGAAGTCCCCGACAGCTTCTTCGACGCCCTCGAAAATATGACAATTCCGTTGCGACCTGATCGACGTTTGGGCTTGGTATGTTTAACCAAGCTGCTTTAGAAGCCTAATCCAAGCTAGCTAAGTCACCTAGGCTACTTCTTTTCAGCGCAACGAATCCCTTGAATATACGGTGAAAAGTGTGAAACACGGGTTCCCGATTGATCTCTTTGTCCTCTACGATACGGAAAACAGCACCTATGCCCCGGGGCAGGGCCAACGCCTTGAGTCCTACAGATTCGTCTTTCCCAAGCAAGTTTCACGTTTTAAATGAATTAAGCGTTTTTAAGTTCATAATTAATTTTTTTTAGAATCCAGCCCGACGACATTTGCGCGGCGGAACTTTTGAACCATTTCTTCTACGTGCCCTGCCAAGTGGAACGCCATATTTTGGTATGGTATTTTAATTCATGGCAAATCGTTTTAAAAACTAAAATTATTAAAACTATTTTTAAACTGTTATTTAACTAACTATTTAAACTATGCGTTAGAAAATGACAAATTATTTCTAGACTGAACACGGCCCTCAATGGGCCACCGACAAGCCGACGAAGCGCTTTTCCTGGAATAACGGGGTGGCAAATGTCGTCAAGGTGGGAGAGAGAGAGGGAAGAGAGAGAGAGAGAGAGAGAGAGAGAGAGAGAGAGAGAGAGAGAGAGAGAGAGGGAGAGAGAGAGAGAGGGAGAGAGAGAGAGAGAGAGAGAGAGAGAGAGAGAGAGAGAGAGAGAGAGAGAGAGAAAGAGAAGGAAAGAAAAAAGAAAGAAAAAAGGAAAAGAGGGAGAAGAGAAGAAAAAAGTAAAAAAGAAAGAGAGAAAGAGAGAAAAAAAAAGAAAAAAAAAAAAAAAAAAAAAAAAAAAAAAAAAAAAAAAAAAAAAAAAAAAGAAAAAAAAAAAAAGCTAATTTTTTTAGTAAACTTTTTTTTAGATAAAAACCTACCCGCAAACGATGAAACCCGTGGTGCAGCATTATTTTGAAGAGGGATAATAAATCTTTTTCGACAGTAATAAAATGGCAATGCACAGAAAACTATACAGAGCACTGAAATCAAACTTTTAATGTCCGATTTTCATACCCTAATTTGCATATTTCTAGATATACATTTTCCGACAGCCTCCTCCAGACCGAAAAACCCGGCCTTTTGTGCCCATCCCCGCGGTCGCCTTTCAAAATTCACGGCTACCCCATCCTCACCGCGGCAATGTACTTTGCGGTTGGGCGTTTTGGCTTTGTTTTTTTTTACTTACAAGGAGATGGTCTCTGCTCGGAATCGAATTCGGATTTGAAAATTTGCACACTTATAGAGCTCGACGAGACAAATCGATTGGTGTAACTTTCAGCTGCTGATACAATAACCACGCCGAGTTATAAGCATTTTAAGTTTTTGCATACATTTTGTATTTTTCGGGCATAGCTTCATAGGCCTTCCCCGCCTGCCCATCACCATGGTCGGGTGGCCTAGTGGTGTAGTAGGCGTCCTCCGGGGAATCTAACGTGGGTTCGAACCCGCTCACGATTTTTATTTTTTGCTTTTTCGTCCGAAGGTTGCTCTTTGCTTTCTGAAGACCTTGAATAGCTTTTTACGCATTATTTTAACTCCTCTGGTGCGAAATGGCTAAAAAACATCTCTTTGAAAAAATTTAGATTTTTTTACCCGAAATGACTATGCCGGTCCCAAAATAAATTGAAAATTCAAAGCATATCAAAAATCGTGGAGTAAACGTAAATTTGGTAAATGGTGTGTTATCCGAACAAAAACTTTCATCCGCGAAAATTTTTTGGAAATGGTAGTCATAGGTCGGACAAGGGCTCGATGCTCAGCAAGAAAAATTTTTGCGGTGAAGTTCGATGTTGTCGGCCCATCAGTGGAGTTAAAATAATGCGTAAAAAGCTATTCAAGGTCTTCAGAAAGCAAAGAGGAACCTTCGGACGAAAAAGCAAAAAATAAAAATCGTGAGCGGGTTCGAACCCTCGTTAGATTCCCCGGAGGACGCCTACTACACCACTAGGCCACCAGACCATGGTGATGGGCAGGCGGGGAAGGCCTATGAAGCTATGCCCGAAAAATACAAAATGTATGCAAAAACTTAAAATGCTTATAACTCGGCGTGGTTATTGTATCAGCAGCTGAAATTTACACCAATCGATTTGTCTCGTCGAGCTCTATAAGTGGGCAAATTTTCAAATCCGAATTCGATTCCGAGCAGAGACCATCTCCTTGTTAGCTTACGTTCAGTCGAAGCCCCCGGATGACCCGAGCATCGGCTACAAGGAGGTCAAGTCGGGCTCCGGGTAGTTGGCTACCATCTTGAGCGTGACTTGCTTCTAGGAGAAGCCGAAAAGGGCGGAAGCACGGCCAGGACGAGTCCGAGTTTGAGAAGCGGGAGCAAAGGAGGTGCAGCTTATAGTCTGATACAGTTTTTAAAGTGAAGCCGAGCGCGTTGCGTCACGCGCGCTTCAAAATCCATAGGAAATCCATGCCTTGCCCGTCCCTTGACCCGCCGTTTCCAGGACCCGTCGCGCGGTCAGCGTGGCTCCTCCGAAAGATGAAATGGCTGCTTCGTAAGTTGGGATTGGGCTTGGCTTAGGCTTGAGCTTGGCCTGAGCTTAAGTTTTGGCTTCGGCTTAGGCTACAAGCCAACTTTTCCAGCGCCCTCCGCGGACAGCAGCTCGTCGACAAGGAGCTGCCGAACCCCACCTTCGAGCCGGTCAACCTCGAGAATTGCACCATGGGGTAGACGGCGTTATTAGGCCGGGATACATCACCTTCAGCGACAACATCTTTGACAAATCGCTCAAAAACGAGCCCTACTACCACGGCTTCATGCTGCCAAGCACACTCGAGTGGACCCTGAAGAGGGATGGGGACTTTATCGTCGCCCACATCATCCAGCATGTCGCTACTGAGAGGGAGGTAAGAGCTGGAAATCTCTCTCTCGCTCTGTCTCTCTCCGTTCAAAACAATCTTTAGCGCCCCTGCATCTGCGTCCAAGCCGGCACGGTGCAAAAGATCCAGCTCCGTTACTCGAAGGTAAACTTAAACCTAAGCCTAGCCTAAGCCTAACAAGGGAAGGGCACATGCACAGGTTGGAATTTCGAAAAACGCTCGCGGCTACCCCGGGGTAATCGACTACGGAGAACACGATGCTGTCGTCCGATTTTCCTGCCGAGGCTTGTGGACAGAGATACAGCACTTCCGGAAAATCATGATTTGCATGCGAAAAATTAGAATCCGGGGAAGCTTTATTAGGCTCTCCCATCGGTATGCAATCACCAGTCGAATGGCCGATTGGTAAGCAACTCGCTTGGTAGGATACTGACGAGGGTACGGATCCGCTCGTGGATTTTTCGTGTTGCTTTTTGACAAATTTTTTGCACTTTTCCTAAATGCAAATTCTAGAACCTTTCCTAAATGTGTAAAAAGAGACCTTTGTGGCCCTGTAATACGTCTAACAAGCAAAGAAAAACTTTTTCAAAAATTTTATTATATTGCAATTATATCAAAAATTATGCGGGAAAATTTTTGCAGAAGCCAAGCGTCACGCTCTCGTTTGGTTTTGTAGCACCTTATCCTGTTGCACGGCCCTGGCAAGTTGGTTAGACAGCGCTTTTATAAAAATTTTCCAGATATTTTGAATTTGATAAGCCGGTGGGTAGGGTGCCCGAAAGATCGCAAAAATAAAATTTTTGGAAAAGTTTTTCTTTGCTTGTTAGACGTATTACAGGGCCACAAAGGTGTCTTTTTACACATTTAGGAAAGGTTCTGGACTTGTGCAAAAATTTGTCAAAAAGCAAAACGAAAAAATCACGAGCGGATCCGTACCCTCGTCAGTATCCTACCAAGCGAGTTGCTTACCAATCGGCCATTCGACTGGTGATTGCATACCGATGGGAGAGCCTAATAAAGCTTCCCCGGATTCTAATTTTTCGCATGCAAATCATGATTTTCCGGAAGTGCTGTATCTCTGTCCACAAGCCTCGGCAGGAAAATCGGACGACAGCATCGTGTTCTCCGTAGTCGATTACCCCGGGGTAGCCGCGAGCGTTTTTCGAAATTCCAACCTGTGCATGTGCCCTTCCCTTGTAAGCTAAGCCTAAATCTAAGCCTAAGCTTCAGCTAAACCTAACCCCTCCCAACTTCCAGAACTCGAAATGGTTCGTGTCGACGCGTGAATTTGACAGTGTGGCTCAGGTTTGGGTCCTCGGTAGCTTTTACAAGTTTTTCCTCTCAGCTTGTCGCCCACTACCTGACATCCCGGGAGGCATTGACCAAAGAATCCAACTACGTGCTCAAGAACCCGGTCGCCAGGCCGGTCAGTGATGTTTTTTGCCCATTTTTTAGCATTTTTTTTCCAAAGCTGAATCCTCATCAATTTCCAGCACTGGATCCTCTGCAAGGACTTTGTGAAGCTCGTCGGGCGACTCGGCGCCGGCGCCTACGGCAAGGTGTACAAGGCCGAGACCACCGAGGGGCGCATCGTCGCCGTCAAGTCCATCAATCTGGTCAGTGCGCTGGGTAGTGAAAGCCCTGTTCATCTACAGAGTGCCAAAACCGTGGTTTTCAGGAGACGTGCAAAGACCGTGCCCGCGAGCAGTCGCAAAAGGCCGAATTCCTGCAGGAGGCGGCTCTCCACCTGCCCCTCAAGCATCGTCACATCATCGAGTTCATCGGCTTGGCTTCGTTGGCTGAGCCGCTCTTCTTCGTCATCGACTTTGCCCCCGGCGGCACCCTCATCAGGGTGAGGTTTAGGTTTAGGCTTAGGCTTGGGCTCAAGCTTCGTTTAGGCCTTAGTTTGGGCTTGGAACTTGGCTTAGACTTGGCTTAGGCTGCTTCACCTCGCAATTTTAGTACCTTCGCAAGAACGCGGGCCGCAACGAGAAGCAGCAGCTCGTCCGTTTTGTCACCGAGGCCGCAGCTGCTTATCGGTATTTTTCAAGTGTTCGCGTATTATAATACGGTATAAATATGATATTTTAACAATATTTATTATGCCGTAAAAAATTGAATATTTTTGATTTTTAAGTGCTTTTCAGTTTCCTCGAAAAGCACAAATACCTCCATCGCGACATTGCCGCCAGGAATTGCTTGTTGGGGAAGGATAATACGGTATCTATAACTTATCCGATTATGCCATTAAATTCAGGTGAAAGTCTCCGACTTTGGGCTGGCCGTCGTCTGCCATGAGGAGAAGATCGTCGAGCCGGGGCTGAAGTTGGGCATTCGATGGCTGGCTCCAGAGGTGGGCATAGATGGGGCGTGTCCAAAAACGCCCATTTTCTAGACGCTGAAAGCCATGGAATTCTCGAAAAAGACGGACGTGTGGGCCTTTGGCGTGATGATGTTCGAGATCTTCTCCGACGGGTCCGAGCCGTACACTGGTAACGAACGAAATGGCCGAGATTACGGTAACTACGGCACGGTTTAGGCAAGAAGGTGGCCGAGGTGCGACAGGGGCTGACGGACGGGTCGATGCTGCGCTGCCAAGTGCCTCCGAATACCCCACCCGACGTCAAGGAGTTGATGCAGTCGTGCTGGACGGAGGATCCGGCGCAGAGGCCCACGTTCAGGGTATGGAAACGAAGTCATGTATAAGGCGAAGTCAAGCCTAAGCGTAACCTAAGCCTAACGTAAACCTAAGCCGAAGTCTTAGCGCTAGCCTAAGCCTAAGCCCAAGCCTAAGCCTAAGCCTAATTTCCGCTCTCCAGGTGCTGCACAAGAAGATGAAGGCGATCCTGGGGGAGGACCCGAAGTCGACGACAAACTCGGTGATCGGCCAGATTCCCGACGAGACCCCGCCCCCTCCACCGCTCTCCGACGCCGCCAAGGAGCGCGACACGCCGTGCAATACGGCCGAAGGACGCTAGAGACGTGTGCAGCATCATCACCTTTAAAAGCACACTATCCCCCGGCTCTTTCCCTCGTTCCTCCCCAATTGTCTCCTCGCTCTCTGCCCCTCCCTTTCGCTCTCTCGCTCTGTGTCTGTCATGTCTTTCGATCGATCCAATTAATGTGATTTCAACGACGGGAATATCGAATAAATCGTTAAGCTTTTGTACCAGGGCTGATTAAAATTTAGGGTTTATTTTCATGTTGTAAATTTTTTCGAACTTTTTTGAGCTGCAAAAACCTTATGATTTTTTGAAAAATTGAAGTTCCACGCGTCAGCCAGCCCTCCTCCGAATTTCGTCCTGGACTCATTTGAACCGGCATGAAACGCTGACTTCGGGGTGCCAATTGGCTTGGCTGCAGCGTCCCGTTTTTGGATTTTACGATTCCTTGAAATTGTAGCTAGGCACCCGGCAAGCCACCCGCCGGCACTTTTCCAGGCCTAGCTGAGGCTGATCCAGTATTTTCAACACGGAATTGAATTTGCATCTGAAAGAGCACCCCGAATAGTGCCGAAAAAGGTTTGGCACGAAACCCGAGAGAGCTTGGTGAAGTTGCTAGGAATTGTTGAAGTGTTCACTTTTCGTCGTTTAAAGGCAACCGTTCACGACATCGATCTTTTTTGAAATTTGCCAAAGAGTTTCGAAAGATGCGTCCGTAGCGAAGTTTTGTGGGCCCTGAAGTGGATACTTTTTCCTGAAAAGCCAAGCCAAAAACATCTTTATTGAATAGCACAGCAACCGGAAGGCACGTTGAACACTGGGTTTTTCTTCGGAGAGTACATGGCGATTGTGATAAGGATAAAGCGAGAAAATATACGTTAAGAGGGGGCATAAGGAGGAATTGGCTATTGCTGAGGCTGCAGCGAGGCGTACAGGCGCTCAAGTGGGTCTTCAGATTCAGTCCTCTGGGCGGGCGGAGCCTCCTTGCGCGTGATGTGCTGACGAAGCTGGCCGAGGACTTCCTCCCTAGAAACAGTATTTCCGGTCCTTTGGCATTATCGGGGGAGGCCTACGCTTCACCCTATGCCCTACCTGCCCGGCTTCACGCGCTCTTTCACCGGAAACGGGGTGACGTCAAAGGGGTGGACGGAGCCTTGGGTGGACATGTCCATGCTGCCGGAGGTCCACGAGTCGGCCGACTGGCTGTTGCGTGCGTACCGCCCGGTGTCCCTGTAATGGTGTGTATGCGTAGTCAAAGCCTAAGCCGAAGCCTAAGCCTATAGCTAAGCCTAAGCCTAAACCTAAGCCCTAGCCAAGCCAACCCACCTCAGCTTGGCCCTTCGCAAAAAGTCCTTGGCCTGCTCGACGTCGCGCTCGAAGCTCGACTCCCGGCTCTCGGGCAGCACACCTCGAATGGGGGTAGACGTGGCGATCGGCTCGGGGCCGCCCATGAGCATCGTCGACAGGGAGGTCGCCGCCACCTCGGGGATGTACAACCGCTGCACCTCGGGAAACGACGGGCACCCCACCGGGCCGGTGATGTCCGTCACGAGCGAGGTGCGCGCGCCGCCACGCAGCTCCTCGGAATTCCAGTTCATGTAGCGGATGCTGGAGTCGCGCGAGGATAGGCTGGAATTTTGGGCTACTGTACGGTAAGTGGGAACTTGGGAAAGCGGGAACCAAGCCTAAGCCCCAAGCCTTACCCGGAAAGCAAGCCAGCGGTGCTTTGCGAGGACCGCTGGGCCGGCTTCCTCCGGAATTCGAGCTGCAGGCTGAACGTGTCGCCGTCGCCGGGGCACAGCTCGCTCCGGGCGAGCTCGAACTGTCGAATTTCAGGGTGGTTTCGAAAGCGGAAAACCTACCTCGTCGAGGTTCATTGGCCAGCCGTTGTGAATGCTTTTTCGCAAGAAATGTTGTTAGGGGTTTGGCGGATATGTAAATTAATTATGCAAAGTAGATGGACAGATCGAGAAAGCGAGAGAGAGAGAGAGAGAGAGAGAGAGAGAGAGATCTGGTATGCTAGTAGTATTTTTGATATGTTTCTGTCGAGGCGGCGATGTTTTTTAAGTAAAATATTTTTTTATACACGTTTCGAATAGACACACAAAATAAAAGAAGTGAAAAAGGTCAACACACTAATGGGAGGGCTTTACAGGGGGCATTCGCTGATGTTGATTGCTGTCGAGGCATCGGATGGCTGACGGATGAGCCGGGGACCCAGCTAAAAAGGCTGATTAATGGGCTTATGCATATCCTAAGCCAGACCTCGGCCTAAGCTTAAGCCTAAGCCTAGCCCTAACAAGGAGTCGCTTTTAGGTGCTTTTGGAGTTTCGGGACGGGACCTAGCTAGTTCGATAGAGAAAAAAATTCTGAGCAACATGCCATTTTCAAAAAGTGCTGATCGATATAGGAATTCTAGAAAATTTAATTTAAAGTTCACGATTTTTTGCTAGTTTTCGAGTCCATTTCCTCGGTTCGCGTCGTTGTCGGGGCTGGGCCGGGCACCATTCATAACCCTCCGCCAAGGCGTCCATCACAGGTTGCATTGGCGTATTGGTAACGCGCTTGCTTACCAACTTTTTAACATTTTTTGCCTCGGGTTCGAATTTTCGCGCTGGCTAACCCTTTGCTTTTTGTTTCTTGAACCCGTTATCGGTGCATAAAATTTTAATTAGCAAAAAGCAAAGAGTTAACGATAAATAAGAATCGAACTTGTGGCAAAAGGTAAAAAAAACTTCGAAGGCCAACGCGCTAGCCACTTGGCCATGCCTTGGACGGGATCCAAGACGCGTGAAGTCTTCATGTGGCAGGGGCGCTCGAATCACCTCAAATCACCACAAGGGTGCCGAGACCGGGAACATTTTTAATTAAATTGAATTTTCTAAAACACATTTATCGATCAGCACTTTTTGAAAATGGTACGTTGCTCAGAATTTTTTTCTCTATCGAACTAGCTAGGTCCCGTCCCGAAACTCCAAAAGCACCTAAAAGCGACTCCTTGTAAGCCTCAGCTTGCCGAGTCGCTTATATCATCCTTTCCCGTCCCTTTCAGCCCTCATAATGACAATGCTATTACCTCAACCATTCTCACGCAGCCGTGAAGACCCTCAGAATGGATGGAGTCCGACTCGTAGCCGCCTGAAAATTTTGGTATAGAGGGCAGAGTTATAAAAGAAAATATTTCTCCTATGCTATTGTAATTCAAAGCAAGTTGATGCCATCGTAAGGGGGCTGGAACCCAAAAACTGACCAATGAACAGCGTCTTGTAGACGTTCAATTGTTCGGAGGTGCCGGGTGTAACCGTGGATACGGTAGTGTCACCATTGATTGCCATTCGGATCTTTCTCTTTTCCCTGAAAATTTTGGGGATAAGAGAGCGAAGGAGAGAGAGAGAGAGCGAAGGAGAGAGGGAGAGGGAGAGAGGGAGAGGGAGAAAACGAATTCCTACCTGAAGACCTGGACAGTAGTCCAGCGATGCGCCGGGATTACGGTAGGATGGGTGAGCTCGGAGATTCCGGATCCGAGGTTCGTCTCAAAGCGAATTTTTCGCTCGCGGGTTACCGTCAACTTCAAGAAGTCTCCGGAATCTTCTTCTGAACCTGCGAAGATGAGGATCTGAAAAATTTGAAATTTTATCTGTTGAAGCCGATGTCCAAGTTGAGCCTGAGCCTAAGCCCCAAGCCCAAGCTAAGCCTAAGCTAAAGCCTACTCACCTGACTCTCCGTGAACTCGTTTGTCTCGTTGGCCAGCTTAAACTCGACGACCAACCGCAAAGCATCGCCCGTGATGCTAAAAGTTGACCCTTCTACACCGGGAAAAGTCCACTCACTGTTGCATATAATCGTCGCTGCTCAACTCCAGATATGATTGACCCCCGAAATGCATCGCCTCTAGAGAGTTGGTGGTGTCTGGAAAGGGAAGCCTGAGGGTGAAAACTCGAATGGTCACGGCCCCTTTAAGCTCGCTTTGAAAGCTTACTTTGGGCGCAACTCTTGCCAAACGTCGGCCATTGGCAGAGACAGACGAAGCGGTCGTGTCGGGCTGCACAGCCACCCGGGCAGCCGCTTCCGGCACAAGGGTCTGAGCCGCATTCACTAAAGGAAGAGGTTCTTTAGCGGTCTCTATTTCTCTCTTGCACTTTCGCGCGCTCTTTCTCTCTCTCTCTCTCCTCTCCTCTCTCTCTCTCGCTCACTCGCACTCTGTTTCTCTCTGTCCAGCTCTCTCTCGCTCTCGCCCTTTTTCTCCATCACTCTGTCTCTCTCACCCGCTCTATCTCTCACTATCCAGCTCTCTCAAACTCCCACTCGCTCTCGCTCTCTCTATCTCTCTCTCTATCTCTCTCTCTTTCTCTCTCTCTCTCTCTCTCTCTCTCTCTCTCTCTCAATTGCCTACCGTGTCTCCACAGCGGGCAGCTCCCCTAGATGCTGATGATGCCCATTTACAACCACCTGAAATTCAACGAATTTTCGGCTCAAACCCCAATTTAAGGATCAAGCTCAAAGCTTACCCTCTTAATACAACCATGAAAACCATGAAGAGCCAGCAAATGAGCCGGTGTGGCCTCATTTGGATGCCCAAGCGTTGCCAGTCCCTTTAAAATGGCCATCCTTCGCGGCGGACCCCTGGCAGAGTGGACTTCCGCTTCGACCCACGATTGGCGATCAACCTGAAAATTTAGCTGTTTTTTTTCAAGCTATTCAGCGCTCTTCGTTGCAAGTACTGCCCCGGGATTGGCCTCGTTTGCTAAAAAGTGCCCCGGTCCCTCCAAATCTTACCTTGAGGAGGATGCCCTTCCCGGAGCGCCACACCTCCGCCTTGTGCCAATTATGGAGTGAGACAACACTCTCCGACCTGAAAAAAGGCAGAGAGAGAGAGAGAGAGAGAGATGAGCGGGAGAGAAGAGATAAAGAGCGATAAATCCCACCTCAACGCCACCGCGTCCACCCCCATCGACGCGTGCACGTTCACGAAGCCCTCGTCGAGCGCGAGCACCACGTACCGCTCCGCGTCCGACCATGTGAAAATGACGCCCTGAAAAGCGTATTAAACGACGTCTTCCTATTCCTTTTTCCTGACCTCCCAACCCCTTTAAAAGTCTAGCAAGCCGCTGCTTACCTGATTTTTCGACGGCTTAAAGTAGAGCACGAGCTCCAGATAGTCTTCGATGTCTTCGGGGAGATTTAGGGTGACTCTTGAGTTGCCGGAGAATTCGACAATTCGGAGGGGGGATGGTGAGGAGGCTGAAAATGACCCAAGTTAGGTCAAATTTGAAAACATAAGCCTAAGCCTAGCCTAAGCCTAGGCCTAAGCCACCTTAGCCTAATTTGCATATTTTCACGGACCCTTTTTCTCAACTGACCCCCTAGCCGCCGTCCCGCTTTCCGATCAAATTTGCTGCGCGGGTTGAAAAATTGGATTGCGCCCATCTCCCGAGCTTTTTCTTGCCCTACTCCCGCGCAACCTTCAGAAAACCAGGCTTTTAGAAGAAAAGGATTACTGTTGAAAAATATCTGCTCTTGCTCTGTCTCTCTCGCTCTCTCTCGCTCTCACTCTCTTTCTCACTCTCTCTCTCTCTCTCTCTCTCTCTCTCTCTCTCTCTCTCCTCAAATCCTGAAATGCCAGAGGCCCTTCAAACGAAAAATACTAGAATGTTTTCGCCGGGCAGAAGCAACCACTCTGAATGGAATAGAATATTCTGGTTTGATGGGCCCCGCGGGTGGAAAGGCCCGCAAAAACAAATCGGGAAGTCGACTGGCTGAAAGACTAAAACAAGCCTAAATCCAACCCAAGCCTAAGCTTAAGCCTGAGCCTAAGCCAGGTCCAAGCCAGGGCTAAGCCTAAGGATTTATAAACGAGACTACGAGACTCAAGCTTGCTAAAACCAACCATTTCTGTTCAATGACGTTTCCTTGTGATCATTGCCCATAAGGAGCACGTGCTCGGCTGAGATCTGCTTCTCCACCGGCTTCTTCGGCTTGGCGGGCAGCTGAAATATTTTGATGCAAAAATGATATTTAGGCTTCACCTGGGCGAGGAATCGAGGCTTCGGCCGGGTGGGTTTGTAGAGGAAATCATCTAAAAATTGATAATTATATTATGATTAAGGTTTTAACCAGGCTAATTTGTCAGCAAGAGAGAGCGCGAGAAAAAGAGAGAGAGAGAGTGAGCGAGAGAAAGAGAGAGACAGAGAAAGTGAGAGAAAGAATTACTTTTAACCCTCATCAAAACTTATTCAACCCCTTTAAACCCACGTACCCAAATCCCCGCTCAAATTCAAACTCCGAAAGCTGTTCTCCAGCAAAAGTCCATAGTAGTCAAACGGAATCGTCGAGGCCAAAGGGCACAATATAGACAATAATGACACTACCCAGGCTACCGTATGCATCGCAGTCAAGAGTAGCGCCCCGGAAAATCTGGCCCTGGACCCGGGGCCTAGGGGCGGGCCCACCATGGGTCTCCCCAAAGGGGCACCGAAAAAATGGACGTGACCAGGGTCTTCTCGCGGAAAAAGAGCTGTGAAATGGGCCCTCCAGCAGCACATTTGGCCACATCAACCCCCACTAGGGCCTAGGAGGGGAGCCCAGAAAAAAAACAATTCTAATTTAACGGACACCCCGGAGGGAGGGAGGCCTCAAAAAGTGGCACCGGAAATGGGGGAGAGTAAAGCGGAAATTGTATCAGGGGATTAAAGGGAACGGGAAGGGGCAGGGGTTAAAATCGCTATATCTCCCGTTCTCTCGCTCTCTACTTTATCTCGCTCATGCTCACTCTCTCGCTTTCTCTCTCCATCACTTTCTTCATCGATCTCTCTCTCTCTCTCTCTCTCTCTCTCTCTCTCTCTCTTCTCTCCTCCCTCTCGTTCTCTTTCTCTCTCACCTGAAGCTCCAGTCTTCAATACAATCTCCTTTATCGTCAACGTCGGCGCGGGTGGGGCCTCTTCAGAATCCTCCGACTTCTCCGTCACCTTTTCGGTCGTTAATCCCATCGGAATACTCTTCACGGTAGTGGGCGGGACTTCAGTACAGTATCCTAAATCAATTAGTCACTTTACAGCGTCTAATTTGCGTTTTTCCTCAAAGAATCTCTGCTAGCCCACCCACCCAATTGCTCCCTGTTGGCGGCCAAATTGACGCCGGTTCGGGTGTCCAGGTGAAGGCGGCCGTTGATTTCCACCTGGAATTTTTGGGGTGGCTGTCTCCCTCTCTCTCTCTCGCTCTGTCTCTCATTAGTCAAATGACAAATGTCTGTATAGAAAAATCGAGCCTAATTAGGACCAACCCTCCGGACGCAGCCTTCGATGCCGTTCGACGCGCCAGAACGACCTGAAATTTGGGAATTCGCAAAAATTTTAATAAAAAAAAGAGAGCGAATTATTATAGAGATATTCAAAATGTTAATCGATGGCGAAAAACAATCGAAAAAATGTCTAAAAACCGTTTTTACCTTCCAAAAAGTCAATGTCCACGGGGGCTCCTCCCAAAAAGACGGCCTTGTCGACGCTGATCCCTTTGTAGTGCTGGAAAAAAGTTAGGTAGTTTTCTGAGCCAAGCCTAAGCGAAGCCCAAGCCCAAGCCTAAGCCTAAGCCTAAGCCAAGCCGAAGCCGAAGCCTAAGCCTAACCTAAGCCAAGCCCAAGCCCAAGCCTAAGCCTAAGCCTAAGCCAAGCCCAAGCCTAACCTACCTTGAACTGCTCGGTCCTGTCGACCATCTTCTGCCCCCTATCCGCCTTCATATCCGAGTAGTCGCAGAACTTGCGGTGCACGGTAAGAGAATGCCAGGTGCCGCTTTTGAAGGGCCCTCTAAAACGTATTACAAATGTATAAAAAATAAAAATTAAGCTAACCTGTACAAATCCTCGATCGCCCCTTCGCCACAATCAAATCTGCAATTTTTCGCTTGAAATAAGTTGTAAAATTCTTACCGTAATATAATATTCGGAGCCTGGAAGACGATGGAGAAGAAATCGTCGCCGGCGAATTCGCCAGCAAACAGGAGAATCCCGTCGGCTTGGGAATTTAACCTGGAAATATAGAAATAAAAAGTTTTCTAAAGTTTTGATCGTTTTTTATCGACTGGAGTGGTCTACCAAGCATAAGTTTAGGCTTATGCGCACGCGTCCTAGGCGCAAGCATAAACTTCATCATAAGCCTCGGCCAACGCCTCAGCCTAAGCCTGAGTCTAATCCAAAACCTGGCTTGGAAAACTTGAGAAAACTTAATAACGCTATTCTCAAAAAATCGACTCCTAAATGCTGAAAAACTTACCGAAACTCGATCGTCACGTTCGACTCCAGGTAGAACGAGTCATCCGCCGGTAGCTCGGCGTAGTTTTTGCCTTAACAAAATAAGGTTCAACTTTTTGGTTTAAATTTTTTGATTTTCATTAAAGTAATACTGGGTGTCCCAAAAAAAAGCACCCCCCTCTAGCGGTCCGTGGTAAGCTCAGATCAGGATGATTTTTATACCATTCGAAAGCCCGCGAAAAGGCGAGAAAACAAGCGGGCTTCATTTTCTAAGATTTCTTCTAATTCGTCCGATATTCAGCGTTTTTCTAAAAAAACAGGTATCTTTTCAATAGGAATTTCGCAATTAGCATGCGGATCTCGCGTAAATCTGCCGTTTTCATGGACTTTGGAGGTAAAATTCGCCAATAAAAATACATAATAAAGAAAATGAACCCTCCATGTTTTCTCGTCTTTTCGAGAGCTTTCGATAGATACCTAAACGGCGATAATCGGACAAGTCTGCGCGCCGCTAGAGGGGGGTGCTTTTTTTTTGGGACACCCTGTAGTCTTAGCCCTACCATTAAAGCGTAGAGGCGGCTCCTTGTCGATGGGCAGTAGCTGAACAATGTCATTTTGGGCCGGTGTTGTTATCTTAAATTTGGTTTTCAGGGTCCAGTTGTTGAAGCCAACCCTCGGCGAGTCGGTCAGCCGCTCGGTCGGACGGTCGCGTGCCGTGCTTTTGGTGGCGTTTACTGAAAAGGCGAGTCAGTCTGGATATCTCTCGCCCACTCGCGCTCTCTCTCTCTCTCGCTCTCTCTACTTCTTATCTATAAAATTTTCAGGGAAAAGAGAAAGATCCGAATGGCAATCAATGGTGACACTACCGTATCCACGGTTACACCCGGCGCCTCCGAACAATTCCACGTCTACAAGACGCTGTTCATAGGTTCCTTCTCTCACTCTCTCGCTTTCTCTCTCCTCAACTCCAATACGTACATCTACACGACACCCCATCATCATCAAGGCTGTGATCGTTGAAGCAGCCGCACTCGTACGTCTCGGGCGATATCGCCAGGCACAACTGCTCGCAGATGACGGCTTGGTCTCGGCATTCGCCTGAAAAAGTATAAATTTAGACGGTATTTGACGATGCCAAAAAGGTTTTTTTTGAGAAAGAGAGCGCGAGAGTGGAGAGAGGAGAGGGATAGGGAGAGAGAGCCAGAAAGATATAGAGAGAGTGAGATAGAGAGAGCAGATTTTTTAAACTTTGATATTTTTTTCGTAATTTCCCGTTTACCCTTCAACCCCCCGCTGTCCTTAGGGCATTTAGGCTAGCTTCGCGGCCCTGGGGGCGTCTGGAGTGACCCAATCCATCACTCGGCCCGGCCCTCATTTCATATAAATACCCCCGGCCGCTTCAACGAGCCCTCCATATATTCGGCGGATCGTATTTCATGCGCTCGTGCCGGTGCAGGCCCAAATTTACGCATGTCGTGTTTTTAAAGACGTAGTGAAGGCATTTTTAGCCTGGGCTGAAGCTTGAGCCCGAACCTCAAGCTCCTCAGATGTGAGAAGATTGGGGGTATCACGCTTCAAAATGCAGAAAAACCAAGCGTAAGCCTAGACCTAAGCCTAAGCCTAACCCTATTCCTAAGCCTGACCTAAGCCTACGCCAGGTTAAGCCCTAGCCTAAGCATAAGCTCAAGCCGAAGCCCAATTAAGCCTAAACCTAAGCCTAAGCCCAAGCCTAAGCCCAAACCTAAGCCTCGGCCTAAGCCCAAGCCTAAGCCAAAGCCCAAGTCTAACCTCTAAAAGCTTTCAGCAAAATCCCCCGGATCCCCGTTCCGCAAAAATCCTCCCAACGCCGGGGTGCTAGCGGGCGGGTGCAGGTATTCAGCGAGGATTTCCCCATTCCGCACGGACGCTCCCCGGGAGCACATAATTACTCAGTACACTGGAAAATGTAGGGGGATGGAGGGGAAGGGGGAAGGGCTATGGATTTTTGGGGTTTAAAGGGGTGGTGACAGCTAGTCTCTGTAGCTCTCTCTCCTTCTGTCTCTCTCTCTCACTCTCCCGCTCTTGGCCCTTGTTGACCCCCGAAACACCAAGAATTTCAAGAAAACCCTTCCGGGCCTCAGCTCGCCTCGAAAATTGGATAATTCCCCTTGGATGTGTAGCGGGGGGCACTTTGCCCGGCTTTTGCGTCCCCTATTTCACACCCAAATTGCGTGACTTTGCGGCTAAGAAGTAAAGAGAAGTGTTGTGGATTAAGAAATTGGTTCGGCAGCAATTTGGCAGGCTAGAGAGAGGGGAGAGCGAGAGAGAGAGAGAGGGAGAGAGAGAGAGAGAGAGAGAGAGAGAGAGAGAGAATTATATGGAAGCTAGCAGAGACCATTTAGGAAACCTGCCGGGTACGAAATTTTATTCGAGGGCAGTTAGGCAAGCTAACATCGTTTCTTTGGGAATTCAGGGCCTAACTAGCAGTGGTTCTTGAGGAAGCTCGGAGCCAACTAGCAGAAGGTTTTGAGGAAGGGCCAGCTAGCAGGTATCATTAAGGAAGGAATGCCAGGCAAGCTAGCGTAGATCCTTGCGGAGATTTGATTCACGGGCTAGGTAGCTGAGACCATTGGGCCAATCCGTTGCTTTCTTTTCCCTTAAAACTCACCTGCTTCGCCCTCTGTTTGAAAAACCTTGGCCCCTGAGCAAGGTGAGCCTCGGATTCGGGCCATTGAGCCCGCGGGGCCCTGGGCCTAAAATTGGATTGGGTGTCTTGTTGTGGGGCCCGTTTTGAAGGCTCCCAACTTTTTTGCGGGTCCCTTGAAAGGGGTATGAAAGGGGGATCTTTGAGGAAAAGGAGGACCCATGCACCTAGTCCCGGATGGGTGAAGCATACACACAAATACACTCGTGGAGACACTTTCATGCATCGGTAAGATCCTCTTGGGGTGGATCAGTTAGGGAGAGAGAGAGAGAGAGAGAGAGAGAGAGGGGGGGGGGGGAGGGAGATAAAGAGATAGAGAGAGCGAGAGAGAGCGGGAAGAGAGATACAGAGGGGGAGACAGAGACAGAGAGAGTGAGAGTGGGAGAGAGAGACAGAGAGAGTGAGTGGGTGAGAGGTGGGGAGGAAGAGCGTGAGAGAGAGGGGGAGAGAGACAGAGAGAGTGAGAGTGGGAGAGAGATAGAGAGATAGCAAGAGTCCGGAGAAAAATGCATCTTGACGTTTTTTTTGTTCTCTTTTCGATGCTAATGACCAGCATGGGTGGATACAGGCTTCACAGAATAGCTTGCCTCATGTTGGCCTTTTTTATGCCTCTAAAATGCACAAAAAAACTGCTAATGTTTTTGGCGCGGTTCGCAAAACGCCAACGAAGCTTTCCAAACTTCGAAAACATCCGGGCCCTATTTCGTATTACGTTGTCCGACTTTCAGCGTTCCTAGGATCCCCTCGAAACTTTGCCGAGCCCCCTAATCGAGGGCCTTATGGCGCGCGGAATTTAGGAACGCATGAGGGATGGGTCAGATAATCATATCCCCCCACCCCCACTCGGCCACTGAAACCCATTAGGATTTGGGGTGGATGGGGGGCCCTTGAATATGCAATGGAATGAATGGGTTCAGCGGGAGGAATCGGAATTTGAACTTATGGGGGTTTTTAAAAACGAGCTTATGCATAAGCCGAGCTAAACCTAAGCCTAAGCCTAAGCAAAGCCTAAACCCAACCAAGCGTAAGCCTAAGCCTAAGCCTAATCCAATTGCATTACTCAAACTTCAGTTCCTAAATACAGTACCCAAACCCAATACAACCTCCAAGGCTTTCAGGAACGTCAGACCCCCTATCAAATCCAATTCCACTTTTCCACAAGTTCCGTCAAAATACGCGAAAACATTCAAAGCGCTGTCAGTGGGTGGACACGGACCCGACAAAAGCCCAATTCGATTCGCCTTGAACTCGTTTTTTTTGCTTGGGCGTGTATGTGTGTTCGCCATGCCTCCTTGAGTCCTATTTGGCAACTGGCGGCTGCAAAAAATGGGATGAAACAAACTGGTTTTCAAATTCCCTAAATTTGCACCCGGGGGATGTCGCGGTCAAGTGATGGATTTTTTTGGTGAGAAATCACGTGCACCGGATTAGAATTGGAAGAATAAGGAGGCGAATATCGCTTAGAAGATGACTTAGGCTTTGGCTAGAGTTTTTCCGTTTTTCCTAGTGCTTCTAAACTTCCAAAGTGTGTTTTTATTCTCACCCAACTCTACTGCCGCCCCAATTCCGATGATTACTCTTGACGCGCCCCCAGGCTAGCTCTCAAATTGCAAAAAAGCGCAAAGCCGGGGGGGGTGGACGACGAAAACTACCCCCCACATTTCGCCTAGCAACCGGCGTGGATACACGAATTTTGAGGGTGGCCGGAAGGACGGGGGAGGAACACCTTGCAGGGCCGCAAAAAATAGGGACAAAGCCGGGGAGTCATTTTGGGAGGTGGAGAGGGGATTAAGTTTAGGTGGACGGGGGGGGGGTGAGGGGAGGAAAAGACGACTTTCCGGTGGGTATATGGGTTTTAGGGGGTAAGAAATGATACTATATTTTGAAAAAAAGTGAATATGTAAGTCGAGGGCTGAGGTTAAGCCATAGCCTAAGCCCAAGCCTAAGCCTAAGCCCATGCTCAACCTAAGCCTATGCCTAAGCCCATGCCTAAGCCTATGTCGATGCCTAAGCCTAGGTCTAAGCCCAAGCCTAAGCCAAAGCCTAAACCTAAGCCTAAGCCTGCCGGAGCCTAAGCCAAGCAAGACCAGGTAAGAATATAATTTGTGACAAAAATAATATTTTTTTTACCAAAAAACCAACCCTGAAAAACCGTTGCGCCTCGCACGAACGGCCCGAAGGCGATGAGCAACGACAGCAGATGGTACATCTTGCAGAAAATTCGTTGAAATAATCGAATAGTAGAGTTTTATTATTTTTCCGGGCCGTCAACTCGCATCATCGCGGAATGGAAGGGGGTGGCGGAGCGTGGATTATGGCCCTGAAGGGAGACAGACAGACATACACACACAGACAGACGGATACTTGGTGCCCCCAGGCCACGCCCCCTTTTGCCCCGGCCATTCCGAATGAATACACAATTCCGGTCAGGCTTCTCGGGCAATAGGTGGGTATTCAGGTAGCGGAGGAAAGAGAGAGCAGAGAGAGAGAGAGCGAGAGAGAGACAGAGAGAGAGAGACAGAGAGAGAGAAGCTCAAGCAAGCAAAATAAAGTCAAAGAGCAAGAGAAGTAAAGTGGTAGAGCGAGATCGAGCTAGAAGAGAGAGAAGAGAGAAAGCGAGAGAGGGAGAGAGAGAGAGAGAGAGAGAGAGAGAGCCAGATTGAAAGAGAGTAGACGCTGGAGAGAGCTAGATATAATTTTTTCGCAACAACTAACAAAGGTAACTTTTTTCTCAATTTCGATACCTTTTAAAGGAACCAGAAATTTACCTTTCTAAATTTCCACCTCCTGCCACCCGTTTACATCAAATTTCTGCCTCGGGAGATCCATATTTATAAAAAACCTGCCGAAAAACATTTCAGGAATCCACGAAAATCCCCCTTTACACTATCCGCCCAACACAATCAACAAAAAGAAAAAGTTGCGCGCTCGAATCTGGCTGTAATCTAAATGGTAAACAGGCGATGGGCGGAGGCTATAAAAGGAATAGATATTGGGATTTTTCTTGATTTTTCACGTCTTAAAATACTCCAGTTCTCAAGCCTAACCCTAAGCCTAAAACCAAAGCCAAATCAACGCCTAAGACTAAGACTAAGCCGAAGCCGAGGTCCAATCCCAGTCCTAAGCCTAACCTAAGCGTAAGCCTGAGCCTGAGCCAAGCCTAAGCCTAAGCCTAACCCTTGGCATCCTTGAAGTGTCCTTTAATTTCCATCTTTCCTATTTCTTTCATCACCCCCGGGCGGCAACAATAAATTGAGAGAAACGGCCTTGACACTCAAAAACAGGCAGCCCTATTTATCGCCGAGAAAACCGTGTTTCCATTTTTTCAGCTCGAAAAATTGACCATTTTCGAAATCGCCTTTATTGTAGCCATGCGGTGTTTGCTAATTCTTGCCCTTGCTACCGTGGTCACCGGCGACAGTATGACCCGAACCATCACGCTTCATGGAAATGAGGATCTGGGAAAGATTTTGGAGGAAACGATGCCGAAGGTATGAGTCTTGCTCTTCTAGAACCTTGAGGTTAAGTTCAAGCTTAAGTCAGGCTTGAGCCTAAGCCTCCTAAGCCAAGCTAAGCTGAAACCCAAGCTAAGCCTAAGCCTAGCACTTTTTTTCAGAAATGCACGAAAAACGGCAAAGAATACGAAGTGAACGAGGAGTTCGCTTCCGGCCATCTGCGATACAAGTGTGGAAAGTATGGCGTGTACACGATCGAAGGTATCTTTGAATTAATATAAACTATTTGATGATAGTGCATCGTAAGAAAACGTTTAATATAAGCTAAATAAGTTTAATAAGTACAAACTACAAAATATAGGCTGTCGAACTGAGAAAGGCCACGATATGGCCGTCGGGGATCGGCATGTTGACGACAATGTTTTGTCCCAGTGTTTTAAGGTTAGTGGTTTTGCGCTCTGTGCTATAACAAAAGTGTTAAAATTGTCGAAAAATTTTGACTTTTTTCAAAACAATGATGAAAATGGACCGGAATTTCCAATTTTATAAGTTTTTCTAAAATTTTAGCGATCAGAATGTATAAAAAAAACTTTACAAAAGTGGTTACACTCCATTACGATGTTTTACTAGATTAAAATTGCTAAATTTCAGTTTAGTTTTTGTTCGTTCCAGAAAGGCGGCTCCATCTACTACCGCACCACCGTCTGCGGCACGATGGGCATGCCGGAATGCGATTCTATCAAGCCGGTAAGTCCCTATCACGTTTTATTGACTTTCTATAACCAATTCCAGAGCCCTATTCCTTCAACTAAAACTGCAAATCCAAAGCAAAGGCCGGTCAAACCCAAAAAGCAATCCAAAAACCGAAAATTCGCACCGAAATTGGCAGCAAAACAGGCTCAAAATCCAAAAATGAAGCCAACTCCAAAAACCGAAGCTCAACTATTCGCAAAAAGCAAGCCAAGCCAAGGGAATAGTTGTATAAGTAGCGTATCGGAAGCTGAAGCTTTCCCAAAAGTTTCGATAACAAAGATGATAAAGGTTGTTAAACAGGTAAGTAAAATCAACGAAAAATTTGTTTCCTCGGCTTATTACTTCAAAAAAGGGTAAAATAGTTACACGGTTAATTTAAATCGTTTTAAAATAGTTACAAACATTGTATTTCCTAAATAAACTTCCATAATTTCAGGATAGCCCACTGATGGGCTCTTCCGGAATCCAAGAATCCGGCTCGGTGTCGCGCACGCTCACCACTGGCGATTTGAAGAAGCTTCCTGATGTAATTTAGAGTTTTTGTCCTACAATCTCTTATATATAAGCTCTTATATATATATCCGTAATAAAAACGATAAGTTGAATACTGTAGATCTTCCTATAGATGGAAATCTTTTTTTCTATAAATAGCGAAATGTAGTGTTTTTAGAGTTTGTGTTTTTATTCCTAGCTATATTTCGAGTAAAAAGAGCATCTAAAAACTTGTAAACATTTGGAAAATTCGCAAATTCGGTCGAAAAATCAATATTTTTGTATTTTTATTCGAAAGCCTTGTATTATTTATTTTAGCAAAATTGGAACTAAAGACGTTTGTTAACCCTCCTGATAATGCAAAAGAACCGATTAAAAAAACGCTTCCTTTCAGGCCCAGGGTCTCCCGTTCGGCTGGCATGTGCTCGAGGAGAAGAAGAGCAACGCCCCGAACACGAACGTCCAGCTGACGTCGCGGACGCTCATCTTCAACCCGACACAATAATTAATAAACTTTTAAACTTTCAGATTAACATTTCTACAAGAGCGGTTTATAAAACAGAAAATACGGCAAGAATAACAATATAGAAGACTATCTTTATTCGGGAAAAAGAAAGTTCAGGAATTTTTTTGCTTCGTTTAGCGGGCTGAACGTTGGCTCTCGACGCTCAGGGTTCTCGATGTGTCCGACTAAAAAAGAAAAATGATGAATTTTTAACTAAAAATTACCGCCTGAGAAGTGCTCTTATTTTTGCGAATGGAGCTCTGGTAGAGCTTCTCGTCCTCGATTCGCTTTTTGCGGAAGTTGGCCGAGACTTGGATCTACAAAAAAATAACTATATAACTGGATTCTATGAAAAATACTATTAAAATACCCTTTATTACGTTACAAGGCATATCTAGAGTTAGAAGAAAAAATTTCGTCCCCCGATACTACAAAAGCACCTAAAAACAAGAATAATACGAAAAAGAACACCTACTCGTTTGATGGTCATCTCCATATTAGCGTCGACGACCAGCGAGGCGCCCATGTTCACGCTATCCGCCTAAATTTATGGGGTGCAAAAATTGACTTCATGCCCACCTCGGTGCCGCGGTACCCCGGCGCGCTGAAGATGGTGAGCACCTTCTTGTCGGCGAACGTGCTGTAGCCGTTGATCGGCGACTGGTGGCCGCGGACGATGAGGTCAATGTCGAGCTTCGCGCACGTCTTCTGGACGGCATCCGGGGCGAACAGCTGGCCGATGCCGTTGACCGGCTCGCGGTCGAGGTTCGCGCGGAAGCCTGAAGGGGGTTGGATTGTTATTTCGGGTTCTTTGGCATTATCAGGGGGGATAAGCCTTATGTTTAAATTCCCAAAGGTAGAACTTTGAAAACTGCATTAAAAATACAAGAATATAGATTTTTCCACGTAAAAATGACCCATTTTCGATAAATTTAGACGATTTTCCTCTTTCTAATTAGCTTTCCGTTTAAAATTTCGCGGGGGAAAACCATTTTTTGTAAAACACCTTTTTGCATTCTTCGCATTGTTCGGGTCCGACCACACCAGATCGCAGGCCAGCGAGCCGACGGTGAACACGTCGACGGGGCGTTCGATGGCGATGATGTCCTAAGAAATCGTTTTATCTATTTTTTGTTTAAATTCTAATATTTCTATATTTTTAAAAGCACATGGTTTTCAAAACTTACATCCAACGTCCTCAACTTCGGCGAGATTCCGCCGTGCACCCCGAGAATCTGCTTGTTGACGAGGGCGGCCATCGGCATCCAGGCGAACAGCTCCTTGAAGGCCTGGTAGACGGGCGCGCCAGACTCTAGACGAAATCGGTGTCAAATACAGGCGTTCTCATCTACCCACCTCCAAACCTGGTCATCACCTCGTCGTAGAACGAGTAGGTCTTGTTGAGCATCTCCTCCTCGTGGTTGCCGCGCACCATGTAGACACCGGTGGGGAAGACGACCTTCAGCGCCGCCATCAGGGCCAGCACCTCGACGCCGTGTGAGCCGCGATCGACAAAGTCGCCGAGGAAGACAGAGCTGAAAACGTTGAGCTATTTTGTGCTTCATCTTCTCGGTGTACCGCGTCTTGTACGGCCAGCCGTTGAAGTTGAACCAGCGGAACAGGTCCGAGTACTGCCCGTGAATGTCGCCGTACATCACGCACGGGACGGCCACCTAGAAGAACTTTAGATTTAGGAAATCACCGTATTTTTCTCACCTCAACCAAAGACGATTCCGCCTTGAACACGTCAGTAGCCATCTGCAATAACTGGCACAGCTCCTCGCATCGGAAGGTGAAAGAGCGAGGGCCGTGGCGCAAAATTTGGACGAGGAGCCGCGAGGCGAGGTCGAGCTCAGGCGGCGCGTCCGTCAAATGATCATCTGAAGCCATGAAGTGTACGTATCAGCATCGCCGGCCTACCAATCGTCTTCGGGTCGACGTAGGTGATCTGGTCATCGGTGGCGTAAGTGATGACCTTGACAATTTCGGGCTTCCGTCGCCCGCCTGTCGTATCTTTTAGGATGCTCGTCTCCGTAGACGGCACCGTGCGGCGCTCGTAGACGGCTCTAAACAACACGTACATCTTTTGTTACAAGCTCACTTGATAATCCGCGACAACTTCTTGGGGTCGATCTGATTCTGGACCTTCAGATGTCGGAGGTCCTCGTGCGGGGCGGGCACCGTGTTGTTGGCGGACAGTGGCTTCGAGACGGACGTCTGCTTGCTGGGCGGGTCGGGTAACCCTTCTTCGACGGCGATCTCCCTGCAGCAATAAAACAATATTGCAAGCTGAAAGCAAAACCCACTTTTTCTGCGACGTGGGCGGCTTGGACTTGTTGCAGATGAGGTATATCGTGTAGAGCGCCACGACGCCGACGCCGCAAAGAAAAAGGCAGCCGAGGAGGATGGCGACGATCATGCCGGAAGTTAGCGTCCCATCCGTCGGGGCTACAGTTCCTAAAAAGTAGTTATTTTGGCAAGTAACCAAAAACCCACCATCCTCTCCTGTCGTGTCACGAATGGGCCGCGAGTTAGTGAAATCCATGCCAAGTAGAAGTGAAGACTTGCGAACAACGCGATTAAGGTAGTAAGAAGTGTTGGAAATGGCCTCATTATTTCGCGATTTTCGGACCTTGAGGAATCTATGCAATTCACATAGTCAAAGAAGGGTTATGCAAACATTAGAGACGATGTCCTGGAACGGTTGATAGGCAAACCGGGGGCCTTCTATCGATTCCTGGGCCGGGAAGATAAGGCAACGCTTGAAACACGAGTATTATTCGGATTTGCGTTTAGTTCCTACAAGTCGTGTTCTTCATCTTTACCTTTGTTTCGATAATGTTCCTTTATTTGTTTTACGGCACTGATACAGATACTGATCCCATAATTTATTTTCCAGACACTACACGACATGGCGCTGTTTATTTCACAATTTCTCAAATTGCCACACGCCCTGAAAGCTATAACGTTTGTAAGTCGGCTAGATAAATTTAATCAAATAAAATAAGAACTAAAATCTGACTTTTGCTAACTCAAATCTTAAACATCACTATAATTTTCCCATTGCAGTTGTTGAGCCTATGTCTGGCCCTATGCCTCCTCATCGCCCCATCAGCACCGGGCTCCTTCCTAGTGTGGTTCACCGTCTTGATCGCCTTCCTCCTCGACCTATGTGCAGCTGCAATCCTAATATTTGAGCTAGAGGAAATAGTCTTCCCGCTATGCCGCTCTATCAGCTTTAGCATGACGGTAAAAAAGTTCTAAAAGCCTCTTGACTCCACAGGAATCCCTAGGTGCGTTGTTGTTGACCATCCTCCATTTTGTGTCGATGTGGATGTGCTACAATGCGAAAACATGGACGAACAGCTTCACATGGACCGTGGCATCCGGGCTCTGCTTATTACAAGTAGCCGCATTCGGCTTCGACTTCTTCCAATATTTCCGCGTATGGCTGAGGGAGCAGCGAGAGATTGGTAAGAACCTGTCGCATTTATTAAAGTAAAATTTCCAGCCCAAAACCTGCGAACCGAAGTCCCGCCCAACTATGGAATGCCATGAAGTGTACGATAAACTTTTGCTGGGCCAATATTTATGTAAACGCGAGAGCAGAGATCAAAAAAATGCACTTGACAAGTCTAATCAATCACAATTAACCCGATAGGTCGACAGACTACATGGGAAAAATTTGGTTAAGATAGCTAGAGTCATTAATATGATGGCGGTATATGATGTTTTTAACTGAAGGTGACCTTGTCGGCGGGGAGGTGGCCAATGTCACCGAGACTGCGGAGAGCCACGCGTCCGTTCGGGCGGATCATCAGCCACGTCATCGAGCAGTTGCCCAACGACATTCGGAGCCAGCCCTCGGGCGGGAATTGGAGAGCCCTAAAATAGATTTAGTTGAAGAAAGACATCTCTAACCTGCAAACAAAGTAACGGATCACATTGGCATGGCACACGAGCACTTCGGTAGAATCTTCTTTCTGCTGTGGTGGTGCGCGATGGAAGTACTTGCGGAAAGCCGCCTCAATGCGAAGTCCCTCCGAGAAGAACTCCTGAATAAAATAAATTAAAAAGGCTAATACATATCGTATTTTTTTACAACGGCATAACTAAGCAGCTTCAAAAGCTAATTTTTCAATTTCGAAAAGCACTTCAAAAATGTACTCACGTTTTTGGCCGGGACCCAGTGAGGAACAGCGGGCTCTGGGGGGTAGGGTGGCCCTTCCTCGATCAGGGCATCGCTCTTCCGAGGCAAATCCGATGGAAGCTAAACTAGTCAGTGAATAAACGCCCGAATTAGAATTCACCTTTTCCAAGATGATCCCGGCGGTCTCCGTAGCTCGATTCATCGTCGACATGTAGAGGGTCGTAAACTACAATTTACAATTTCTCAAAATTTGAGGTTCCCAATACCTTTATCCCACTGTTAGCCAACCGTTCTCCCAACAAGGCGGCTTGTTCGCGCCCTAAATGGATGTAAATCACCGCCTTATTTTCCCTACCAAGCTCGGTCAAAAACTTGTCCTTCGAATCCATCTTGTATTGCCCGTGTCGAATCAGGATGATGTTCCGGGTGGCCGTCGGCTTATGCTAACATCTTTTTTTGAGAGTTATAGAGCCAAAAATTACCTCTGCAATCATTTCTTTCTGCTTTTCCTCGGAAGCACTCTTCAACACCTTCGAATCGATCAGCCACTTAGGATCACGCCTAAAACCGTGTAAACAAGGTCAGCAAAAAAACTCACTGGTCCCAGTTCGAGTCCCACTTCTTTCGGGGGAACATGTCCATCCCGAATTCCGTGTCGGATCGCTCGCCATTGCGCGCCGGGTCGCTCCAAGCGTCAGTCTTCCTAAATAATAAACTGAAAGATTCTAAAACAAAGATACCTCTTCGATGACGAATCGTCAGAATAACAATGGGCGGCGGCTACAACCCCGGTAACTGGGACCAGGCGTTTGAGCAAATACATTGCTGAAAAGAATTTATCTTTACAAAATTGAAAACGTTTGAAACAATTGTTTTACAGAGCAAGAAAGATTTTTTTTTAGTAAGAAAACTTTTCTTTGGCAAACGTTTTCCGGTATCCGCAACGCGCCAATACAGATGACGAGCGGGCGCCATGCGTGCTCAGCCGAGGGAAGGCCCGACAGATCGAACCCCGCATTTTTGGCCCAAAACGAAAAAGAGCCTTTGTAATTTTTCAACGCCCGATTTTTACAGCTCTTCTTTTTGTTTTTGCGAATTCTAGCTTCTTGCCCTTGCTAAGATGCTGTTTTTCAGGTAAAATGGCTGCAGAGACCGCTTCGGCCAGGCAAACCCAGAAGCCGTCGGGAAGGTGAGAGATTCTTCCGTAGTTTTTGGCTTTTTGCGTTTCTTTTCTCCATTCATCGCCGTTTTTCAGGCTATACGTGAAAGCCGTTTTCTCCGGCTACAAGAGAGGGCTCCGAAACCAACACGAGCATACCGCACTTCTGCACTTGGAAGGAGTGCACTCGAAAGAAGATGCCAGCTGGTACATTGGCAAGCGCGCCGTCTATTTCTACAAGGCCCACAACCAAATCAAGGTAATTATTTCGTTATTTAGCTAAATGTTTGTTTAGGGAAGCCGAGTTCGCGCCATCTGGGGAAAAGTGACTCGATCGCACGGAAACGCCGGAAGCGTCCGCGCCAAGTTCCACCACAACCTTCCCCCATCAGCAATGGGCAAGCGGATCCGTGTGGTTTGTTTTTTTATGTCGGGCTTGCGCTTTTTAGAAATTAGCTAGAGTAATGTGCAGAGATTTTTGCTTTTTTTGCGGAGCCGTCCACAAAATTCGTTTTCAAATCGCCCCAGTTTAATTCGGATCAAGCTCCCTTCTTTTGAACGTCGATCTTTATCGTTTTTCTGCAGCCTCAACTAATTCTTTTCTTTCAGCTGCTCTACCCGTCCAACATCTAAGCCGGAGTAAATATTTTGTTTTGTTACAACCTTTTGTTGAATAAACGTTCATGATTCTGCGGCGTTTTGCTTCAATAAAAACTGGAAATTTATTCCTGAACTATACAAACATTTGACTAGAAACCGGCATCGATATGGCAGAAACACGAACGGTACACAGATAGGGAAAGGGGTGAATTGTAGGATATGCGCTAGTTTTCGTAGCCTATTAGTCGAATTCATTGGTCATGTCTTTGGCATGATGATACGGTTTTCGTTGCTCATAATCACTGCTTTGTTCGTTGAGCTGCTCGGTGCAGTATTCGCTGGGCGTCGGACCTGGAATCTTATGATGTTGAACGTTAGGGCTTTACCTGACGACCCAATGAATTGCCTCGCGCCCGATACGCCAATGCTTTCGATCGACGAGAAAGCCGTCTTGAACATGTGGACCAATGAGAATTGTGAGATGCCTGAAGTCATTGATTATGGGGGGCTTTTTAGGACTTGTTACCAGGGAAGCACGCCGGTGTGACCTGTCCAATGTAGAAATAGAGCAAGAACAGGGCCACGAAATGAACGACGGCGAACCAGAAGTTGATGAAGAGGAGGATGAGGAAGTTGATCATGCACTGAAGAAAATATGAGAGCTGTTTGGCAACCTACTCCGATGAACGCAACGTATCTGTTGCTGAACTGGGAGTACCAGGAGGTCGGCTGCGAGACAATATCAGCACTGGTTTCGAGACCCTGGCCGGCTGTGCTCATCTATAAATTGTGGGTTTTTCTAAGCGACCGGAGGCTTATAGACTTTTACTAGCCGACTCACTTGTTGTCTTTCTGGGAAAAGCTCATCCAAGTCAGAACGTCCCGCAATCTGTTGCGTTGAGCCATACGACGAGGGAGCGGCCCTAAATCATTTTTCAGGTTTTCGAGCGTGACCTTACACGGCCTCCGTGACGCTGACCAGGTCAAAGCTCATCGCCAAGGAGACATAAGCGTAGTTCACCATTCCGTAGGTGATCATGAAGGGCATCGTAGACAAGATGGCAAGCTTTTCAAAGTAATTTACTTTTAAAAGTTCGATCTACCTGATTCAGGTCACCCAGAAGTACGAAAAGACAAGCTATTCCCATTAGCACTATAGTGGCGAGGACGGGATTTTTGTTAGCACCAGTCTAGAGACGATTGTTTTGTTCTACCTTGAAATTTACCCCTTGGGCAAGTGGAGCCAGGGCAGGGATCAGTCCTTCAGCTGCGATACCCTAGATTTTTGGGAGTTTCAAAATACAATTAACTATACTAACCTGTAATACTCTAGGAGTTCCCAGGAGTGAGCCGATGGTTGAAGAAAGCGAGCAAATGTACAAGCCGCCCATGAAGAACCAGCCGGTCAGCGAGACCTAAGTTTGTTTAGTTTTTTTTCACTTAATTTTAGACATACCCGTTCTGAGATCAAATGGTCACACAGTAGCCACCAGCGATCGACAACCGAGCCTGGAATTTTTTGGTAAATTTTATACTGAAATTAAGGCTGAGCTCACCGAGGACGAGGATGAAGAGGAAGCAGATGAATGAGGAGAGGCCCACGGCTGAGAGCTCACCGAGTGGGATGGATTTTTGTGGATCGCGCAAATCACCGGACATGTTGACGCCTGAAAATCGTTTGATTGCTTATTGTTAGCAGGATCGGACATACCCGCCAGGATCCCCAGGAAGTTGGCGAACAGCACACCGAACACGGTGAAGAAGCTCTGGGCCGGGATGGTTTTCTGAAAGTAATTTTTTTGAATACACGGATTCAGCTGACCTCGATTCCAATAACGGAGCAATTGACCGCTTCGTAGAATGGATCCGAGTTGGCGCGCATCCGGTCGAGCGAGAAGTGACCAACACCGTGTTCTAAAGTCGTCGTTTAGCATCGTTGTTTTAATTAGAACCCACCAGAATCTACCGTCCACAGACTGCCCATGAAGAAGTCGACGGTGGCCGCCCCGATACAGGCCAGCAGGATTAGTTGAAGCCTAACCACCCAGGAGACACCGGCAGCGTTAACGGCTGTAAGTTTTATTGAGAAATTGGCTAATCTGTAGCTAATTATTATTATTTTGAAAATTTACTGAAAATAAAAATATTTTCACTCACCAGTCAACGCGATCAACGTGATGATCGCGATCACCTTCACAACAGCTTTTGAATCGGTGCCAAAAAAGTGCTGCATCGACTCCCCGAAGCCAACAGCCACAAGCCCGGTCGCAACTGCCTGAAAAATGGTGCCTTCCGAGATTCAGAATTTCTTAACCTGCCCGAAGACGTAGATCAGTGCCGTGGCCCCGCCGATTTTCGCGCCTAGCACGTGCGAGATCAGGAAATACAACCCGCCCGGTTGCATTCTGGTCCGCTCGCAGATACCTAGAGATTGAGCCTAGAAAATTTCGATACGAAAATTACCTATAGCCGAGAATACGGTTATCAGCGCAAGCGCGGTGCCGATGGCTAGAAGGAGGAGAGCGTTGGCGACACCGGCAGTTCCCTAAAGAGCATATTTTGAGCTTTTGTCAGACATTTATGAGCAAAAATCAAAAATACTTTGAAACCTAATAATTTTCGATAAACTCCCTCACCACAATCCAGCCCATCCGCAAAAAGACGATAATCCCGAAGATGTTCACCATGACCGTCGGGAACACGCCGTCCCAGGTGCCGAAGAGGACCGGCTGGTTGAGGAGCAGGTTTCTAAAAAAATTCTGAAGTTTAGACGCAGTAATGGGCATAAATTTATGTCCGCTTTTCTATTCATCCCCCAGGGCTGGGGCCCACCATCAATCTACTCGGAAAGCGGGCCCCGTGGATTCCGGGGGCCCCGGGGAAGGAAATTGGGATCGGGCTCGCAAAAGGGCCGTGAAAAGCCAAATTCTAACGCTCTAAAAAGCGTAAGCCTGGAAATAAACGAACCTTTGCCACCATGGCACTCGGGCACCGTTCGTCTCCTGCGTGTAGAGCGAGTCGGGCGGATCGGCGGAGGCGGATGTGGAAGCCATCGCGCTAGGGGGCCAAGTCTGGAATGGAAAATTTATACTTTTAAACAACGCTGATCAATATCTAGCTAATTTTAAAGGTGCAGAAAAATGGCTAAAGGCTTTTAACAGAATAAATAGCCATAAAGGATACGTTATTTGGTAGGCTTGTTAATAGCTAAAATTTCAATTTCTGAGCATTACATAGCGCGACGCTTTTTAGATATAAAAACACGTTTTGAAGTGTAACATTTCTAAACCTTATAATGATAAGAAGAAAAAGAAGCACAAAAAGCAAAAAAGAAAAGCCGAAAACCATAATAGGTCTAAAAAATCTAAAAAATGCCGGTGCACCGCCTACGATGAATCTTCCGGAAACACCAAGAATCCCGAGGGGCCGCCGCGGCCCCAGCGTCGAAAATTTGGGGCTGGAATGAAAGAAGCAATTAGGGGTTTGTGGAGAGGGTGGTGGCGAGGGGCTGGTGGGCCCTCCACGGGCCCTCTACTGGCCATCGATCCGTGGCCCTGGTGGGCAAGAAGCCGAAGGGGGCATCGTCCGGCTGCATCCGGATGTCCATCGCGCTACCATGTGGAATGGAGGTTGGATTGGCAGAGGAGGAACAGTCGAAGGGTCTGAGAATAGGGCTAGAAAGTGTAAAATACCTCAAAAGTGATGGATTTTGGCCGTTTTTAACGGTTATAGGCGTTAGGGAGTTAGACGTATACAGTATACACCTACTTACGAACTGGGTAAAGAGAGACGACGGTGTTCAAAGGCGTATGCGTACCACTTGCTGAACTTGAGCTTAAAGGTACCGTAAACTTCCTAAAACTCTTTAGAAAAATGAGGGTATAGCGTATTTTTATAGATTTTTTGATAGCAAAATTCTTAAAAAGTCGTCTAAATTTGGAAAAAGACATCAGCTAGTTTTTTTTGCTTATTTTGGCGCTATTTTTGCCAATAATTCAGACTTTTTTGCCATCTTCGAAGACCAAATTCCCAGCTTTGGCGCCTCAAGTGGTCCTACTTCCGGTTTACTTAAAAAAAATTGAAGCCTCACGCCTTTATTGCCTGCTACTTTTAGAGCTCTTGCAGAGTTTCCAACTTCGAAAGCTCGGAATTCCTTTCCCGCGGCGCCAGTCTGTGCCCCGGAACAGAGCCATGAAGAGCCTGTGTGCTCTCCGCATGTTCCCCGCCCCATACCCACTAGCCCCCCATCTGGCCCACCCCTCCCCCGTATCTTCCCTCCCCCATCCCCTCATAAACTTACCTGGCTGGGGGGTTCCCGTGATCATCAAGACGGGACCCCTATGGCGAGGCTTGGCCATTGCACTTTCGGCCGGGCTGACCTGTAAGGCAGCTCCGAGTTGGGGTTCGCCTACAGCTAAATTTTTGCGTGGGGGGCTGCGTTCGCGCGGCCCTGCTAATCCTGGAAATTCGTGAAGTAAAAGAAAGGAAGCAATGCCGGAAATTCGGCAGGATTTTCAAACCAATTCTGGGTTTTTCTAACTCTCTTTCAACTTTCTCGGAGCTTGTTGCAACAAAGCTCGTCTCGAGCTATTTTCTGAGCAGGTTCAAACGCTGCGAAGTTGATACAGATTTTGACAATTCTGGATAATATCTGGCAAGAAAAAGCAGAGTACTATCAATTTGATACCTCAACCTGGAAAAAAGATTGTTTCTATGGCATCAGGAAAAAGCTATAGAAAATGTGAAGGCAACGTGGCAAGCGTTTTTTAGTATAATTTTTAGTCTCATGATTTTTAGCATCACCTCAATTTCATTTTGTATTCAACCCAATTTTGCACCCCAGCCGAGAAGGCACGTGTTCGTAGCCCCAGGGTATGTGTGTATGCGTACCCATATTTTTACACATGCTCCCCCTTCGCCTCCTCCTCCTCTTGTGAAGCTCAAGGGAAGGGGAAGAAAAAGTGAGGGTGGTGTGTGTCCGGCTCGATCTCCCCCGGCTCGGCGAGAAGGATTTACCCCCCGGCTTCCCCCCGCCACTGCACAATTGGCCCCTGATTGACAAAACAGACCATTTGGCACTTGCCGTTGTACTTGTTTTAAAATTTAAACTACAACTACAAATCTATTGAAATGCCCGGGAGTTTATAAAATTATTGATCTGCTGGTGATCCGGCGCTGAATTCCTCCAAGAACATTTAATCCTACGAAATGAAGCGCCAGGCGAGTTTTCAATCGTTAAATAATTTTCAAAGGATTTTTTTAGAATGTGCGCACGCTGTCTCTTATTGTATGTACCTTGACGTACCTTCTCGTTGGTGCTGCAGTTTTTGATGCCCTCGAATCAGATAATGAGATGCAACAGGTTGGTTTTTAAAAGTTTAAAATATTTGTTCAGGTCGCACTCGTCCAACGGATACGACGGCGGCTACTCGACAAGTACAACATGTCCGAAGCTGATTATGATATTTTGGAGGTGAAGCCACGCGTTTTTACGTTTTGATGCTCTATTTTCAGGCCACAATCGTCAAAGGCGTCCCGCATAAGGCCGGCTATCAATGGAAGTTCAGCGGGGCCTTCTATTTTGCAACCACTGTAATTACGACTATAGGTTGGTTGTCCAAAATCGTATTATTTTCTCTCTTTAATTTTCTCAGGATATGGGCACAGCACGCCGATGACCACCGGCGGGAAGACGTTTTGCATGTTCTACGCGCTGGCGGGGATTCCGCTCGGGCTGGTGATGTTCCAGAGTATCGGTAGGGAAAGGATAAAACGTTAAAAGTGGGTGTTTTTTAGGTGAACGCATGAATACGTTTGCCGCGCAGCTGTTGCGTTTTGTGCGCCGGATCTCGGGGCGGAAGCCAGAGGTACAGCTTTAATTTTCGACTGACTTTCCTTTTTTAGGTAACCCAAATGGACCTAATCTTTATCGCCTCCGGCTGGGGCACCTTTTTGATCGCGGCCGGCGCATGGGCCTTTCATCGCTACGAGGGCTGGTCGTATTTTGACTCAATCTACTACTGCTTTACGACGCTGACGACGATAGGTTGCTCTTTGCGGCTAGCTTGTCAAGCGTTAGAAAGTCTTACAAGGAGTGTCCTTTTGGTGTCATCGGCAAAACGATTCGAGACCCCACTCATTCGATAGAGAATTGAATTCTGAACAAGACTGTGTTGTTTATTTTTGCGGAATGGTTGTCCCTGATTTTATAGAATTAAAAAACCAAGCGCGAAACCTTAACAACTCGCTCCCCAAGCACCAATGTATGGGCGTCGCCGGCAGTTTTTTAATTTTATAAAATCAGGGACAACCATTCCGCAAAAATGAACAACACAGTCTTGTTCAGAATTCAATTCTCTATCGAATGAGCTGGGCCTCGAATCGTTTTGCCGATGACACCAAAAGGACACTCCTTGTTAGAAACATTTCCAAACTTTATCCAGGTTTTGGCGATTTTGTGGCCCTGCAAAAAGACGGGGCTCTCCAATCCAGGCCGGATTACGTCGTCTTCTCGCTGGTGTTCATCATGTTCGGGCTGGCCGTCATTTCGGCCGCGATGAATTTGCTGGTGCTCCGGTTTTTGACGATGAACACGGAGGTTAGTTTTGGCGCTAAAAAGGTCTGGTTCGGTGCCTTACTTTTCCTTAGTATTTTTCCCGCAAGTGCACATGGTAAGCTGATAAGAACTTCTAAAAACTATGAAATAAACTTCAAAACGCTAAGAATTTTGTTGGGTAAGTATAGTCGAGAGAGCTTTGCACCCGCTCAAAAAATCGCCCCCCGCTAAAAGACCATAACCAATTTCTTCAATTCAATTTTCAATTTACAGTTCAATATTTTCTTGACAATTCAGGACGAGAAACGCGATGAAAGAGAAGCCTTACTAGCAGCTCGAGGGCTGGTCCGCGTCGACTCATCAGATGAAGAGGAGACAGCATTCGGGCGGGGTGCCGATGATGAGGTGTCGGTGAGTCGAAAACATTTTGTTCGTTGCCATACAATCAAAACCAAAGCGCCATTCGCCATTATTTTCAGATCTGCTCGTGCTCATGCTATCGGCTCCCGTACGGCGAAATTCGACAGCGCCAACGCATTCAGCGCGACTCGATCAAGGCCGACCGGATGGCCGGCGAGCCGGCACAACCCTCACCCCTACTCACCCATCGGCCACATCAACAATAAACAAATTGCTCTACTTTACTTACTTTTCCTAAATACCCAAAATGGCAATCCGAGTTGGGATACATTCATGCGCAAGTCGAACTAACCGGTAACCCGAGAGACGTAGAGAAAAGAGAAAGCCGCGCATTCAAAATTTTCGCAACTGGAGTTTTGGATGGCTTGTAAAAACTTCAATAATAAAGCTTAAAACTTAGAGAAAGTCCCAAAAATTGTGATGTCCATCAAGGTGTTGAAAAACAGCGTTGTTCGGAATGGCAGAACAACGCCGTTGATAACAATAAAGGCGCCCTTTTTATGTGCTGCTATGTTTTACTGGCTTTTAATTAGCCCCTTGTTATTGTTTTGAACTGATATCGGCTTTCAAAATATCTCTTTTGCTCCATTTCCTATCTTAATCCTTATAAAAATTCAGCACTTTTCAGCGATGTATTTGCTCAAACGGCTCGTCCCAGTCACCGGCGTTGTAGCGGCGGCTCATTGTTATTCTGACGACGCTTTAAAAAGGTTGTTGTACTTTAAAAGCCTTTAATATTGTAGTTTAGAAAACCTGATGCTTGGACCGACTCGGCGCGCAATGGCGAGCGATCTGATACGGAATTCGCGATGGACATGTTCCCCCGAAAGAAGTGGGACTCGAACTGGGACCAGTGAGTTTTTTTGCTGACCTTGTTTACATGGTTTTAGGCGTAATCCTAAGTGGCTGATCGATTCGAAGGTGTTGAAGAGTGCTTCCGAGGAAAAGCAGAAAGAAATAATTGCTGAGGTAATTTTCTGCTCAATAACTTTCCAAATTTTTTTAGCATAAGCCGACGGCCACCAGGAACATCATCCTGATTCGACACGGCCAATACAATATGGATTCCGAGGATAAATTTTTGACGGATTTAGGTAGGATATGAGTTTAAATAATTTACTTGATATTAGGGCGAGAACAAGCAGCGATACTTGGAAAACGATTAGCGAATAATGGGATAAAGGTATCTATTATTTTCAGTCCTCTATAAACGGTTTTTAGTTTACAACCTTGACTATGTCGACAATGAATCGAGCAAAGGAGACAGCAGAGATCATATTAGAAAAGGTAACAGTTCTTTTCTTTTTTTTGCGGAAACTCAGTTCAGCTTCCATCCGACCTGTCTCGAAAGAGCGATTCGTTGCTCGAAGAGGGCCGTCCCTACCCTACAGAACCTGCCCGATCTCGTTGGCTCCCCGCTAAGGTTTCATTTTCAGGCCATTTTCTACTTTTATCTTCTAGGAATACTTCACGCAAGGCGCTCGCATTGAGGCAGCTTTCCGCAAGTACTTCCATCGCGCTCCACCACAGCAGAAGGAAGATTCTACTGAAGTTCTCGTCTGCCACGCCAATGTGATCCGCTACTTTGTTTGCAGGTTCAAAAATACCTTCGATTCCTTCAAAATCTTTTTAGGGCTCTCCAATTCCCGCCCGAGGGCTGGCTCCGAATGTCGTTGGGCAACTGCTCGATGACGTGGCTGACGATAGGTCCAAACGGACGCGTGGCTCTCCGCAGTCTTGGTGACTTTGGGCACCTTCCCGCCGACAAGGTCACGTTCAGTTAAAATATCATTTATTATCTTGATATTAATAACTAGCTCCCTTAACTTGGAAATTATCTAATTTTTGGCTCTTTAGCTTTATAGATTATGTAGTTTTGTTTTGATAACTGGGTTTGGTTAATTTTTATTGTCATCACCTGAGTGGTTTTTCTCGTCCAAATCGGGTCGAAAATGGCAAAAATGTGGCGTTATGTTAGAAATGCGCCGGAAATCAGTTCTTTTTGGATGAAAATCTTAGGAGCATTTGAGCAACAAAAGTTACTTTCGAACCTTTGGACTTGAAAACGCGTAAGGACCATAAAATTCAATTATCCTCCACCCTGTTGTTTGTATCTTTTTCGGGTCAATCCACAGCTCGTCATTGTGTCTTTGATCTCTATTCACACCTTTGCATAAATATGGAATTTCTTGTAAAACCCAACAGCACCATCAACGGTAAAATCGCTTTATTTCACCCAGCACAAGTACACGAACATTTTAAGGTTTTTCGAAAAACGTTTTCTTCGCTATAAGAGGAGGACAACAGGCAGCGGAGGCGGGACAGGAAGTAGTTGAAGGTGAACGAATCGAAATGATGGGCCCTTATCGGGTGGCCGCGTCGTACTCCTCGATGAACTTGTTGTACTTCTCGACGTTCTCCGGGGTGAGCACCGACTTGTTCTGCGCCTTGTACTTGTCGAGGAAGTAGAAGAGCAGGATGCGGTGAATGTAGAGGTATTGCTGAAATATTTGGCCGTGTTAGATGAAACTCACTGAAAGGAAAGAGTTTTTGCTACACTGCTGGACATAATTATGGCCTCAGTGAAAATTTTTGAAAAATCTCGAATTTTAGCAATTTTCATGTACCGCTTTCTATGAGAGAAAGCAGCTGTATCCCATCACCAATTCACACAACAAGTCCGTTTTGGCATCCTTTGAACAAAAAAAAATTCCGAAAGATTTTTGCCCAAATGGTACTTTGGAAAAGGGACATAATTATGGCCTCACCTGGGTAAATTTTTTATAAACGTTACGATATCGCACAAATCAATCAAAAAACATTTCCAATAATCTTTGGGTACTCTCTTTCATGTAATCCAGTGTGAGGGATGGCTCTCCAAGCCCAGACGAAGGCAGTCGAGCCAGATTTCGGTCCACTGGTTATGTGGCCGCAAAAAATTCCTGTTGCTTCCCGGTACTCTTTGCTCCTGTTTACATTTTGCTTAACAAGACGCCTCAAACATGGTCAATGGCCATACGATCCGCGAAATCATTTGGGCACTCCGGAAATCCGGTTTGAAGGGATCGGCGCGAATTCCGTATCCGCCTCGCTCGATGAATTGCAGCTTCCTTTTGCTAAAAAACGCCGTTTCGATTCTGAATCCGTTTGGAAACGGGCTGGATTCCACGGCGCTACAATTGTCGGCCGTCGGCTTGGTTCATTTAAGCCAGAGTGAGGCTCCGTTTCGCTGCTTCTCATCACTCAATGGCCCAAACGACAACAACAGCACGATCTTGAAAATTTCTTGCAGACAATCGATGTTTTTGGGAGACGCTTATGGCAAAAGGAGTGAGAATGATCGCAAAAAGGCCTCTCTTTATCAGAAACAGAAATTAGAGGGATTTTGAGGACCCTGGGCAGACCCCCATCTTCCCCCAAGCTACCCTCCGGCTTCGGCGAGCAAATTTGACGCGATTTTCGATATGGCCAGGGTTAAGCATCGGCGTCAGTTGTTGCCGGTGGAATCCAGCCCGTTTCCAAACGGATTCAGAATCGAAACGGCGTTTTTTAGCAAAAGGAAGCTGCAATTCATCGAGCGAAGCGGATACGGAATTCGCGCCGATCCCTTCAAACCGGATTTCCGGAGTGCCCAAATGATTTCGCGGATCGTATGGCCATTGACCATGTTTGAGGCGTCTTGTTAAGCAAAATGTAAACAGGAGCAAAGAGTACCGGGAAGCAACAGGAATTTTTTGCGGCCACATAACCAGTGGACCGAAATCTGGCTCGACTGCCTTCGTCTGGGCTTGGAGAGCCATCCCTCACACTGGATTACATGAAAGAGAGTACCCAAAGATTATTGGAAATGTTTTTTGATTGATTTGTGCGATATCGTAACGTTTATAAAAAATTTACCCAGGTGAGGCCATAATTATGTCCCTTTTCCAAAGTACCATTTGGGCAAAAATCTTTCGGAATTTTTTTTTGTTCAAAGGATGCCAAAACGGACTTGTTGTGTGAATTGGTGATGGGATACAGCTGCTTTCTCTCATAGAAAGCGGTACATGAAAATTGCTAAAATTCGAGATTTTTCAAAAATTTTCACTGAGGCCATAATTATGTCCAGCAGTGTAGCTTTCGCAGCGGCACCATGGCCGGCTTCAATTGTGATAGTTATTTAGCTTGTGGAAAAAGTTATTACGATGTCGTTCCCGAAATCTATCCAGATCGCGCTAGTCAATATTTTCCGTATTAGCAGGGCCGCGCGAACGCAGCCCCCACGCCAAAAATTTAGCTGTAGGCGAACCCCAACTCGGAGCTGCCTTACAGGTCAGCCCGGCCGAAAGTGCAATGGCCAAGCCTCGCCATAGGGGTCCCGTCTTGATGATCACGGGAACCCCCCAGCCAGGTAAGTTTATGAGGGGATGGGGGAGGGAAGATACGGGAGAGGGGTGGGCCAGATGAGGGGCTAGTGGGTATGGGGCGGGGAACATGCGGAGAGCACACAGGATTTTCATGGCTCTGTTCCGGGGCACAGACTGGCGCCGCGGGAAAGGAATTCTGGTCAACAGTCCAATGTCCTATGCCAAGCCACGCCCAAGCCCAAGCCTACCAAATCATTCTGAATGGACCAGGGCCGCTGCTCGCGCAACTCCTTCAGCAGCTTGTCCATGTCGACGCAGTCCTTGCCGTGCTGCAGGCATTCCAGGATGTATCTGAAGCCGAGTTTTCTTGCTTTAAAATCAAATTTACATGTTTTTAATTCATTCAAACCCAAAACCTTAAACAAGTGCTATTTCTAATTTTTAAAATCGCACTCAATAGCCACAATGGTCCCAGTGCGCCCGATCCCAGCCGAGCAATGGACGGCGATCGGCTTCTGCGTGCCGCGGATTCGGGAGAGCAGCTCCTAAAAGTTGCCTCATCTACAGTAACCCCCTCCTAACACTTACCATCGACGTCAACCGGCACGGCGGCACCCCACGGTCGGGCCAGTCGATCCAGTGAAAGTGGCGTACGTCGCGCGTGGCCGGCTTGTCGTCCTTCTTGAAGTCGATGCGCAGCACGGAGACGTTCACTGACGGCTCCTCGGGACTCATGGGCTTGATCTAAGGGAGAGGGCATGAAATCACCAACAAGTAGATGATCTCACGTCAGTGTTGGTGATGGTGATGTCGGGGGGACACCTCGAGTTTTTCGCCTTTTTCCATTGGGAAATACTGAAAGAGTGGGGGAAGTTTCTTTAGCATTTCCGGGGGGGGGGGGGGGGGACTAATTTTTTACGTCATACTTTATGGAAGGTACTACCAATAGCGTAGAATTTAATGGTGCTTTTGCATTATCGGGGGAGGGGATCAAAAATGCAAAAATATCGATTTTCGGTGAAAAAATGGCGATTTTGATCCAAAATTGAAAATTTTAAAGTTTTGTAATTTTTCCACTTGAAAAGCAGTTAGTAGAGAAGCAAATTGTCCTTATACAATCACGGATTAACAGAAGAAGTCAAACCGGATACCTTGAAGCACTTGAGCTTGCCCTGCTCGACCAAGTTGCACAGCATGACGATGGTCTCGACCTCTTCCTGGATGATCATGCACCTAGAAGCGATAATTTAGGGTTTTCAGCCAAGAAAAAGCCCCACCAAAAATCGACGACAGTCGTCTCGAGCGGCCCCTGCGTACAGATGAAGCGGTTCTCCATCTGGGGTGTCTTGACGAAGTTGCCGTGGATGTAGTCGCCGCTGGCGCCCGGCCATTTCAGCACCACACGGCATTTGTCTTGGCATGGCACGTCTTGGTAGCTGGAAACGGTACTTGTTTAATTACGGGGGCGGGGCTAAGGTAAAAATCACAAAATTCCATTAAAAACTACCAAAAATAAAATGTTTAGACCAATCTTTCGACACATAATATGGATTTGGTCGCCCAAAAATTATCAATTTTCGATCAAAAGTTAGCATTTGATCTTACCGATTCTTGTTCTCGGGCTGGGCAGCCTTGAACGCGTCGACGGTCATGCCATCCGGGCACCACTTGGAGAGTCCTCGGTATTCCTCGCGCAGCGCCGGCACGCCCATGTCCAACGCACGCTGGATCCACTTTTGCACCTGATTATCAGGCTGTTGATGATCAAGAAGCCGAACCTGTGTCCCGGCGCCGGGGACGCTCAGCGCCTTGGCGGGCCCGTCGGCGGGCGGCTCATCGGGGGCGGTCTTCTTGGACTCCTTCTTGGACTTGCGGCTGCTCTTCACCTCCTCCTGGAGCCGATTTTGGGTTCTTTCGCATTATCGGGGGGCTAATTTTGAGTATATTGCTCCTCCCCCGTTATTGCACAAGAACGGCCATACCTTGACGGGCTGTGTCTCCTTCTCCTTGCGCTGCTCAGCCTCCTTCTCGGCCTGCAGGGCCAACGTCTTGCTCTTGGTCTCTCTAAAGCGGCGCGCGGTAAGGGCTAGGCGCATCCGGAGAGGAGGGGCAGATCTGAAGTGAGCACGAACCCTTTGCACATGTGATGGGGTGGTGGCGGGCAGAAAATGGGACAGAATCAAGGGGGGATAAGTGGATGACCAGCGAGAGAGGGCACGAGGGAAGACGTGAACGGAAAAGCCGACTGGCGGCCCCTTTATAGCACGGATTCGGGCTGATGGAGATTGGACGACTTCTGGTTGGTAACGATTTATTCAAAAAAGTGAAACCGGATGGTAATTGATTTATGTAAAATGCGAAAATAATGGTTTTGGTCCGTTAGGGAGGGGGTGGCAAATAATATCTAGGTGAAAATGGACTGGAAAATGCTTTTTGGGAGTATCGGGGTTGTTTAAAGGGGAACATCGGGTACATTATTAAAGAAAAATGTCCATTTTACTTAAGAATTAGCTCTGGTTCATTATCGGGGGGATCAAATTCACGAAAAATTATTAAGACTACTAATTTTCGTAATTGCTAAATTTTGCCTCAAAATTCAAAATTTTTGATTTTTAACCTTTTTCATAAGTTTGTCATAACTTGTTAATAATAATCGGAGTCTACTAAACCCATTTAAACCCTGAAAAAAACGTTTTATGTTATGAAGCTCAAGTTCAATAAAGTAAGTTAGCCCCCCGCTAATAAACCAGAACCAATAAAGGTTAAGTGGAAAACAAAACTTGAAAACAAAAAAAAGGAAAATGACGTTCTATTAATGCGACGCGGTCCGGGTACTGCTCTTCGTGCGGCGGGCGGACAGCTTGCTGATGGACAGCCGCTTGCTGCTGATCGGGTGCGAGACGGTGGAGGCGCTGCGGTGGCGCTCGTGCTCCTCGTCCTCCAGCTCGTCCGCCGGCTCGGCGCTCAACTGAAAAGTTTGGTTTTTAAGGTTAAAAATATTTCTACAACCCCTGGGAACAACACTCGCTTCCCAAGAGCCATAGATAAAGATCAATCTCCTTTTATAGGCTCGCCCTCCTCAAGTTGATCTACTTCCGCTTTTCTTGCCCAAACAAAGAGCCTTGTTCTTTGAGCGGGAGCTGCGAGATTGAAAACTCAAGGTCAAGGCGTTCACCTTGAACAGCGGAGAGTTTGAAAGCTCAAGGTCAAGCAGTTCACCTTAATTCTTTTCAAAAGCCGCTCCTCCTCCTCCACATCTTCAGCGACCGCGATTTCAGCCATCAGCCGGTGGTCGGAGACGAGGGAGAACATCGAATTCGATTGGGTTTTGTCTGAAATATTTTTTTGTTTTCGCCGAACTTTTTCGGCAAGTCCAGAAATGCCTTTTTTCTCTCTTTCCTAGATCTTTGCGCGTCATGCGAAACTTTTGGCCTCTTCTAACTACGAAGCATTGGCTTAAACGCTTTCTAAACTTTTCGAGACTTCGCCCTCCGCTTCGAAAACCTTTCCGGACCTGAATTACTTTGAAAAACCCCGTCTTACGTAGCTGGGCCCTTATCAGCGCGGGTCGCCCTACATAAATCCTATCGTAATCCGCGGGTCTGCCGCACCGTTGTCGGGCTTGTAATCCCGGGTGTGTCAGGCTCGCTAGCTAGGGTCGGGCAAGCTTCGCGGCGAGAATTGCGTAAATGGGGGTGAAACGTTGGGACGTCATATTATCGATGTAGTCATCTGTGCTAACGCGAGTTCCGGAAAGTGACCGGATCCGGAAACGGGTGAATTTTGAGGCTGGCAAGGGTTTCTACGGAGCAAAACGGACTCGTTTTTAGGCGATAGAAGCAGTTTTTGCTTTTCAGTTTTTGCAATGTCAATTAGCTCATTCGAGAGAGCTTGAAATTCTGAACCACAACCCATCCTTCAAAGACTGCCAAACGATAACGTACTTCAATAAAATTCGCTCCAAAAAGGGCCGGTTTTGCTCGTTTTTGATAACCCTTTCTCGAAGATCGTTATCTTTCAGCAGTTTTGAAAAACTAGGACCTGCTCAGAATTTTTCGCTCTTGCTCCGCTAGTTCATATCGCAAAATCTTGTCAGCCGCAGCCGAAGAACCAACCAAGCTTTTTCACCTTCCTTACCAAGACTCCCCCGCAACGTCTCCATCCCCGCTTCCAGCTGCCGCATCCCCTCCACCGGGTTCTTCACCTCGTCCTCCACCTTCTTCGCGAACGTCCGGATCAGCAGCTCCTCCCACAGCTTGTTCGGGTTGTGCTTCTAAAACAGCTGCATTATAAAACCCCCTAATTTTCTGTTGTTTTTTTTGTAAACAAAAACCTTGGTTCAACTATTTCGACACACCCGGTCCCCCTGACTCCTAATCTGTTTTCCCGATCGGCTCACGCTACTCGATAAGTCAAAATATAGGACTCGTTTTTGTTCCGTCCCCACGCTGCCGAGCTATAAAGAGAAAACAGGCGCGCAACCCTGAAGGGGATCATCCAGATTCTGCATGACACCTTGAACTTCCCCTCCCTGGCGCACAAGGTTTTCCGGGGAAGCGGAAAGAGGGTATGAGTTGAGGAAGAAAAGGGATAAAGGCAAACACTTCCATATGTGTTGAGTCAGAGCCGCGGCCCTGCGCGCTGGAATAGGGCCATTTACGGGTGGATGCGGGTGAAAGGACACGGGTCGTCTTCCTTTTCGGACACTGTGTCCAAACGCGCAGCTATGGTTCAACTATTCGGGGGTGGGAGGGATGATCGAGAAAACATGGTTTGACGTCAAGAACGTTGCGCGGCGCCATTCGGAATAGCATGCGGGGGTGTGGGTGGGGGTCAAAAGCTATTTGGAGGTGCAAAGAGATATCATATGGTGCGTGGGAGCTAAGAAGGGTCGTAAAACCGATGCAACGTTTACACCAGAAGCTTGAGAAAACACCGACAAATCGCTAATTGCCCGAGAACCTCCCAAAAACGGTAGCAAAAAGGGAAAAACCTCTCGCTCAATGTTCAAGTTTAGAGGTCGCGCTATATCGCTTCAAAATTGGCTAGTAATATATCCGTGAACTCAGCCAAAATCGGAATTTTTTTCATACCAAAACCCTGAAAACCAAGCCCCCTCAAAAACAAAATAAAAAAACTAGCCAACCTGCAGCACCTCCCCGTTGCTCATCTTCCGCCCGTCCTTCGTGTAGTCGATGTGCTCGGCGTGGCGCCGGTTGAATAGCGGTCTGGAAGCCCCGCCGTCAGCTTGGGATGAGCTAAAAAGATGGACCTGTTAGTGAGCAGCTTCACGGCCATCTCCGGCTCGACCTTCACCCCGTCCACCGGCTGGCAGCGTGCCGCCGGCGTATCTCTTTAAACGGAAAGTGTTAGGAACTAAACTAACCAGTTAATGGCAAACCAATAAGGGGCGTAATTTACGGCAGTCAGGCAAAAAGTCATGATTGAAGAAGGATAGGGCAACAAACACGGTCGACTCACGTTGGAGCTGCGTAGAACTCGCGCATGCTGTCGCACGGAACATTCACCATTCCAATCATGATGGCTGAACTGAAATTAGGCAAATTCAATAAGAAATATCAGATTTACGATTCCCCAAGGGTCGGTAACGAAACTTGGGCCGCCCTCAACTTCTTGCCCCGCCCATACGATAGCTTTATAGCGCGGCGAACCGTAGCCGAAAACAGGCTCCGCCTCCACAGCGAATACCCTATTGATGCAATGGCGTGGGCCTTCTTCGGCTTCTTATCAAAATCCACAGCTTATGAAGGGGCGAACATGCCTGAAGACGTCGGTCGTGACGACGAAAGATCCGAAAATAACCAATCCTAGAAAAACTAGACGCGCCAACCGGATCCGGACCATTGACCGATGCAGTAAACCTCAATGGCGTTCGGAAATTTCGCTGGCACGCGAGTCACCCAAAAACGCTTTTGTATGTATTACCCTAAAACCTCGTGTATAGGTCCGGTACAATTTGGTTCCGTACCAATACAATTGACACCAAATAATGTGCGTAAGGTACAATTCGGCGCAAAAGCTATGTAGACCAAAAGAGCCGGTTCTCAGAGCCTCATACAGCAATTTCTTTCATTAAACCACTCAAATTGTTGGAAATAGCCGAAATACGAACAAATATTCCATCAAAATTGCAAAAATACCATTCGCGAGCGGCGTTATCTGCAAGGAACGGAAAAAACGAAACACACCTAATGACGGTCAAACTGAATTACGGACGCTCCGTACACATGAAAATTTTCACCCGGAACTATACACGGGGAGGACCTATACACGAGGTTTTAGGGTACTTCAAGGTAGCGGCGCGACGGGCCTAGTGTTTTTGAATGTAAATGCTGTTGCTCTGGAATGCGGTGCAAAGACAAGGAGAAACAAACGTTTAATGGTCACAAAAAATGTTTTGAGATAACAAACAATTTATCAACAAAACAATATTATTTACTCATCATCCTCGCCTGCGGATCCAGCATCACCCTTCTTCATGTTGCGCCTCTTGACACGTCCGGGGCGGCCGCCGCCGAAGGGCGAGGTGAGGGCGAATTCGATGTGCTTCTGCGAATCCAAACGGACCATGAATGAGGGGACGTTCACGATTTGGCGACGAACTCTGAAAAAAAAGTAAGTAGCAACGGAGTGACACTGGGATGCAATTATAACCAGTTATGGTTGAAAGGCATATGATCGAAAAACTAGAGCATAAATTTTTAGGTTCATAGACTATATATCTGCGGCTACAAAGCTTTAAAGAAAAGGGGTTGTTGTTTAAAAATTCTTTCCAATTGCGAAAAAGGTCAAGTACCCCAGTTCTCAACCCAAGCTATATGATGTATGAAAAAACCAACCGAATGTGTCTCTGGTGAATCAAAACGCGGGCGTGGTGGATAGATTTGGCGAGTCCAAGCTTGAAAACTTGAGTCTGGAGGCGGCGCTCAAGGAAGTCTTCAACTCCCAGGGCGAGGACGTAATCGAGCTTCATCTTGTCTTCCGACAGAACACCGATGCGGACGAGACGGCGTAGAAGCGCATTGCCTTCGAACAGACGTTTCGGGTCCTTCTCCTCGAGGGTCAGGAGCTCACGAGCGGCCTTTCGGACCTTGGCGAGGGTGTACTTGACGCGCCACACCTCACGCTTGTTGGCAAGACCGAACTCGCCGATGAGCTTCAGCTCCTGAAAAAGGAAAATTGTATGAGCACGGAATATATGAGGGCAAACCGCCGGGGACTGGCAATGACAATTGAGAAACGTTAAACGGCGAAACCTAGCATTTACAGGGTCAAACGAAACTGAATTTCCGCCGAACAGCCCTCAAGATTATTGAAAAGCCGCAAAAAGTTTTCAATTGCGAGCGGATCAAGCCTTATGGATGCAGAAAACCTTATATTCGCCGGGATCAGCAGCAGTTTCCAAAGCAACCATGGAAAAGGAAGAATTCACATACCTGGTCGAGGCGCTCCTTTTCGAACGGACGGCGAGGTCCCTTCGAGACTTTAGAATGGACAGACTTTACCCGGGGCATGGCTGCCTGAAAAAGAGGTATTACTAAAGATTTTTGCAAAAAAACGGCGTGAAAAGAGCGATCAGAATTGCAAAATTATTCGGGGGAAAAGAAAGTCTTTGGAAAATCGGCCGCCATTATTTCAATGCGCCTATGGTAGCCCTCATAGTGCCCCCGCCGCGGGACCCACGTACATAGGCGCGCCGGGTCGCCGATTTGACCGCGTAACTGATTGTGAGTTCCAATTGGTTTTTGATTAATGTTTTACTTCTAAAGAAATTCTAAAGCAATGAAAATAAACAAAAAGCAAGCTAAGATAATTTGTTAGTCATACTGGGATGATATTGGCTTAAGACTGCGCCTTCTGCGTCCATACTATGAGTAATTTTGGTTTTTTCAAATATTATCCGGCGTTTTCGTACACAGTTTCCTGTATGATTTCTTTCGGCAAAGCCTAAAGCTAGATCATGACTGGAACCTTGTTCGAAGGCTCGATATTGATCGACATTAGTGTCGGGAGCCCCAGTATCAACTGGCAGATGGCTGACAAGGTGACGCGACTCACTTTCCCGGGAACTTCCGAATTCAGAACTGAATCGTTTTTTTTATAACCCCGGACTTGTTTTTGTTTTATCATGTATTTTGCGAATTATAACCTCGTATCTTTCATCAAGAACTTAAAACAAAGAGAATAGTATCTCATTTCAGCTAAACCATGGAGCTTCCCGATCCCTATTTGCCGGGCGCAATCAGCCTTCTCGACCAGTTGGATAAGAAGTTGATCGTCGTGTTGCGGGATGGCCGAAAATTAATAGGTAAGTTGGAAATAATGCCAGTGAGTTAGAACCCCTAGACGAACCTACCGAATCTTTATATCCAGATTCAGTCCCAATCATGTTAACGCATTTAGGTTACCTCCGATCAATTGACCAATTTGCAAATCTCATCTTGGACGAAGTGGTTGAGAGAACTTTTTGCGACAAATTCTACAGCGACATCCGGCACGGTTTCTTGTTGATACGAGGCGAGAATGTGGTGCTGGCCGGGGAGATTGACGAGACCCTGGATACCGGATTGAAAGAGGTACGTTTCTTTTTCTAATGTAACACGGAACCACCGACTTCTAGATCACTGGCAATGAAATGACGATGTTACAAGAAGAACGGAGCCGTCACCATAATAGAAAGGTTGGTTGGTTTCCGATTTCCTCGCACTTTAATACATTTCTGGCTGACTTCGGGGTCCCGGGTAGTTTCTTGAAAATTTCGGCCCACTTTCGTTGAGTCATCGAGCTCGATACAGATCTGTCTTGGAAAGACCGAATTACACTGCCGATTCCCAGACGTTTTTCCTCAGATTCTTTTCGGCGATCTTTCAAAAGCATCTGCAATATCAGAGCCAAGAAGTGGACGATAGCTCTAGCTTTACTGAGTGAGATGGATGTAACTTAAATTTTCAGCACGACCTGCCAAAAGCGGAGCCGCAAAGAAAAACGAAGCACGCAGACATGGATGATGCGTATTAACCTGTAAAAATCTGTGAATTCTTGCTGTTTTTGTTTTGTAAGGTTGACCCCCCGGATCTGATCAATTTATTGCCGCCTTCCGGGGGTACTAACAAGAATCAATAAAGCGTTTTGCTGCCACAAGCTTGGTAAATACACGGGATTTCCACGAGTTTGTCGATAAGTGTTGTATTTTGGACGTCTAAGCTTTTTGGAGGAGGCAATTACCTAGGCCTAGGTCCACAGATCATCGGAGACTTTACAAGCTCCACATTTTCCTCCTTTTTTATTAGTTCATTCCTTACAAAGTTCATTCTTGCTGTGTTTTTGTTCTCAATTGAAAATTTCTCAATTTTTCAGGCGGCTGAGAAGGCGCATTTTTTGTGGCGGCTGAAGGTTTCAACAGGAAAGATTAATTTTGGTGAGTGAAAGCTTTTTTTGCTTGTATATATAGGTAATGAAAAGAGTGCTACTTTTTCATGCGTAGCCAAACTTCCACGTGAAGCCGCGATGATTGCGGCGTTGGCACGCTTGAAATCGGCGCGCCCAATTATAGGGCCAGGGCCGCAGCAGCCCGTGATTTCACACATTAGCCGGCGCGAGGCGGGTTGCGATTTGTGTGCGTGTGTGTGAGCTCCCGTCCCATCCCCATCCGTTCACTCTGCGCCCTTTGCCCACTCTCCACGACGACACATGCCCGCCTTTTGCCGGGCGGCCGCGATAGGGCGGTGATTCTGCGATTTGCCCGCATACACAACAACATAGTGCGGAAAAGTGGCCCCCGGATGTTACCGCAATTTTCCATAGCTGCCGTTTCTTCCATCGCGAACATGTTTTGAGAACGTTTCTTTCCGGGGGAAAAGCTTTCAATGACAGGTGTTTGTTTTCGGCTCCACTTTGTTGATTTGGTTGCAGAAAGTTCCGGGGCAGCAATGGGGGGAAAGCCGGAGTTAGTGTTTTGTATTTTATGTCGATGTCAGGACCGTTTCGGCCCGACATTTTTCACATAACGGCTTTGATTTTAATATTAGCGCTAACCTTCCGAGGTCAATCGGTTTGACGTGCTCTAATAATAAGCCAAAAATACCTTTATAAGCCTTGCCCAATTTTTATCATAGTTTTCGTACACTTCGACAGATTCCCCCTCGGTCGGGACTTATTATGTATTCACCGTGCCGACTAAACAGATCCACGCCCCGCTGGGAATGGCTCCGCCCCCATAGACCAGCCACCATATCAAGATCTAGATATATACCGTCGTTTCCGCGATCCGCGTTCAGAACTTAACCCGTTTTCGTCAGCTTCAGCTATAAAAATTCCTTTTCCAGCACGTCACTTTCGCAGAGGGATGGCCCAGCTCCACAAAGTGGTCTTCGTGCTCGGGCCTCCCGGATCCGGCAAGGGGACGCAATGTGCCCTCATTCAAAAGGTATTTTTTTTGATCAATTTCGTCTATTACTCTTTTTTTGAGAATTTGGGTCTTGTCCACCTGTCGGCTGGTGATTTGTTGCGAGCAGAGCGCCAGCGACCGGATTCTGAGTAAGTATATCGTTTGTCTATCCATCATTTTATTTTAGATACGGCCGATTGATTGACGAGCACATCAAGAATGGTTCCATCGTGCCGGTGGCGATTACGTGTGCACTTCTTGAAAATGTAGAGTTTTGCGTATTTTTTTAAAGAACTTTTATTTTTTTCAGGCGATGAAGGCTTCGGGCGACTCGGCCGGGTTCCTGATCGACGGCTTCCCCCGGAACCAGGATAACCTAGACGGATGGCAAAAGGAGATGGCAGATAAGGTGAGAAGTTTACAAGTGGTTTTTGTTAGAAACCACGACCCCAAAAATAATCCCCGATGAGCCGGCAGCGGGCGCGAGGATTCGGAAACGCTTATCAGGCCTATAACCTATGCGCTCCGTGCGCTTTTTGCCGTGATTTCTCGGCGTGTGGGGCGACCGGACGGGGTCATGCCGGAAAATGGCAAAAAGCCGATCGGCGCGAATGGGAACTGGGAATGTTGAAAATTAATTCCGGGAGCTTCGGATGGAAAGGAAAATCCGTCGGGAATAAAGAGATAACATGAAATATGATTGGCCGAGCTTTATCAGGCGCCGTATAACTTGCTTATCACGGATACGTTTTAAAATGTCACTAAAATCAAGTGAAAATTTTTTAGAAAATGCTTAAAAAATGGAATTTTATTCGGAAAATAGGTTACTTTTGCTTTAAATATTTAAATTTGTGTTATTTAGTAGATGGTCATGAATTTTCCACTGTTACGAATGGTATAAAACAATATAGAATCGCTTAAATAACAAAATTGGGTCCTAAGGAAAAAGCTCCCTCCCGCTACCTCCAAAAAACCTCATTTCTTTTCAGGTAGACGTCCGGTTCTGCCTCTTCCTTTCGTGCGAAACGGGTGTTTGTGTAGATCGTTGCTTGCATCGAGGGCAGGGAAGGTAAATTTTCATAATTTAATTTTTATTTCCTGCTACCATATAATTTGTTCTCTTCAGAACCGACGACAACGAAGACTCGCTCCGACTGCGCATCGACACGTACAACACCCAGACATTCCCGATCATCCAGCACTACGAGAAGCTCGGCCTCGTCCGCGAAGTCAAGACTAACCGCGACCCCCAAGACGTGTACGTCGACGTTGAGAAGGTCTTCAAAGAAGACGGATTCTAGGATTATCCCTTAACGTGAAATGTATGTATTTCAACCTTTTTTTTGCCGTGAGAGCATTCCCTCCTTATTTTTGTTCTGCTGCCCACTGTGTGACTCCTTCCGTCTCCCATCTTCCCCCGATACTTATCGAACTTAACACACGACCCAGATTCGCTATCCCCCTCTTTCTACCCCCAGTTCTCCCCCAGTATTACGCGTTAATTTGAGTATTCCTATATGCTATTGTGTTGCTGACTTCAGTGAAACCTTTTAGGCAAATAAACTTTTTTATGAGACCTTGGTCGTTTATTTGAGTAGGCTTATTCGGAATTTGTTTATCCTAACAACAACAATATCGGCCAACAAGAAAAAATAACAACCTAGCTTGAAAAATTCTATGCTTCCGGTTGTATTGCCCAATCCGGGAGATCAGTCTGATAGCTCCAGTTCTCTGTTTCGTATCTGAAACGTTTATAGTTACGCAACCGCGCGTTAAATACCGTAAACAATGTAGATTCAGCGAAAAGTGCGCCATTGTTGGGGCCTTTTTCACGACATTACAGCCGAGGCACACGGGGTCATAGGTCGGCCGCTCTTCCCGGGGTATAAACGGCGGCTCGGCGGTCACCTGAATATATCATTAGCCATTTGACGAAAAATATTTCACTACCTCCCCAAACGCCATCTTCTCCATCATCTCATCGTACCCGGGCGCGATTTCCTCGAGCCAGTTCGTCATCTTGTGGTTGTCTCGCACATCGATGGCTAACTAAAGAGGCTCAGATCCTAATTTCAAAAATACCTGATCGAATCCCTTCTTATAATCGGCGCCTTTGCCCCGCTCCGGGCCCCAGACCGTCGAATTGTAGATGGTGTCCCCAACGATTGGGTGGCCTTAAAAAAGGATTATAGGTTTTAGGAACTACTCCAATACCTAGAAATTGGGCGTGGACTCGAATTTGATGCGTTCGCCCAGTGTCGATGGTTACCCTAGAAATAGAGAACATTTTGAAGCCTTTAAAATGCCATACTTTACAACAGAAACCTTCCCATCGGTCCACATCCTTTTGAATCGTGATCGGGCGTCCTTGCCGTCGGCGCGCACACACTGGATGCCCATGCTCACCACTAGGTTCCCGAGCGGCTCTTCGCACACGATTTCTTCCCTAAAAATCGTCGTTGTTTTCGAGAGGAAACTCTAACCTTAAAATGGCGCTTTAAATAGAGTTTTTTGATTTATGAAGTTTAGTTTTTCATAAAACAGTAAAAAAAGGAATAAAACGTACTCTGGAAAGACGCCATCCACCTTGCAAACATATTCCTTCACCCAGTGGCCCAGCTTGAGCGTTTGTTTAAACTAAAAAAGTTTTTTAAAGCCTAGAAAAATTACGTCGAGATCCGTCGCGTAGTTTTTCGCAAACAGCAGCAGCCCGGAAGTCGTACGATCCAACCGGTGAAGCACTGAAAAAAACCTTTAAACAAACTACCGAGTTTCCAATTTATTTATTTTTGCTTTCAACGTCTGCGCCACAAGCCCATTTTCGCCTTTCCACGACCGGCGGGGCAGACAATTTTGCGTGTGTGCTAATGGACGTGCCTCTCAGGCCGGTGATTTGATGCTGGGTGCGGAGAAGGCCGAGAACCGTGTGAATCGAGTATTGGCCGCACGCGTGCACGGGCAGGCTCGCCGGCTTGTCTACAACGAGGAGGTTTTCGTTGTCCTCGACGATGCGGATCTTGCAGTCGAGCACCTGAATTTGTCGTTTTTGAATATCTTTAAAAACCGGGTACTTTTGCAAGATCGGGGGGGGGGGGAGAACAAAGAAAAACCATATCATTTTCGACCGGAATTTGAAGTTTTAAAGCATTTTTCCGAGTTTTCTAAATAGTTTTTCCACGCGAAGGATAACTATTTTTTGGCGCTAAGCGGCTACTCCCTAGAAAATTTATTAAAAAAATAGTTAAATGCTTGATTTTTCATTTTAAATTTTTAAACATTTTTCTAAGCTTTCTAAATTTTTTCATTTGAAATATAGCTGAATTTCATCAATAATTATGAAAATAATTAAAAGAACTATGTTGCCTTAGGTTGAAATTTGCCAGAGCGCCGGTTTTTCAACAATTTAAAACGCACCGGATGCTCGTGCCGGTGGCCCCAGTGCTCGATAAAGTCCGCGTTCTTCAGCACGTACTCTGTGTCGGTGATCTGCTTCCCGTTCACGTAGACGCGGCCCAGCTTCACGGCGACCGTCTGAAATTTGATGCTTGGAGTGTGCCATTCAATTTCGCTCGCACCGGAGAAAGAACCTCACAAGACGATGAACGCGCTTTTTCACTCAAGTAACCCCGAATTTATAAGGGAGGAGCGGTGAACGAGGGCCGGGGATCATTTCCGCGAAGGGCCCTTGGACGCTTCGCCAGGGCACCAAACCAACAAAAAGCTCATCACAGGTCTTTTCGGATGGTCGCAACAGCCTTTTAAAGGGTTTAGACGTCTAGTGGCGTCACTTTTCACGTTTGTAAGCTTCTATGCGACTTCTAAAACCGGTTCTTTTGCGTTATCGGGGGGGGGGGGGGGTCCTATATGGGCAGATTTGCCTGGCTATAGCAAGTGATTTAAAAGCGTTTTTTATAGAATTTAGGGTGCTTTCGCATTATCGGAGGGTCCATTTAGAAATTCCTAGTAGCGTAATATGAAGTATCCAAATAGCTTTTTTAGTAAATTTAACTTGATTTAAAATGGAAAATCCATCTGAAAAACTTGCGAAAGTTGAAATTTTTCATCTAGAATTTAAGCTATCTTTAAAACGTCAAAAAATTTTCAATATTCGAAATTTTGCCGCAGTGGGTCATTTCGCCTTTTGCAGTCTTTGGACAAATATAAGTTTTTAGTTTTACGAAAGTAAAAAAAAGTGACGAAAACCGTTCTCTATTTACAATAACAAAATTAAATCCTAAACAAAAAACTGGACCCTACCACGATCGCAAAAATTAGGGCTTCAAAATAAACCCGAATTTAACGTCTATACCGGTCAGCCTAAAAAAAAAACGTTGGTCTTCTGGGCGCTCATGGGCGGCCAGCCAATTTGAACGACCATTTCATCTTCCCAATTAGAGCTCGTTGCAGCCGGACGCTGCAGACGTCTTCGGAAAAAACCAAGGATGACCTTGGAAAGGGTAGACTGGTGCTCCCGGGGTTCCTCCGGAAACTTTTCTTATCTTACAAGCTTGAAAGAAGCATATTTTTATGATTTTTAGATTAAATGGCGGCATTTTCTGGACCTCTGAACCTCAACTTCTTTTGTGCTCGTCTTAAAGAGATAGGGGCGGCATAAGCCAATCGATTACGCGAGGGAAAGAAAATGTCTCTGCGCCTCTCCCCTGGGCGCCCTCTCTCGCCGCTGCATCTGTTGACCCCCCTCATCTCTTTAAAGCCCTAATTTTTCCAAAGAATTGTCAACTACGTAGCTTCCGGTCCGCTAGTAAATCCTTTCGATCTCCCCAGACCCGGCCGACGTTTCTCACCGATGTTAATGGGGACCAACCCGTCACTTGCCGAAGATATGTGACCACCACCAAAAGCCTGGTCGCCAGGCCCAACTACCCGCGAAAAGCTTCAGCTGTTTTCGCTATTAAAAGCTGATACCAGCGTTCAAAAAATGGGCTCTAAAGGTGCTTTTTCTTTATCGGGGGGCGTGATCGAAACAGGAAAGCTTTCCCCTACAAACTAATTTTCTAAGATAAGTAATGGCAGTGTTTCTCCGCTTTTGTTAATCGTAAAAACGCCATAAATTTTTAAAAACTTACAAAATATCAATTATTGGACCCAAATTTTTTCTATTTTGAAAAGTTTTGAACTAGTTTTTCCAATTGACACCCAATCAACATCTTTAGAACCTGTATTGAAAAACTTGCTATTAGATTATTAGGCATTTCTCGGCTTCCGCCCGCCCCGCCGCCCTACCCCCGATAATGCAAAAGAACCAATTTTTCGCAATCTATATTTTGGGCTAGTTCTGGCTTTGAACCACACAAAATGGCACACCCCCTTTTGAACTTCGATCCGGCCAAATACCAGCTTCGGCGGAAATTGAACGAAACCGGATAGCATGCCGCGAGGACGGGGACGTCTTCACGGTGTTCAGTCACAGTTTTGACATAGACGCCGTACAGATCTTTGTTTTAAAAAAAAACGGCTGCCCCTCCTTCTTTGCAAGTTTCGTTAACCCAATTTGTCTAGTGTTTTCTCGGGGTCTCCTGAAATCACCGAAAGCGAATCTCCGGCCGGTCCCTGTTTTGGATATGGCCAATTTTTGAGGGGGAAGTCACGCAAAAGTCGTCTGTTGCATCTCCTACACCCGCATCCGCCTAGCCATAATAAAACTTTTTTAATTAGCTCACAACTTAGAATCGCGCAGCCTATTTTTCGACTTACTATTGCACAGAGCAGTTTCAAAAAATCTGCACAATTTATAAACATGCAAAATTGGCTGCCAGACCCTATTTAACTATTTTTTTCTTTTATTTAACCGCTATTTAACCTCCCCCCGGTAAGAAACCTTTACCAGTTTATCAGCCTAATTTTGTAGCGTTTTCTCGATTTCCATAGACATTTTCTAGGAATCACTTTTTTACCTTTTCTAAGTCAAATTTTCGAAAACCACTTTCGAAAAATGTACAGGGTGTGCAAAAAAAAAAGCCCACAGTTTGCACCAAAATATCTCGATTATAGTAGAGAATCGAAGGTACGTTACCATGCCAGAATGCTTAAATATGCTGGGTATGAAGATTTAACACAACTTGATTTTTTCGATTTTTGAGTACGAAACTGTACTATTGACGCTGGTTACGACCGAAAATTGTGCGTTCTTGAACGGGTGGTGGGAAAATTCTGATTTTTGGCCTAAAAATAGTATAAATTTGTAGAAAGGTAATGGCAAAATCTTAGAATTTTTCGAGGTCTATTTCATTTTTTACAAACAAAACAATTTTCGCGATTTTGTGTTATTTTCTTCTTTGAGTGATAACTCGCTTCTAACTCACTACTCATGGCTGATATTTTGTCAATGACCTATCCAAGTATTAATCTCGGATTCCACACCAAATTCCACCACCATCTATGGTATTTTTGTATTGCTTGCTAAAACGTGCCCCAGTGGGGTACTGTAGGTTTCGTTTTTACCGCTTTTCTCGGGACCCCTAGCTTCGATCCGGCTGAAATTTTCTGGGTTGTTAGGCAATAAGTAGTGGCACCTTGCTGCCAAATACGAGAGCGTACTATCCACAAACTTTCGTGAAAAAGACTAAAAACTGATTTTTTAATTCTGCCACAGAATCTTGTAAATTTTTTGGTCAGTTGGTCCATAAACCGCTTCTATTGGTTTTACAAAAAGATCGAAGCGATTCCATGGCAAAAACCCCACGAAAATCGCAAATTTCGGTTTTCTACAGTAACCCACGTGGAGCGCGTTTTAGCATGCCATCACAAAATTCCATAAAGTGACGATTTTTCTATTCGAGGGCCTTCTAGAGGTGATTGTAAGATAGCCTGTCAAAAATGACTGATTTTTGATGGTAAATAACAAAGTTACGAGGCCAAGTGCAAAACAAGGCCAGAGGGCCGATTTTGGGTTCGAGTAGCCGGGGTCAATTTTCGAATTTTTAAAAATAAAAAAGCTACCTAAGTCTTCTGGATACGATTATAGCTTTGCTGTTATTATCTACGCCCGTAAAATTTGGGGGCAATCTGATTCAAAATTATGGTGACTTTCAGCTCAAAATCGAAGATCACCCTATTCCAAAATCGAAGTTTAGAAATCTTCTTAAAATTTTTGCGACGTGAAATTGCTTTAATCTTTGCATAGTTTTATTCAACTGATGGCACTGTCTTATTGCTCAAAATATCGCTACGACCCCACCTTCCAAAATTTTTTTACGCAACCTCGAATTCGGTTTATTTCGGGTTTTGATGAATTTTCTTGGCGCCAAAGGCTGGTCAAATAAATTCAAGAACATGGCTTCAGGATGCGCTACTCAAATAGTATCAGATAAAATTAAAACGATAATTTTCACAGCGCGACTAAATTTTATAAAATGGTGACAATATTCGGAAAAAAAGCACGAACGAACCGTTTTGGAGGCCCTAAAAGACGCCCCTCTAAAGGGGTACGGTAGCTCGAAATTTTGTAGATGATAGATCAACCCCAGTCCTACATAGCTAAGCAAAGAAAACAGATGAGGCCCCTTTGGCAATCTAGAAATATTTTTCCAAAGTTGGGTTGCGAGACCTCGAAAAATCCATGACCAGGGGGTCGTTGAAAAACTCGAAAATTCATCGATCTCAAAAAATTCTTTAATATGTTTATGCGATTGTGCATAGTCCGTAGGTATTCTACAACTAGTTATTTTGACATTGCCACCATGAGTTTTTTGAATATCGAAAAATTACGAAATTTCCCCATACAAAATTTCATTCCTCGCTAACTTTTCAACCAGACCCTCAAAAATTCTTAAATTTTGTAGGTACATATCTGCTGGCTATATTAACTTACTTAATAAAAATTAGATGCCAGCCACCACAGGAAACTGAGAAAAATACAAATGAAGTTGCCCCGAACGCACAGTTTTCGGGTGTCATTTGTACTGATACGTCGCCAAAAATCGAAAAAATCAAGTTGTGTTAAATCTTCATACCCAGCATATTTAAGCATTCTGGCGTGGTAACGTACCTTCGATTCTCTACCGTTCGCGAGTTATTTCGACCCAAACTGTGGGCTTTTTTTTTTGCACACCCTGTATTTATCTAAATTGAAGCGTCAAAAACGGCATGAAATAAAAATGTAAAGTTTCGAAATTCTGATTTTCGAAAAAAGACGTTTTAAAAATGCCATCGCCATTTTCTCGGTCCCCAAAACCCCAGCAAACCCGAATCACCGGTCCTGCCGTTTTGGATATGGCCATTTTTTGAGGGCGAGAAAAAGCCTAGAGAAGAGCCCCGTCCGCCGCACCTCTCACCATACCCGGATCGCCCGGCCACAAATCGAGTTTGTCATGGGCCTTTTAAGGGGCGCTTCTCCTGGGCTGTGGCCCAGGTCAAAGGGTCCTGCTCCTCTTCTTTGGCTTGCTGAGAGAGCGCGGCATGGCCATAATGCCGGCTGACATTAATCTGATGCCGGCGGAGCGCCGTGTCAGGTAGAAGCCGGCCCCGAAAGTGCCCGGACACAAGTCCCCTCCTTTGGGTGGTCGGCATCTCCAGATTCTGTCTTTGGCTGGCTTTGGGTATTCGGTGTGTGTTCGGCTCATGATCCGCTAAGCTTTCCGTAGGGCTTCTGAGGGCTCATTTTTGGTCTTTGCTGCCGGAGTATAGTCGGATTTGTCGTTTTTGTCGTAGTCGTCAAAAAAAAAGTAAAAAAAACCATACGGAACTTTGGCAATATCGGGGGGTCTAGATAGACCTGATTAAATGCCAAGATTTTCATAATGCTCTAAAAATCAATTAGCCTATAGATGTCAAGTGAATAAAAAGCTATCTATAAAATTTAAAAATTTTCAATCTGGAATTCGGCTTGAAAAATCAAGATTTTTATTGGGTTTCATAAAGTACAAAATTGTGTAGCATATTTTAAGAAGCTTAACTGAAAAACTATCTAACTAAAAAACGTTTTAAATTTTGATATTTTAATCGAAAAGCCTTTTAATGGATTTTTTTATAAAAAAATTGTAAAATTTTACGTTTTTAAAGACTTGTAAAAACTATTGTGGAAAGACCAAAATCAGATCCTAATGAAACGTTTGCCCCCCCTGATATTGCCAAAGCACCAAAAACCTAACTATTCAGGGTTTGAAGCCTGCAAACACCTTTTGGAGAACAAAAAGTTCAGCTGGCCAAACACCGAAGAGAAACATTTTCATACTTTTTCATCAGAAACCTGACAATTAGCCAGGCGCCAGGCTGCTGTTTTTCATATTTGAGAATTCTGAGAGTTCCAAGGTTTGCAATTTTTTTTGTTGATACTTTTAAAAGCGTTCAGGATGCTTTTAAAACCCCCTAAAAATGCTATTTCTCACCGAGTAGTGCTTGTTGCAGCTGAGGAACTCCTGGGCGAAGCAGTCGACCAGCTTCCGTCCCAGCCATCGCCCTTTCGCGTAGGTGCGCCAAACGGACCAGTACGGGTCGAGGTAGCGGATGCCTAAAAAGATGTTTTAATTTTTTAGCGTTTCGCAGGTTTACGTTCATTTCGCCGATGTTCACTTCACCGATTTCTCTTTATTTATGCTAATTAAGTTCGGTTTCAGTAAAAATGGAATTGAATGTTTTCGATTTGTATCGACTTTAGCTAAATTAAATCAAGGCAGGTTTTCAAAATTCTCGGGCTGAAAAAATCGCCCAAGCTTGAAGGAACTTAAATAAGCATGCATAAAAAAATCGGCGAAATGAACGCAAATAGTTTCCCAAACCCTCGAAGCCGATTTTGACTCCCGCTCCTCCTCACACCGAGCGCCTCAACCTCAAGCAAAGAATTCTCAATTTCCGCTTGGACCAACTGCCGCACACGCGCCTTTAGTTGGCTGGCCCCGGGGAAATTGGGACGGCGCAGACTTTCTCGGCTTCAAGCAATTCCTGGTAGCATATTTTCTTTTGGAACGGCTCACGTTTCGCAACTCTTGTTTAAAAGGGAACGTTTTCTACGTCATCAGCGCGATTCAATCTGGCCATTTTTAAAGCTAGCTTGCATTAAAAGTAAAGAAAATTAATTTCTTTCACAGCCACCAATAGTCAAAGACCCTTGTTTACTTCCTTGAAGCACCCCCCCAAATTAGCTGAAAATAGCCGAGATTTTAGGCTGGCTTTGGCGGGGAAATGTCGAAATTATTTTTGGAAGCGTATTTTCAAACATCAGTGTGAAAAAAACACTCGTGAAAATTTAAGGTTTAGAAAAGTTATATTTGGGTAATATTTTGGCCATGAATTTACAATATTTTTTTAAGAAGCTTAAAGGGCTGCCGACGGCATGTGTCGATCCCCCCCCCCCCCCCATCAACAAATTGGCAAGTAGCCAACAGGGCAGAGAGCGCGCCTGGGGAGAGGCGCAGAGACAATTTCTTTCCAGCGCGTAACCGATTGACTATGCCGTCGGCATCCCTTTAAAAGTCGGTAAAAATCAGCGTTTTTAGCAACATCTAAAAACTATCTAAAAAGTTTTAAATTTGGGGATTTCGGTTAAGAAGAAAAGCAAGAAGCAAGAACCAAAAACAGCTGTTTACAACCCGCGTCCACATCCCTTTAGTCGGCACACTACCCTCCTCGCGGCCCACCGCCCAATCTCAACCGCTCATCTTTGTGCCCAACCCCATTTTCCGCTCGCAGTGGCCACCAACGCATGGCCAAATTCCCCGGGAAATCCATTAGGACTTCTTGCTCTGATCGATGGACCCAAAGGCGTCTTTGCGATTATTTTACGAACGGATTTGGTGGCATAGTCGAACTTTTGTAATGCCGAATCTCCTATATGCTCGAAAGTTCTCGATTCCCAATGCGAAAAATTAAAAAATTTCGTCTTAATGGTTTCAAAATAGGCATTTTGAAATCGGTGATTATGAAAAAATTAGGCATTAAGAAAATTCCGCGCTAAATAGCAGTAGCCGAACTGTTTTTTACTGTTTCTAAACGTAAAAAATCACAAATTTCCCTAAACATTCCCAAAAATCGATCTCGACTTTTCATCTGAACCGACCAAAAAATTTGAATCTAAATTTTCTAAAAATTGTGAGATCGTTTTTCCACTTGAAAGATAGCTAGATTTTACCCAAAATCTATTACGCTATTTGGCATTTCTAGACCTAGGCACACCCACCCTCCGATAACGCACAAGGACCTGCGATTATTTTGCGAAAAGCTACGCGGAAGGGCAGGGCATCTCTTTCTTAACAGATGACCAATTTGTCCATTGGCCGCTGGGCCCCCTATTCACCACCCTGAAAATTGCCGACCCGGAGGTCTGTTCTATCCGCATCGGGGAGGCAGTCGAAGGGTGGCCGGTGCCTATTTTCTTTTTCTTTCGCATATTTGCCGGTGAGGAAAGCCAAATATGAGGGCTGGCTATGGGGGGTGCCCCCTGGCCAATTGCTATCCATTTCGCCCAAGAAAAACGCTCCTTTTTCCTGGCTCATCAATGCAAATATATTTTAAAGGGACCAGCCTTTCAGTGATGGAGCCTCAAAAGAAGCCATTTTTAGATGATAAAGGGCTTTACGATATGACTTGAAGGTTCTTGTGGATTATCGGGGGGCAAATTTTTCTTAGTATCCAATTTTGTCTCAGCTGTTTTTTACACCATCTAAACGTCAAAAAAAGACAAATTCGTAAAAAATTAAAATCAAGATTTTTCGACCAATTTCTAATTTCCTAAATTTTTTTAAGCGTCGGTTTTATAATCTTCCATAGTTAATTTTTTTCTAAAAACTCTATTACATCACTCGACATTCCTAGACATGTAGAAGAAATTCTTTCCCCCGATAAGGAGAAAGAACCGACATGGCCCATTCGATAGAGCTGCAAATTCTGAGCCACTCGCATCTTTCAAAACGCCTGAACGATACTAGATTGGAGGAAGCATTTCTGAAACTTAAAAATAAGCAAAACGGCGTTTTCAGAAAGAAAGACCGCTTTTTCAGACGAACTTTCGGCGCTTTTCGAAACGTGAAACTTGATCAGAATATCGGAGCCGAATTGTCGCACTACCCCCGCATCAAAATACGCCAATTTACCCCAAAGCGAACACGTGTACAAAATTAAGAGTTACCCCCATTTTTTTTTGCATTATTTGACCTCATTGCAATCCCAATCATCTCCCCCATTGCCTCCCATTACCTGCCCGGAAAAAGTGGCATTCTGGAATCCCGGCAATTATCCCCCACGCCGCTACATATCAATTATTTGATCCGCCCCGTAGCCAACGTGCCCAGGTTCACGGCTTGAGCCATTTGGAAATGCCCCGAATTTGTTACAATACTTCAGTTTTACCCTGTAACCAAATCGTTAGCTCAAAAATTCACCATCAACTATCCTAAAGCCGACGGGCATCATAGGGTCCTCCTCCTCGGCCTCGTCAAAGCGCTGTCGTTTTGGTGGTTTCCGCTGAAAAATGGCAATAATCTTTATTTGGAGCTTTTGCAATAAAGGGGAGGATGAAGATTTTCCTGATGATTCTTTTTACTATTTCTAACCGTAGAAACATTGCAGATCTAATAAAAAACACTAAAAATATCGATTTTTGCGAATCAAAAGTGGCCGATTTTCGATTAACAGCTGAAATTTTCAAGAATTTTCTAAGTTTCTAGTTTTTTCACCCGAAATATAGCTTTAGATAGCTCTTTTTGGCCTATTTCGTTCAAAGACATTACTAAGTACGTCTGGAATTATAGAAAAAAAATTGGCTTCCCTCTGGCAATAACAAAGAACCGAGCTTTCTTTTCAAAAATCGAAAACCTATGTAAAATAAAAAAACCCCGATCCACTTCCAGAAACACTAAATTTGTCCGCGCAGCCCCACCACCCGTGCGACCAGCCTTCCTACGCTAATTCAATTATTCGACGAGCGCCTTCTTCTGAAAACTCCCTCACTTTATTTCCTCCTTCAGCTTCCGATCGTCTTTTTCGGTGACCTTTCGGCTCCTCGGCCGGATCGATGCTCTAAAAATGGCTTTAACTCCGGAAAACTCCTACTTTTACGCCTTCTGCACTTGTGTTCGCTTCTCTTTCTATGTCGTCGGCCTCGCCGTCAGGCATGTGTGTCCTGAAACATTTTGAATAAATCAGGAGGCCGAGAAAAAGAACAATACATCTGAATTAAGCTGGAATTATGTGTTTTCACGGAATAAATATCGAGCCTCGCTTCTGGCTTAAAAGAATTCAATTTTAGCAGGATGCAGGATGAGTTTGTGATGTCATACTGCAATGCATGCCTTGGCTCTACGGATCCGGACTATCAAGTAAGTTGAAAAAGGGGAATTTTCAAAAATAAAATACGAAAAAGGAATTTTATTTAGTTTTTGGATCAAAATAATCAGTTACGGCACGAAAAGTTTTCGCTGCGTGCATTAGGTGCGAGCGTAATTAGTAGTCAATCGGAAGCTCTTACAGGATTGAAATCAAGTTGGAAGTGGAAAACTTTTCTAAAAATAGGGGCTCTAAAAAGTTTTAAAACGCTTTTGGAGATTAAGAAGTGCAGTATTATGGCTTGGGAAGCTAAATACAGGACGGTAAACGAGCAAAATTGAATGCGAGGCTTGTTTTTAGTTTTTAAAGGTATAATTTTTCAGACGTACAACTTCGCGGTATCCGGGGTGCTGTTGGCGCTAGTCGGGCTGGTGGGGCTGGTCGGGAACGTGCTCGTCGTGCGGGTCTACCTCTCACGCTCACAACGCATCCACTCGACGCCCATCTACCTGGCCGCGCTGGCCACGTCCGACTTTTTCTTGATCCTCACCGCCATGTTTCTGTTCGTGCTGGAGGCGTGGCGGCATCACAATTATCCATGTAAGTTTATTGACAGATTAATGGCAAATTTAATTTTAAGTCATATCCGCAGCATTTTTTGCTGTGTTTTCCTCAGAAACCATCAAAACAATCCTATTTTTTTGTCTTATAATTACAGCTTTCGTTCTTTGCTCTAGAACACTCTATAGACATTCCTTTCCAGTTCTGGCGTGGCTCTACACAACCGGTGCCCCATTCATCTTCCCGTTGGCCGCCGTTTTTCAGACGTCTTCAGGTACCGGGTTCACGTGCGGGCATAATTTTGGGCTGGAAAGCAAAGAAGAATTCGTGTTTTTGAGATTAATAAGGGGTAAAGGAATGTTGCAGATACGTAGAAGAGGAAATTAAAGCGCCTAAACCATAATAAAGTTTAGAAAAACATAAATTCTTACCTATTTTTAGTATATCTCTGCGTGGCAGCCGCTGTCGATTGTTTCATCACGGTCGTCTTGCCAACATCTGTACGCCAACTTTATTGCACACCAAGGTATAACTAAAACCCATTAATTGACGTTAAAAACCCAAATTCCAGGCGCGCCAAAATCACCGTCATCTGGATCATGAACTTTTGCGTTTTCTACAACATCCCGCACGCATTTGAGATTGAAAAGGTGGGCGGCAGATTTAAAACTCAATTTTAGAAAGAAAATCGATAAATTTATGTGAAAATATAATTAATAAAGTGAAAATACAGTTTTACAAAACATCTTGAGGTGCCGTGCATCGGGGACAACGGGTTGAGCTCACAAATTTGCCCCACCGACATTCGGAAAGACCCCATCTACTACACGATCTACTACACCTACATGTACACCACTTTTCTGGCCGTGGGCCCGTTGATTCTGTTGATTCTGCTGAATATTTGTGTGGTGTACACGGTGGTGACGCGGAAAGAGGATAATGGAGGTTTGTAAAGTCAGGGTATCGTTGTGATAGTTAAATATAGGTTTTGGGACTTTTAGAAGTATATTTTCTAGTATAGAACCGTTTTTCAGACTTAATCGAAGTGAAAAAGGTTACGTAAGGTTTTTCAACGCCTAAGGTTTAAAGATGTAATATTACGGTTTTCGTTTTAATTAGCGAAAGTTATAACAGTTCTATTGAATTTCAGGGAATTTAAAGGTATAGAAGCTACTAAAATTTTTTTCTGGCTCTTTTTTTTGGTTAATCTCGTTAATTTAATAAGTTAAAAGTTTGAAAGTGCAGGTTAAAATTGTAAAGCTATATTAAAACTTAGACCAGCTTTAATTTAAAGTTTAATAGAAAATTCGAACGTTTTAATGTTCTTTTTAAGAAGAATCCGACACGGTCAGCCTAATCCTCGTCGTGTTCTTCTTCATTTTTTGCAACTTTACGGCACTGCTCGTCAACTTCCTCGAGTTGATATTCATGTACCAGGTGGGTCAAGTAAGCAAATTTTCAATACATTTTTATCAAAATTTTAGCTGGGCGACATTCTGGTGTATCTCGTCGATTTGTCGAATTTGCTGATTGTCATCAACGCGACGGCAAACTTTTTCTGTTATTTCCTGTTTGGAGTGTCGTTCAGGTAGGGTTTCCTACCATTTTGGCAAGCATAAGCCAAAGCTAAGCCAAGCCTAAGCCTTAATCCGAGCCTAAGCCTAAAAAACCAAATTTTAAATTTCAGAAGAACACTCTTCGCCATTCTGCGACGACCAAAAGTGAAAAACACGGAAATTATCTGGGAAAACGGAGCCACAAAAATGACGGACCCACACACACTTTCAACTTTTCTCTAAAAAGTATCGATATTTTCGTCGTTTTCCCATAACTTTGCTTCTTGTTTTTGTTTTCATATACTCCTTCCCGGTGCTATCTAGCCTTTCATTACAACTTTCAATTAAAAATGTTGGTTTTAAGCTAATTTAAATGCCCGTTCTTGAAAACGCCGAAATCCTGACAGCCAAAATACTGACCGGCAAAAATTCCCAAATCCCAAAATCCCAAATTCCCGACATGCAGGATTCGTAAAAGGCAATGGCATTCAAACCAGCGTCGTCTTTATATGGCTGCCGGGATTTTCGACGCTCGCTATTGTGGCTGTCGGTATTATGGCTGGAATTCCTCGATTCCCCTCTGCAACTCTAGACACTCGGCCCTCTTCGCCAATGTGTGATACGGTTTCTCCCGGATTCATCGGAATCTCGTGTGTTTGTTTCGACCCTCAGTTTTGTGTGGTTTTTCATGATTTTCGAAGGTGTTTTTTTCGGTGTTTCCCCGTGTTTCCGCATTTTTATTGCGTGTATAAATTGTATTTAAAGTTGGGGGGTGGCGATGGAGGGATTGGGAAAGTGAAAAAACTACGGGGGGTCACAGGTCCTTTAAAATTCATCCAGGCTCGAATTCAAGGTTGGAAATGGTAAATATAAGAAAAACAAGTATGGAAGCGGTATTCGATCGTTTTCTCTCCTCCCTCCACTCTCTCTTTTATCTCCTCACTCTCTCACTCTCTCTCTCTCTCTCTCTCTCTCTCTCTCTCTCTCTCTCTCTCTCTCTGTCCCTTTCTACGCAATGACAATAACTTCATCAACCCCATGCTCCCAACTCGTGGACCAAGGGACCAGCCAGGCCAATCATCCACTTCATCTACACCCTAACCATTGCCCTCCACGGCCCCCATTTTCTCATTGGCTCCACACTCTTCGCATTTCCTCCGGGATCTCGTTCTCACTTTGCGGGCTCCATGGCCACACCATCATCCCCGGTCCGTTTAACAGCAGCAACAGCCGCATTCTCTCTCTCTCTCTCTCTCTCTCTCTCTCTCTCGGTCTCTCTCTTCCATTCTGCGACCTCTTATATCCAACCCCAGCTTGGCCATCACCATTATCCACTGACTGGCCCGCTGAATCGAAATTACCAGAGGCATGGAGCGGAATTTTGAAGTTTTGAGGTTTATATCTCGCTCTCTCTCTCTCTCTCCCCTCTCTCTCTCCCTCTCTCTGTCTCTCTTTGGCGTGTACATTTTAAAAGTGCTTGCTTGTATCGTGTTGGGAGCGCATAGCCTAAGCATGCCTATGCCTAAGCCTAAGCCCAAGCTCGAGCCTTAGCTTAACCTAAGCCTAAGCCTAAACCGAAGCCTAAGCCTAAGCCCAAGCCGAAGCCTGTGCCTAAGCCTAAGCCTAATCCCCCAGCTTACCCCTAAGCTTATGCCTATGCCTAACAAGGAGTGTCCTTTTGGTGTCATCGGCAAAACGATTCGAGACCCAGCTCATTCGATAGAGAATTGAATTTTAAACAAGACTGTGCTGTTCATTTTTGCGGAATGGCTGTCCCTGATTTTATAGAATTAAAAAACCAAGCGCGAAACCTTAACAACTCGCTCCCCAGGCACCAATGTATGGGCGTCGCCGGCATTTTTTTAATTTTATAAAATCAGGGACAGCCATTCCGCAAAAATGAACAACACAGTCTTGCTCAGAATTCAATTCTCTATCGAAGAGCTGACTCGTTTTGCCGATGAACCATAAGGCACCACCCCCAAGCAGAGCCAATCCCCGATTTCCATCGCGTAATCCCCATTGTCCCTTCAGAGACGAACTCCCCCGGTGAAGGCGTGGCTGTCAAGCAAGCGGCCACTTGGCACCTCACAAGTGCCAGCCGAGTGCCACACACACGCTCTTGCTCGACACACTCTTGCTCGACGTAAACTGTAACATTAGCCCGGCGGGGTCGTTTGGAGGAGTGCCCCGTTCGGCCCTAAACTTGTCGGCGGCCCCGCAAGATGATCATTGTCGCCCAGGAGGATTTAGGATTTCGGGGGTCAAGGTTTGGAAATTGGGGCCATTGGGGCGAAAAAAGTTTGTAGAATTTTTCGAAACAGTATTTAGCGACGATTTAGCATTTAGCTTGCAAAAAGCCTGTTTTCAAGATACCGCATCCGAAAAACGTCGATTTTTCAAATAACCAACTTCTATAAGCCTGGAAAATTCCAATAGTCTTTTTTTTGCTTTTCGAGCTGTTCCCGCTTGTTTTTCGAATTATTCTCATTTTATGGAGATTGTAATGGGAAATTAATTTTGTCGAGATTTCATTACATTGAAAAGAAATTTGCTACATCTTTGTGAAGGCGAAATTCCGATAAAATTCATCTCTCCCTCCCACTCTCTCTCTCTCTGTCTCTCCCTCTCTCCTCCCTCACACTCTCTCTTTCTCTCGCGTTCAAAGGCTCTCTCAATATCAAAACCCGATTGAATCCGAAGCCTATGCCTATGCCGGAGCCGAAGCCGAAGCCGAAGCGGAATAAGCCGGTCGCCGAATCCTAGGGTTGAGCTAAGCCTAGGCCTACTCATGTCCTAAGCCCATGCCTATACCCTAACCTTACGCTCGAAACTTTTCCCATTGACCTTTCCCCCCCTCCCGACCATCAGTTCCGCGACATTCCGCCGTCCATTTCCGTTTCTTGCCATCATTTCGTTCATCTCCTCTGGGGGCAAATGCCCTGTGGGCACATGTGACCCAGGTGGTGCTGTGGCCACGGCCGCCACTTCTTGCCGCGATTAATGGCTTTACCCGGTGGGGTTGATGCTCAAGCCGGTGAGGGGGGGGGGGGGGCTGATTCATTGGCTGTTGTTTGGCAACTTTTGATCGACAGGGTGGAAGCGGGGAATTCAGCGGAATTTTGAGCCCCAGGCTTCGAATACGTCAAAATCTGGGGATCACGGTAGCGTCATTAGTACCCTGCGTATTCGCCGTAAAAGACGACTAAAACCGAAAGAAAAAATGTTGACAGGGATAAACTGAGGTCGAAGCCGAAGCCTAAGCCTAAGCCTAAGCTTAAGCCCACGCCAAAGCCATGCCTAGGCCCAGGCCTAAGCCCATGCCTAAGCCTAATCCGAGGCCTAAACCGAAACCTAGCCTAAGCCAAGCCTAAGCCTACCCTAAGTCTAAGCATAAGCCAAGCCTAGGCCTAAGACTACGCCTAAGCCTATGCTTAAGCCTATGCCTAATCCTAAGCCTAAGCCAAAGCCAAGCCCAAAACTATGCCCAAGCCTAAGTGTCATTAGTACATATCGTAGCCGCTATAAAATTTCACCCATGTTCCTCCTTCCCCTCCCCATCCCAATCCAACTATGGAGATGCGGGTATCCGTTCCGTTGCCCACCTCTTTCCACCCATTCCCTTCCCGAGAACAAGACAAGCACAATCTAATTCCACCGGGCCGCCCCGGCTTCAGACGAGCCACCACCACCCGTTATCGCCTTCGATTGTCTTTCCAACCTCCCCCCTTCTCATTCTCATCCTCATCCTCTTCCTCCTCCCCCTTTCCGAGGCACTCCTCTCATTCCGCTCACCGCTCACGGCCCACCACCCCGGAATATCAAGTAGGGGGGCTCGGGGCTGGGGCTTCTGAAGTGGTACTAGCTAATTTTGGCTTCGTTTTGGTAGTTTTACGGCTTGTGCCCTTGGCTCTCTTCTTCTCCGGATTTCTCTCGTTCTCTCTCGCTCAATCTCGCTCGCTCCGTCTCTCGATCTCTATCTCTCTCATATCTCGTTCTCTCGTTCTCTCTCTCCCTCTATCTTGCTCGTTCGCTCTTCCTCTATATCTCTCGCTATCTGTCTCTATATCGCTCTCCTCTCTCTCTCTCTCTCTCTCTCTCTCTCTCTCTCCATTCTGCATAGTTAGGCCCTTCTGATGAGCCGCACGCTACGCCGTACCACTTCTACGGGCAATTCGCGCTTCGAGTATTTTTACGTGCGGTGTCTAGAGTATTTTTGCGGAATGCGCGACGAATTTCAATTTTTGGGGTCGGGATTATCGCGGTCGGGAATATAGTTGTCGGGATTTCGGCTGTCGGCATTCGTCGACATTATGGCGATCGGGACTATCGTTTTCGGGATCTTGGCGTTCGCATCCACAGCCTATATTCCTCATTCCTGCTCGCTTTAAATGTTATTTCGGTTTTAGCCCTCGTTTTAAGGTATACCCGCGGCTACAGAACACTCCTCATACACGCCGCACTCCCATTTTATGGGAATCGGAAGTCGGCCTCGACGAGATCCGGGGTGATTTGAATGTTTCATGTCGTTCTGTCATTTCCCCCCGTCCATGGCTTGTGTTTGGCGATGAGCGATTGGAAACAGCTGCGTGTGCTGTTGGTCGCGGCGCCCCGCGGAAAATCGTCCGGCAAAAAACCGCCCTACCCTCTAGACGACCTCGCGCTATTCGCCACGGGGCTTGGGACGGGGCTCGAGGCCATCATGGTCAAGTTTTGTCCGAAAAGGGCAGGATTTGGGGGTTTTGTTTAGATTTGGTTACCTTTCCATTCGATTTTTATGTTTTCTTAACATCGTAGGAATTGGATTTTTCGTAAAAAATCTAATCTCACCAATAAAAGTTAAAAGCGTGCCTTAAAACACCTAGTTCGCTACAAAAATTTGCCTACTTTGCCACGAAGCATATTAATTTTGATAAATTATGTTATGAAAAATTCTAGTGATTTTTGGCAACAATTTTTGGCAACAAATACGATAATTATTGAAGGTTGGCAAAATAAATTTTTCCGCGAAATTCGGAAATTCGAAAATCCGAATACCTTTTTGATTTATTTTCAGCGTATTTAATACATTTTTAGTGTTTTTAAGTTGTGTTCAAAACTGACCGTATTTTTTAAAGCTTAAAAAATAGCTTCTTTAAGCTGCGGGGCATTTTAGAAGTTAAAAATTGGGTTTATAGGTGCAATTTTGCTTTTTTTCTGTTGATCCAGCTTTCAAGAACGCTCATTGTTCGATATCTGATCCATTTCGGAATTTCTGAATTCCTTGAATTTAAAAAGTGATAAATATCTTGGATTTCGACCCCAAGAGACCCCACTCCAAAAACATCCGCCCTCCACCCTCCCCGGAATCCCAAGCATTTTTTTATTTAGATCTCCAGCCTTCTTGCCGGCCCATTCGCCCAGCACACATACACACACGCAGCCCGGGCCGCATTCAATTAGACGATAAGCCGTTTGGGAAGAGGGACCACAATTTTGCACGACCACCACTGCCGGAAAGCGTCTTTCAGGTTAGTTGTGTTTTTTTGGGGTTCTTTTGGGGCGTTGAAGAGTGGCTAAGCCTAAGCCTACTCTGAGCCTAAGCCCAAGCGTAAGCCTAAGCCCAAAGCCTAAGCCTAAGCCTAACAAACTATGCCTAAGCTAAAACCCCACCCTAATCCTTTTTTACAGTTCGATTGCGTGTACGCGACCGCATGGGGTCGCCTGGGCGGACGGCGGGCGTGGTGGCCGGTCTGTTGCTGCTCGTCTCGTTGTTGTTGTTAGTCGGAATCGTCTACCTCTATTTCACGCGGCCGCCAGAGGTGTGCCTCACGCCGGGATGTATACACACTGGTCAGTTTCTATGCTTTTTATTAGCTGCTTTTCATTTTTAAACCTCTCATCCGCTTACGCAACGTAATTCGGGCGCTAAAGGACTTTAAGTCATTTTGTTTATATTTCTTAATTTTTATTATTTTTCTTCCCCTCCAAAAAACCTATTAACGCTTATATGACTGGAATGCTTAGTTCCGGATTTTATCGCATTTCTTTTAAAAACCTGAAAAATGAGAATTTGTAAAGCGCGCATAGTATCAGTTTGTAAAATGGAGCCCGCGTAGTCCTGTAATTGCAAAAATTTTCGAAAATTCTTCTTTTTCACGTAATGCCTTGTAGCACCAGACACGTGTTGTTGTTCCCTGCATGATTTTGATCGAGGAAAGTTAAAATGATAACTTGCAAAGTGGGCATAGCATCAAGGCGTACCTTGGGGCCCTGCGTAGTCCGAGAAGTAAGTTCCGTTTTCGCCTAAAACATGCAAAACCAGTTACACCATGTTATTCCGCTTGCAGAGCTTTATCTAAGCTCTGCAGTTCCTCCCCCCCATTTGAGCATAATAAGCGACGGCAGCTTGCGAGGAGGATGAAGCCCAGCCTGGGGGAATGGACCTTATTAATGGACATTCTCTACTGGCTGTCTATATCCCCAGCCATCTCCCCCTATAATTAATCGAATTGCAGCGTCGGTGATCCTCTCCTCGATGAACGCCTCCGTCGACCCGTGCGATGATTTCTACGCGTACGCCTGCGGCCAGTGGATAAAGGTTTGTCGCGGAGGATGGGGGGTCGGCAAAAATTCGGATATAATTTTAATGCTTCTTGTGCAATATCGGGAGCATGGTTTTATTCTTTGGAGCCAATTTTCGATAAAAGGTTCGTTTTGCGCTGTTTTTTCATATTCCTAAGCGCATTACTGATAATTTTATTATTGGAAAACACAAAACGTTGCTTTTAACGGGATTGGCCAATTCTCGGCAAAAATTTACAATTTTCAAACGTTTTTCGAGTTTTTTAAGCGATTTTCTAGGGCCACCCCATCCCCGACGACGCACCATCAGTGTCCAATTTCGAAAATCTCGGCCAGGATCTTGAGTTTGCACTAAAAGGTATGGAAAAGTTGCCCTGCAGAACAATTTTCCCCTTTTCAGAACTTCTCGAGAGCAAAGAAGAGGTGCACGACGCGGAGAGCGCCGTCAACAAGGCCAAGCTCTTCTACAATTTGTGCCTGAATGAGAGTGGGTTGGAAAGATTTTATAATTTTTTAGCGTTTTAAAACATTTTAAAACGCTTTTGAAACATTCTATTCCATCTTTCTTACTTTTTCCAAATTCTTCTCGGTAGCACCTGATCAGTAGCCGGTCTGTTCATAGTTCCGGCTTTGTTCTGTTGCTTTCCCCGGGGTCTCGGATTTTCGGTCGACCAATCCATCATCTACCGGCCCGACATCCGCTAAACGCCCCAAAGAAAAAGCCTAAAACATGACCCATAACTGCCCAAGATTGATCCTCAATCCTCGCCTCATCCATCAGCGTCATCGGCAAAGGCTTTTCCCCCCAGCATTTTCGGGTTATGATGAAAGGAATAGGGTCTGGAAAATTAAAAATCAGATAAAATAACCCCGATTTTCAGGCGAGATCAGCGACACGTGGCGCGAGACGTTTGACGAGGTGATGAAGACGTTCGGCGGCTGGCCGAGTCTCGGCGCGCACAGTAGGGTGGCTGAGGTGTTGGGTGAGATAGGAGATGATTTCCAGTCGACGAGAGCACCTCCATCGAGCGGTTGTACGCAAAGATGGTGGCCAAGTACCGGGCTGATTCGCTGTTCAAGGCCACCGTCCAGCCGGATGACAAGAACTCGGAGAAGCACGTGCTGTTGGTGGGTTTTGGGGCTTTTGCAGTATCGGGGAGACGAATTTTTTCGTAAAAATCCAGAAAGGTGGTCATTTATTTTGTATTAAACGTGTCTTAACAGTTTATTTGATAAAATTGCACTATATTTGACGTGAAAAACTGTTTAGAAAAGAGAAAATGTTTAAAATGTATAATCCTGGCCATAAATCGCTCATTTTGATTGAAAGATCGAGATTTTTCTATTTTTAATGAAAATTTCTGACGTTTTCACTTTAAGAATACCAAAAACAACGTAGAACTTTTCCTATATTTATATTAGCAAAATTGGATTCAAATGAAGCGTTAAAACTTGCGATTTTAGGTAGACCAACCGGCGCTGAACCTGTTCGCCCGCGATTTCTACATCATGGCCGAGAACGAGGAGCGGCTGGCGTACGTGACCTTGATACGGTGAGAGTTCTGAATAAATTCGTTGAACTTCTCGGTAGTGACGTGCTGGTCCACCTGCACGCCCGGCCCGACATTGCCATCAACGACGCCAAGGAGATTATCGAGTTTGAGACGGACCTGGCAAATGTAAGCTGTTTTTTTTATGATGCCTAAGCGTAAAATTTTCCAAATTTCGAATAAAAAATACAAAAATATATATTTTTCGACTCAATTACTTTTTTCTAAGTTTTTTTATTGTTTTTCAACTTTCAATATTTTTAAATTTTACTAAAAACTAAAACTTGTAGATCACAATGGCCGACGAGCAACGGCACGACATTGCCGAGCTGTACACCAAGCTGAGCATCGGCGACCTCAGCCGGAAGCTGCCCAACTTCAACTGGCTCCTCTTTTTCAACTCGATGTTTGAGGATATTCGAACAAAGGTGATCTAACTAATTTTTAAAACCAAAAAATAGAACGGAACAACCATCAGCTTCGACTACAGCACCGAGGTGGTCGTCTACGGCGTAGAGTTTTTGGAGCGACTTGACAAGATGCTACCTAAATACAACAAGCGGTAAGCCGAGTAATTCTTGCTTTTACGTCTGCTTCAGCCGCATCGTCAACTACCTGGAGTGGTGCTGGTTTTTCAAGACGATGCTCCGCGACCTGCCCGACCCGTTCGCGCTGACCATCTTCAAGTTCTACAAGACGCTGAACTGTTAGAACATCGTGAACACCTAAAAATATTTTTTTTTAGTGATGAACGTGCAAAAAGTTCGGTGGCACGGCTGCGTGACTCGGATAAACTCGCTGATGCCGATGGCCACGTCGTCGATCTACGTCAAGTACCATTTCGATCACGATTCGAAGCAACAAGTAAGTTTCTGGAGCTTTCGCATTATCGGGGGAGGGGGGGGGTGTAAAGTGTAGAAATGCCTGATAGCGCAATAGTAAGTATTTTATTCCTGTTTTTAGCAAAATTTAGCCAGATTCTAAATAGCAAAACCAGCTGGAAAACTTTAAAACATTTAATAAATTTAAATTTTTGGTCGAAAAGTCAAGGTTCCTTAGTAATTTTTTGAAAAAAATTGTAAAGATTTAGTGTTTAGCAATAATAAAAACTTTTTAAAAACAATTCCTCAATTTATAATGGAAAAATTGGATATTAAATGAAAAACATTGGTTCCCCGATAATTCGAAAAAAATTTCCAAATCTATTAAAACCTTATAACCAAACCTTTAGGTTGAAGAAATGATCTCATTGATCATGGACGCGTTTGTCGACCTTTTGGTGCACGAAGATTGGCTGACACCGGAAACGAAAGCGTTCGCCAAGCAAAAGGTATATAAAATAGCGTCGAAGTTGCCCTAAAGTTCAAAATTGATCTGACATTTTCAACCCAAAATTCAGGTCAAAACGATGAAGCAGAAAATCGGCTACCCCGAGTACCTCAACGACGAGGTGGCCGTGAACAAGGAGTACGAGCACTTCAACGCATACCCCGGAAACTACTACAAGACAAAGTTCCAATTCTACGAACAGTACCAGAAGGACGTGCTCGAGCGCATCGTGCAACCGGTCGACAGGGAGAGGTTCGGGAATTCCACGTAATTCATCTACCTTTTTAGATGGGTCGCTGGCGCGGCGCTGGTCAACGCCTTCTACTCGCCGAATACGAATGAGATCAGTAGGTTTTGAAGGACGACGATGACCCCTTGTTTTGTAATAGAAAAGAGGAAATGTTTTTAAATTGTTTTTGCAATCTCTAAACTTAAAAACATTACAATTTTTATAAAAAAGCACGAAATGCCCAAATTTTTTCAAACGTTTTTCCAGCTTTCAAACACTTTTTCCAGTACAGCCAGTAGTACAATACAGCCAAAATTTTATTAAAAACTTGCGTTACTAGGCATTTCCGGGCGCAAGGAAAAATTCGGATCCCCGGGGAAACCAAAGAACCTAACTCCTTTTTTAGTCTTCCCCGCCGGAATCCTGCAACCCGTTTTCTACTCCAAGGACTTCCCATCGTCGATGAATTTCGGTGGAATCGGGGTGGTCATTGGCCACGAGATTACCCACGGATTTGACGATCGAGGTAAGGAAAAAACTGAACGCCCAAAAACTATCGATTTAGGCCGACTCTACGACAACCTGGGCAACATCCGACAATGGTGGGACAACCAGACGATCGCCAACTTCGAGCGCAAAGCGGAATGCATTGAAGTGAGAAAATACAACACTCAAAAACTTCCTCATTCCTCCAGGACCAATACAGCAGCTACATCCTCGAGCAGATCAACATGCGCATCAACGGGCGGTCGACGAAGGGCGAGAATATCGCTGATAACGGCGGCCTGAAACAGGCTTATAGGTGAGTGGAAAAAAGTTTGCAAAAACAGTTCTAGGGCGTGGAAGCGGTACGAAGCGTCTCATCCTCCACCGGCAAGATTGCCAGGCGTCAACCTTACACATGATCAGCTCTTTTTCCTGAACTATGCGCAGGTGAGTTTAAAAAGCGTCAACTTACTTTCAAAAATGTATCGACGACGCGCGTAAAGTTCAAGCTATTAAAAACTCGTAGATCTGGTGCGGCACGATGAACGACAAGGAGGCGTTGCGCAAGCTGCGGACGTCCGAGCACTCGCCCGGTCCGATTCGAGTGAAGGGACCGCTCTCGAATTCGCAGGACTTTGCCCAGGCCTACCAATGTCGGCCCGGAGCCCCGATGAACCCAGAAAAGAAGTGTAGGGTCTGGTGATTTCCCCTGACAATCGTTAGCCCCCTATATTTACCTTACTAGTAGATATGAATGTCCTATGGTATGACGCCTCTCTGGGAATGACCGAACAACGAATTGTTTCTCCACTACCGGCACATAGACTTTGTTCACATTAATCCCTTGCCCCCGACATTTTACCAATTCGATCCCAAAATTCAACGTGTGAGATCGTCACGAGCTCAACCCACCTTGCCGATCCCCCGGACCGCCATAAAGCCCCCGACCCGCGCATTTCTCTATGCACTGGATGTACATTCCGTCGTTTTCACAGCTTTTCCCTTTTGTCACAGCGTATTCGAAAATCTAGTCCCCCTTGACGCGCCCACACGAACCGCAACTCTTCTTGACAAAATGTGACGAGTGTTTCCCCGCGCAAATCTGGTGCAATCTGTTTGTTCTATGTATGCCTCTCTGCTTGCCAACGATAAAGATTCCGGTCATATAGCTTTTGGTAATCAAAAAATTTTATCGCAGACGATAGACAATAAGAATACGTCGAAAACGGAGTAAAAAGCGGACCCGTTGGAATGACTAGTCAGGTTAACAGTACAGAAATGCAAGGGAAGATTCGGCGACCATCCGCCTAGTTGGATCCGGGAGCCTTCATGTTGGTGAATGGAGGGAGGGGCTTGCCGTTGATAAGCGTGAGGATGTTGTAAATTCCGAGGATGAAGCAGGCGGTGGAGAGGATCTTCACCATTTTCGTTACCCCTTGGTCGAACGGGCCGGCATCTTCGGACTTGGCACCATCGAGCAGCGCCTTCGCGTAGGTGTCGACGCGTTTCTTCAGCACGGGATCGTAGAGGCCATATTTGCCCATCACCAAGTTGCCACATCGCGTGCTCTCCGGGAGGCGGGGAAGGATCTTGCCACCAGCTCCAAGCTGCCACTCGCCAGGGTTCAGCGGATCAAAGTCCTCGAGCTTTGGTGGGGTCCTGCCAGCATTCGTTGGCACCGTCTGGAACGTAGCGGCTCGAACGGAGATACGTGCGGGTCCTAGGAAACGCGCGGCCAGCATCCTGAAAACAATGGTACTTTCGATTCACAGCAGACCATGTCGATACTCTGTGGTAAATCTAATACCAATCTACCGTCGCACTTTCCAATAAGTGGTTGACAACTTTATGTAACTACTAGAAATTAGGAATTAGAAAGTAATGTATACAATTCAACATCAACAGGGCAAACAAAATCCTACAAGCTGGTAAACAACAAGTTACTCGTATATGCAAAATCAACGGGGTGTGGTCAAAGGAGAAAAGTGAGGTTTTACGGGCAAATGCGGCTAAGTTAAGAAGAGAATGGGTGATAAAGAGGCGGGCCTATTAGATTTTCTTGGCGAGGAACAGCGTGTGGTTGTCGGCGATCGAAGCCGAGATGATCTTGTAGCCGTCCAGGTGTGCGGACTTGATCTCACGAGGCGTTGGCACAACCTAGCAGCAAATATTAGAAAGAAAAATGCCAAAAACCTTGTCATCATCGTCGGTGATACCGAGTCCGAGTTGACCGGAGGTATCGACGCCCCAAGCATAGCCCTTGCCATCGCGATCCCAGGCCACCGAACAGGTCAGCTTTGCCGTCACCCCAGCACTAACTCCAGGTATGACGATTTTCTGGAGTTCATCGTACCTATGCGAGGATTATCTGCACTCGAGTCAAAACACTCACTTCCAATTCTCATCGTCCTCCTTGGCGTTGTATGTGCCGAGGCCGAGAGCGTTGTCGACGTTGCGCCCGATTCCGTAAAGTTCGCCTACGACAAAATGATCGTGTAACTGGAATCCAGTTACCTTCTTTAGATCGAACCACGACGTGTTGCACGCCTTGGTAGTCTGTCCATTCGTGACCATCAAACACTGGCGAGTGTGTGGGCAGCAGAACTCGCAGCTCTTCAGAGTCCACCTCAGTCTTCTTTCCACCCAAGGTCAAATCGACGCCCAGCTGGTTGTAGTTGTTCAGACCAAAGACGAATGTCCTAAAAATCAGGTACATCACCAAAATTCAAGATACTTGTGGTCCTCAGTCTTGGCAATAGTCCAGAAGCCCGCGGCAAAGATGTCAACGAAGGTGAGCGTGTGGTTCTTGTTGGACGGATCGGTGGCACGCACAATCAGATGCCGTTCATCGCACATGTAGGCTAAAGACAAAACTAAGCTAGACTATACGCCATTACCTGCGCGGATGTGAGTTACGCGGAGTGAGCGTCCTAGCTGGCCCATAGAGCCGTCCCCGAAAGTCAGCAACTCGCCCTCTGCACTGAGCATAGCCAGGTGATTTTCTCCGGCAGCGATCTGAAAAATTGTTATTTACGGAAAATAATGCCAAGTTACCTTGACAATCTGCTTCTTTTTGTGATGGACAACAGCGACGGGCGACTCGTTCATCTTGCTCAGAAGCGGGTGTACCTCCATCAAGCCAGAGCTATCCTAAACCAAGCACTTAGGAAAATTTGTAACTCCATACTCGCAAGTTGCCCCAAGCGATGACCGATCCGAGGTCGGTAAGTGCGGCAGAGAATGAAGCGCCAGCGGTGACTTGTACGATTCTGCCCTCCTTCTTGATGTCGTCGGTGAAAATGATGGGCAGGAACTGGTCGCTGGAGCCCTCAGCCTCCACGCCTTCTCCCGGAGCGGTGCCTAAACAAAATGTTGAAAAGTTGGAACAACAAAAACCCATACCTTTCTCGTTGATTCCACAGGTGTAAACAGTACCATCCTTCGTCAGCAACAGCGAGTGCACGCCGCCAGCGACGACTTGGATGACCGGCAGATCATCATCCTCGACACAGTCCACCTTCCGTGGTTTCTTGCTAGTAGTGCGTCCCGGGTGACCAAGTTGGTCACCTTCACCGCACGAAAGCACCCGATCGCCAACCGCCGAATCATCCACAAAGTCTTCCCAGGTGAGCCGATGCTTGTGAGGAGCGCCGCCTAAACAATAAATGCGCATTTACAAGGAGAAAACGTCAACGTACGCTTAGGTGTCTTTGTGGCTGAAGCATTTGGGCTGGCCTCGACAGCGCTGCGCTTGCGGCCACGGCCGCTCTTCGGCACCGATGCAACCTTTGTTCGCTGGCACGGGCGGCGGCTCGCTTTGGCCTCGGCGGTGGGGTGCGCTTGCCGCCATCTTCCTGCTCATCAACCGGTTGTATTTTGGCACCCTACAAAGAAGCAATTAGGAATTAAAATTTTGAAAATACCTCATCGCCCTCCTCCTCTATCACGTCCATGGCTCGACCCGTCTCCGAGGGGACGTCCATAGACTGATCTTCCGAATCCTTGCCCGCCTCCACAGCGACTTCCATCGGCTTTTCAACGGTTTCCTCCGCCGGCTGCTTCTCTTCCGAAGACGGCTCGACATCCTTCGCCTCCTCGCCCTTGGCGTCCTCGTTCAGGAGGCTCGTTTCAGAAGCTGAGGGGGCGGCTGGATCGTCGACCTTGGCAGTGGGCTGCGAGACTTCCATGGGCGCATCGGCATCAGACTGTCCCGGGGTGACCGAGTCTTCGGAGGCCATTCTGAAAATATGGAATTAGACGAAGGACATGAAAGTTGAAGGGAACAAGAGGAAAAAAATGCCAAAACTGTTTGAAAAACGAAAACGTTTTCGGATGCGAAGTATAGTACGAAACGCTCCGCATTACACCGTTCTGGGTTACGATCCAAGGTTCACGTTAAGAAATGCAGCTAGTTCGTTTCTGTATTGTCGCGGAATTTTCGTCAAACAAAAAATTAGGAAATTTGCGCAAATTCGGAAAATGGAAGGAAATGGTGAGGTTTGGAAGTTTTCGCAGCTCGTAATGGGGGTAGTGGCTTATGGTCTTGAAAGGGGCCTTCACGGGGGCACACTTGGAATGAATTTTTTAGGCTAGGAACTATTTTTAGAGAGGCCAAGAACAACGAGACTAAAGATCCGTGTGCCATTTTTCAAACTTTATTTATGATCTTGAAGTTCTCTTCTAAAAGCCTAATTTTGCAAGATTCGCGAATGTGTTCTGGGGGTTTACTTTATGTTTATATATTTTAAAACGTGATAAGAGAAAACTTTTAGCATTAACTAACGGTTTTAGCCGGCTTTTCAAGGTTTGTGAGGGTCTTTAAGGCTTTCAATTTAAAGGTATGCTTTAGAAATTGAGGTAAAACGCTGACACGTTAATGTTTAAGCTAGCTTGAACTTTTTAAAAGCTGCCGAATTCTTTTAGAAGTGTTATAACCGCTATTTTTCGGTAGATATCGCACGATAACCCCTATGTCCCTAGGTTTTTCGCTTTACCCAGCAACCACCGGATATTCTAGGCCTCATTAGGCGTTTTTCCTACAGAATGACTCGAACTCGGGCACACAACTCGTCATCGAGCTCCGCGCCCAACTCGCGCTAAGCAAGCCAATTGCCTTTTTCAGAGCCCACCCGATTGGCCTCGTTACTTTTCTTTCCTTCAAACGACACTTGTCACGGAATTTGCCAAGTAGCCAGAGACCCGGCGGGTGGCCCCGAGGATAGGTCTGGGCCCTCCGCGTTGCCCTAGTCTTGGTGTGGGCCCTCCTTCTGGGGGCTGGGAGTAGAAATCTGGGGCCCAGGCCGGGGACGGCTCATTCACGCGGGCATTCCCCAGGCCCCCTCCTTACGCCCCAGTTACCGTAGTCCCCCCGCAGCCATGGTTCGCGCCCAACTGATTTGCCTGCTCGTCGCCGCGACGTTGATGTCGATGGTGACGTCGGCGAGGATACACCACCACAAGAATGTGAGTTCGTTTTGAGGGCGGGCTGTGGTATAGTTTACCTCGCTCCTACTGTATCTCGGCTCCCCGTTGTGCTACCGGTTTGTGAAGTATACCAAAATGTTCATCCTGGCCCGGCGAGTAGTTTAGGATACCTTACATCGCTGTAGACAAACAGGGAGCCGAAAGACAAAGTTCGGGCCGCCAGCATGGTCAAAAAAGCTCCTTTTGCGAAAGGTTTTGGGGTGAAATCGGAGTTTATTGGGCAGAATTTTACGCTGATTCCGATTCTGCGGCTGCTTTTTGCGAAAAAGCCCTGTTTCAAAAGTTATCTAGTATTTTATTGTGAAGAAAGTAAGTAATTCCCAGGGTTGACTAGCTCTCTATCAGCTCCTATAAACTTCGAAAACTCGACTTTTCGCCGAGTTTTATCCCCTCCCAGTAAGGATAAGTGAAGCCGTTGATTATGATGCGATTTCCCAAAAAGGGGTCAGCTTTTAGGCGTCCACCCGGGGCCACATGGCCCAGCCAACCCCCGTGTTTTCCAAGTGCATACTCGAGACCCCGGGGGGCGGCTGCCCGGCTCTATGGGCGCGAAGGGCCCATCTTAGATGCCACGCGATGCGGGGGAATATATATTCCGTAATATACAAATATAGAGGAAAAGGGGATGTGATTTCAGCGGCAGGGGGTTGCTTTTTTATGAGTCAACTTGTCAAAAACACGAGCGCATGCTGGGCGTCGATTAAGTCAGCGGAGCTTTGGTCAGATGGTGGGATATAAAACCCCTATTTTAGTTTTTTTTAAAGGAAAATTTGTAGGCAGAACTATGTGCTTTTGCCCGTGACTTCCAAAAAAATTTGACCGCGACCCGCAACGCGCGTGCCGCCGTTCTATCGCGTAATGGATTACGATCGAACTGAGCGTGCGTTGCGTGCCGCGGGGGTAGAAGAAAAATCCACAGCTATCTCTTTCTCGCACGCGGGGCCTGTTCCATTACACAATGGAACGTCCGGGAATCCGTTGCGTGTCGCCGTTCTAGTCAAATCCATAGTTCTGACTTGACAAATCGATGAGCCATATTAACTTAACCCTAAGCCTACGCTTGGGTTCAAAATTCGCAAAATTGCCGGTGACCCCCCACAAACCCAATAACCATTAGGCATTTGATTAGCTTTGTTCGGGCGTCCCATTAGTGCTGATTGGGGAGGAGGGGGAAAAACGTGTTCCACGCGCGGATTGGGTTAAGCGTCTACCATGGCCTGGAATCCAAGTATTGAGGGCGGAAAGTGGCGTACGAAGTATAGAAAACGGAAATCGACATGTGGGGTTTCACCAGGGATAGAATTTATCTAAAAACTTTGTTAGAAACGGTTTTAGTAAGGTTACTTAGCCTAGGCTTACTTAGGGTTCGATCTAGTAGCATAAGCCGCAGCTTCAGCTTAAGGCTAAGCCCAAGCTAAGCCTAAGCCTAAACCCAATCTAAGTCTGACTAGTAAGCGAGGCCTTAGCCCAAGGTACAGCCTAAGCCTAAGCCTCAACAGAAGCCCTAAGCCTACGCTAAGCCTAAACAGCAGCCTAAACCTAAGCCTAAGCCTAAGCCCTAGCCTAAGCACAATCTAAGCCCTTCCTCAATTTCTATTTCCTCCTATCTCATCCCCTTTTTGCAGGCACCCATCGACGACCAGCACGTGCGCTGGGTGGATCTGCTGGAGAAGCGGGATATCGGCAAAGTGAGTCCCATACCACCATTTTGAATTCCAAATTTTTCCAACTTTTCTGGGATATCTGCGCAGGTTGCCTTCCGGAAGTATTTCACAGGGGAAGAAAGTCTTGCTTGAAATTCTTCGATCGTTTTTGGGGGTGGCCCCATCTTTCATTAAAGGGATTGGGCAAACAAGAGGGGGCAGAAAAGGAGACCCGAACAGGTTAGCGACACTAGAAAAAACGAAGAAATGTGAAATCAGAAGTTGGCAAAGGGCCAACTTGGCTAGGGGAGAGCAAAATAGGAAACTGGGAAACTGGAAAAAGATCTACAGGGGTGTCCCAAAAAAAACGACCCATCTGGCGTTTCGCCGTGTTACATCCAACCGGTCCCAAATTTGGACCAAAGGTGTATCAGACCCTAAATAACAACAATCCTGACTTATAGCCCCGTAGCTTTCGTGGTTCTCCAGTTATAACGAAAATACTGTTTTTCCCGCAATTCTGAAGCATTATTTCGGCTATGTTTTTGGACTTTGCATCGATTTGCATCGACTTCCGGCTGTGAATCCTAATTTCGCTTAAGAACTGGGGTAGTTTTGCGTTGTAAAAATCGCCTAAATCAAAGTTTATTTAATCAATTTACTCTGGAAAAAATTTATTAGGGCGATGAAGACCTACCGGATCATTTTCGCTTAATGTCTAGGGGGTCTATTCCACGAAAACCCTATGAAAAATAGAAAATAAAATTTGTTTTTCGCTATAACTCGAGAACTACTATTGCTACAGGGCTATAAGTCAGGATTGTTGTTATTTAGGGCCTGATACACCGCTGGTCAAATTGGGGCCGATGGATGTAACACGACGAAGTCAGGATGGTCGTTTTTGGACACCCTGTATATCAAGTTAGGGCAATGATGGAAAAAAATTGTATAGAGGCTTGCTAAACCATCAAAACACAGAAATTCAGAAATTTTAGCAAATTCCGAGCCCCTAATTTAGCTTAAAAGGATATAAAACGTTCAAAAATGCACTTTAGAATCTCGAAAAATTCATAATTTTGTATTTTTACTGCCAATTAAGAGCATAAAAGTACGTAAATTAAAAATAAAGTACGTAAATTTGCTAGCAATTATTAAAAGGACTGGGAAGACAGCAGAGAATAAAATTTCGCGATTTCACCAAGCGTTACGGTATTGGAAAATCTTTCGAGGGGGCGAAAAATGTCTGAAAATTAGTTTTGTTTTTGACAAATTTAACTATATTTTAACCAGATAAACTTATTTAAAATCCTTAAATGTGATCAAATCGGAAGTTTGGCCAAAAATCCTGATTTTATGGATTTGTATGGATAGATTCTGACTGGTAAAATTTTGCTTGTAAGTATCGTAAAATTCTGGAACCCCTTTATCGATTTATATTACCCCCACCCCCGATAATGCACAAGAACCCATTTCAAACCTACAAAACCCCCGTATTCCACTGGACTGGAAATTTTCCAGTGGGATACGGCTGGAACGACTGCGAGTTCTCGCCGATGAGTTGTCTGCTGCGTAGGCGACGCTCGTTGCCCGCTGCGCAGCTCGAGTCGAGATGAACTGAGAGCCCAATGAGAAGCTCAGAATTCGTACAACAACACCAAAACGGATTTGCCCGCCACCGCCACCACCAAAAATTGTCTTCAAAAATATCCACCACACCTTCCGATTCTATGCCCCCACTTTCGTTTTGATTGTTCACCAAAAAGCTACGTTTTTTGTCGTTTGGGTCCTCTGAATTTTCTTGAATAAAGTTTGTTATTGAAACAGGGCGTGACATGTCGAAAACAGGGGCATTTTGATAGATAAATGAGGTTGAAAAGCGCCCAATAAAATGTTTGAATAGTTTTTAAATAATGAAAAACATGATTTAAATAGCTACCATAAAAATACGGATGTTAAATACTATTAACTTATTAAATTAGGTATATCAATGTAAATATTGGCTTTTCAAGAGTAATCGATAAAAGATACGAAAAATACGATTTAAATAGTTTCAAATAGTAAGGAAAAACGAGAGTGACCGTTATATAATAACAAATAGGAGTATAAAATATTAAAATTAAGGCATATTACGGTATGTAGTGGTATTTGAAAGAAGGATTCGGTCCAAAGGTATCGATAAATGCGATTTATAGTTTAAAAAATCGAAAAAAACCGGCTTTACCCGCTTATAATGAGTTATCTAAATTAATAAGCTCATCTAAGCATTAAATAAGAGAAAATGTCATATTTATAAGCATAAAAAAACTATATTTCTTTCCTTCTTGACTATTTTTTAAACATTAAAATATTTACTTAGTTATAATGAGTTTCATACGAATATAAGTACACTTCGATTTGATAACAAAAAAATATAGAAAATTTTTAACGTTCTAGCGTTAATAAAACTACTATATCTGAATTCAAAATAAACAAAAGTAAATATCCTCAAAAACTCTTGACGGTGTGACGACCGAATACCTCTCCTCCACGGCTTCCTATCAAGTCGGCAGCGAGCATGTTTGAGGCAAAATTCTTTATTAAATACGTCTTAATTATACAAAATTATAACATAAAAATAATAAAACAAAACTAATCAATTATATACACGAATTACTTTCGAAAGTTGATGGCAAAGGGTAAGGGTAGGTGGAGCTGGGCAGGGGGTAGGTAATGGGAGCACAGAAAGAGTTTCGTATCCATTTTGTATCGCGTCATTACACACCCGTAGCATCGCGGAAACACTATACAAATAACGGTGAATCATTGTGTACATTTTACAAGTTTTGCGGGATGTAAATTGGAGCATTTGGGATGAGAATTGAGAAAATAAACACACAAAAAACACGGTGGAGCAATGGACTTGAGTTTTGGTGAGGGCAGACCCGTAATGGTATAATTTCTTGGGGAGGGTACGGTATTTTGAAAGCGCACCTTTTAGGGCGGAGGTCACATGTTGTAAATGGGGAAAGACGCGTAGGGAATTGAGGCTAAAATTGGATTTTAAGGGCTAGAAAATGGTATAATTAATGACTGGGTGCTGGGAAGAGCGCGGAGAGTGTGGATGAGGGCAAAAGTCGCTGGCTGGCGTCCTGAAAATACTTAATCTACCTTAGAAAATCGATTTTTTTTACATATGGTAATCTTTTGGGTTCTTAGAAAAAACAGGCGATATTTTCAATTTTCTAACCCACCTGAATCTTGGCCAGCGCGGCGCGAAGCTCCTGCTTGCTGGGCTTGGCCGAAAAATCGGTCGTCTCGATGGTAGGAGTATTTGTAGAGGTCTCCTTGATCATCAACACCTCCGGAATGACGATAGTAGCACAACGGACCGAAGCGTCACTAAAAAAAAATTCATGAAATAGCTTGTCGATATTTTAAAAAGGTTTCAAAGGGTACTTGTTTATTTTCGAGGGGGCTAATCTTTTCATATTTATCGAAAAATGCCTACTAGTGTAATAGCCAGTATTTCAACCGTGGTTTCATAAAATTTGGATAAATTTCAAGCGTAAAACCTCGAAAATGCCAAACAAGGCTTTTTCGGCCGGAAAACCTTATTTTTGTATATTACATGTAAATTTATCATTTCGAATGTATAGTATTCCATTCCTAAAACTCACATTCTTCGCTTTCTCCACGCCGCTCCACTACCCGTCTTTTTCGAGACAAAACCAATCCGGGCCCCGGGTCCTGCGGCGATCACCTTCCGGTTGAGCGCGACGAAGCGGCTGTGCTGGTAAGAGCCGAGGTATGGTTGAGAGGCTAAAAGACACTATAAACTACCATAACCCTCCAACTTACGCATGGAATAAACTGGTGGCAGATCTTTGACCATACGTCGGTAGATGTCACCCGGTTTCCGTTCTTTCCGGTTGGCCGCCGCCTGGATGTGGCCAGTGCGCACGTGGTCTTCGAGCTGTAAGGGGTTTGTATAAATTTTCGGTGTCGTTCTACCGTTTTTCTACCTTTTAATATACTCTTAATCTAGCTTTTATGCTGTTATGGCTTCTTACCTGTTGATGCGGACGTAAGCTAGCATAAAAAGTCTATTAAAAATACGTTTAAGGTATCAAAATCTATATATTTAATTCTCCAGATAACAAACCTGTCGATTGGTGACAAATCGCCCGCGGCACCCATCCACAATACACTTGTAGGTGGCGGCGCCCTTGGCGTGGCGAGTCCGGAAGTGCTCGCGCAGCCATTCGTACTGAAAACAGAGTTTAGTACAGATTCTTGAGTTTTTAACTTTTTCAAAACTACCAGAAAAGAGGCAAACCGGCTATTGGGAGCCTAATTTCAAGAGGAACTGGTCTCAAATGTCTCAAATTTTTCCTGAAATTTAGCTAAAAACGAAGAAGGATGACGAAATTTCGGTTTTACTGTGGTTTTCTAAGATTAAAATCGAAAACGCCCATTGAACGTTAGTATCTACTATATATAAATTTCTAATATCCGTCCGTTCGCGCGACCGGGAATTCAGCCAAATCCGGCATTCAAATTCCAAATTCAAATTTTTTCGAGGAGGGCCAGCGCTGAACCGCCGCGTAGCGGGGGGTCAGCGCTGGTAAAACCTTAATTTTGCGGATTACACTATAAAAAACTTGTTTTTCGACATTTATTACAACCAAAATTACACGAAATTTTTTGTTTTGATGAAAAAGGATCAATTTCCGCTGGGAAAAGGGTATTGTTTTCGAAAAGGAACCGTCCGGGCAGCCTGTGCACAGGAGCGGCTTGTAGCGGGCTACAGGCTACAACAGACCGGGGAGTTTTGTTAGCTTTCATTAGCTTTTTAAATCTGGTTTTTTGCTTAATTATACAAGCTAAGCCACGTCAAATTATAGCGTCACACCCCTTAAAAAGTACACACCTTCCGATCTCCATCCCCTCTCGTCAACCTCATCGAGCAGTCCGCCCACTGGCATCCGTACGGATCGTTCTCATCGGAATCGCTGGCCGTTCGACTGTCGATAGGCTCTTCCCGGACGGCACCTCTACGAGTACGCTTCGATCCTCTGGACAGCAGCTCCTTGGCCAGGTTGAGCGGTGGGCCCTCGGAGTGGAACGAGGCCACCGACCCTTCACGGGACATGCAACAGGTCGTTGGTGTCATGGACGTGTTGTGCGCGCTCAGGGGGATGATGTGCTCCTGGAAACCGGAGATTAAAAAAAGGTGACACGTGGTTAAAGGGCTTGTGAAGTCAGGAGAAGTCGAATTCGTCGAAAATCTCGGCTATTTAGGCTTAAAAAAAATCGGTATTTGGCTAGGATTTCAAGGGGGTTAAGTGAAAATATCTAACTTTTAAAGCGTCAATTACGTGATTACGGTAGATTACATGCTTTTTAGGCATTTTTAACACCATAATTTCACCAAATTTTTTACCTGAATCACGTGGTCGTACAGCTTGTTCATGCCGCGTCCCTGATACCCACAATCGGCCCATTTACACCCGGTCAGCTCGTCATCGAGCCGTCTACGCTTCCCCGTTTCCTCGGCCTCCCTCGGCTGCACCCGCTTGAGCACCACCAGCTCGGGCTGCTTCGGCTCGACGAAGATGTTCTCCAGCTTCTCCACCTTCTCCAGCACGGGCTCAGCCTTCTGGAGCTCGAGTTGGTGCTGGTTCTCTTTTTCGAGTTCCTTGTCGACTTCTACGACTTCGGGGAGCTGCTCAACACTTGGGACCTCGGATTCAAGCAGGTCGGGGAGGTCGGGCATTTCGTCATCTTCGGCTTCGTCTTCAGGGGTTTCCGGTGGCGTTAGGTTATTCTGAGGCGGTGGAGCGACAAGGAGGGCTTGATACGAGGCATCTGGTTTATGGGTTTCGGTCTGGGGAGATCGAGGGCTGGGGCTGGTGCATCCTGTTCATCTACATCGTCGATGCGGTCGAGTTCGGGTGGCGGGGTGAGGGGATGGGAGGCTGGAAAAGAGAAGTGTAAAAAGTGTTTAGAAGTTGACAAAAGGTAAGCTTAAGCTGGTCTAAACCTAAGCCAGGTTACCCCGTCAAAGTCGTCCTCGTCTTCGACATCGGGAGGTGGCTGTCATCGACTTGTCGAGCCCTGGGTATCCCGCAGCAGCTCCTCCCCACTCACGAGGCTTTTGACTAAAATTCTGGATTAAAAAGGAAGTGAGAGGGAGAGAGAGAGAGAGAGAGAGAGAGAGAAAACCCAAATTCCAGGCGCGCCAAATCACCGTCATCTGGACGCTGAACTTTTGCGTTTTCTTACAACATCCCGCACGCATTTGAGATTGGAAAAAAAGGGCGGCAGATTTAAAACTCAATTTTAGAAAAGAAAATCGATAAATTTATGTGAAAATATAATTAATAAAGTGAAAAATACAGTTTTACAAAAACATCTTGAGTCGCCGTGCATCGGGGACAACGGGGTTGAGCTCACAAATTTGCCCCACCGACATTCGGAAAGACCTCTATCTACTACACGATCTACTAAGCACCCGCGATGTACACCACTTTTCTGGCCGTGGGCCCGTTGATTCTGTTGATTCTGCTGAATACTTGTGTGGTGTACACGGTGGTGACGCGGAAAGCAGGATAATGGAGGTTTGTAAAGTCAGGTATCAGTCGCTTGTGATAGTTAAATATAGGTTTTGGGACTTTTGGTAAGTATATTTTCTAGTATAGAACCGTTTTTCGTGACTTAATCGAAGTGAAAAAGGTTACGTAAGGTTTTTCAACGCCTAAGGTTTAAAGATGTAATATTACGGTTTTCGCTTTAATTGAAGGAAAGTTTAGTAACCAGTTCTATTGAATTTCAGGGAATTTAAAGGTATAGAAGTCACTAAAGCCTTTTTCTGGCTTTTTTCTTTGGTTAACTCGCTAATTTAATGTTAAAAGTCGGAAAGTGCAGGTTAAAATTGTAAAGCCATATTAAAACTTAGACCAGCTTTAATTTAAAGTTTAATAGAAAATTTGAACGTTTTATCAAAAATTCTTTTTAAGAAGAATCCGACACGTATCAGCCTAATCCTCGTCTGCTCTTCTCTTCATTTTTTGCAACTTTACGGCACTGCTCGTCAATTTCCTCGAGTTGATATTCATGTACCAGGTGGGTCAAGTAAGCAAATTTTCAATACATTTTATCAAAATTTTAGCTGGGCGACATTCTGTGGTATCTCGTCGATTTGCTCTGAATTTGCTGATTGTCATCAACGCGACGGCAAACTTTTTTTCTGTTATTTCCGTTTGGAGTGTCGTTCAGGTAGGGTTTCCTTACCATTTTGGCAAGCATAAGCCAAAAGCTAAGCCAAGCCTAAGCCTTAACTGAGCCTAGTCTAAAAAACCAAATTTTAAATTTCAGAAGAACACTCTTCGCCATTCTGCGACGACCAAAAGTGAAAAACACGGAAATTATCTGGGAAAACGGAGCCACAAAATGACGGACCCACACACACTTTCAACTTTTCTCTAAAAGTATCGATATTTTCGTCGTTTCTCCCTTGCAACTTTGCTTGCTTGTTTTTGTTTTCATATGCTCCTTCCCGGTGCTATCTAGCCTTTCATTACAACTTTCAATTAAAAATGTTGGTTTAAGCTAATTTAAATGCCCGTTCTTGAAAACGCCGAAAATCCTGACAGCCAAAATACTGACCGGCAAAAATTCCCAAATCCCAAAATCCCAAATTCCCGACATGCAGGATTCGTAAAAGGCAATGGCATTCAAACCAGCGTCGTCTTTATATGGCTGCCGGGATTTTCGACGCTCGCTATTGTGGCTGTCGGTATTATGGCTGGAATTCCTCGATTCCCCTCTGCAACTCTAGACACTCGGCCCTCTTCGCCAATGTGTGATACGGTTTCTCCCGGATTCATCGGAATCTCGTGTGTTTGTTTCGACCCTCAGTTTTGTGTGGTTTTTCATGATTTTCGAAGGTGTTTTTTTCGGTGTTTCCCCGTGTTTCCGCATTTTTATTGCGTGTATAAATTGTATTTAAAGTTGGGGGGTGGCGATGGAGGGATTGGGAAAGTGAAAAAACTACGGGGGTCACAGGTCCTTTAAAATTCATCCAGGCTCGAATTCAAGGTTGGAAATGGTAAATATAAGAAAAACAAGTATGGAAGCGGTATTCGATCGTTTTCTCTCTCCCTCGCACTCTCTCTTTTTATCTCTCACTCTCTCACTCTCTCTTTCTCTCTCTCTCTCTCTCTCTCTTCCTCTCTCTCTCTCTCTGTCCCTTTCTACGCAATGACAATAACTTCATCAACCCCATGCTCCCAACTCGTGGACCAAGGGACCAGCCAGGCCAATCATCCACTTCATCTACACCCTAACCATTGCCCTCCACGGCCCCCATTTTCTCATTGGCTCCACACTCTTCGCATTTCCTCCGGGATCTCGTTCTCACTTTGCGGGCTCCATGGCCACACCATCATCCCCGGTCCGTTTAACAGCAGCAACAGCCGCATTCTCTCTCTCTCTCTCTCTCTCTCTCTCTCTCTCGTCTCTCTCTTCCATTCTGCGACCTCTTATATCCAACCCCAGCTTGGCCATCACCATTATCCACTGACTGGCCCGCTGAATCGAAATTACCAGAGGCATGGAGCGGAATTTTGAAGTTTTGAGGTTTATATCTCGCTCTCTCTCTCTCTCTCCCCCTCTCTCTCTCCCTCTCTCTGTCTCTCTTTGGCGTGTACATTTTAAAAGTGCTTGCTTGTATCGTGTTGGGAGCGCATAGCCTAAGCATGCCTATGCCTAAGCCTAAGCCCAAGCTCGAGCCTTAGCTTAACCTAAGCCTAAGCCTAAACCCCGAAGCCTAAGCCTAAGCCCAAGCCGAAGCCTGTGCCTAAGCCTAAGCCTAATCCCCCCAGCTTACCC